TTAGCGACCCCAGGGTCGCTAAACTCGTGGGACAAAACATTTTTTGCTTTTTGACGTAGTGGGGGGGGAGTGACCAAAAGAACTCCGCAAAGTTTCCTCCTTCCTGCGCGTTGTCTGGGCTCTGTAGCGCCGTTGGGCCGAAATTCGATCCCGTCATGCCTCGCTCAGACGAGAAGCGAGAGCAGACGACGGGAGTTCGTCTGCTACGATGAGGCATTCGCACAGCGCAACGTTACTAAACCACTCAGTTGGGAAACTGACATAGAGACTGCTCCGAAAAAGTGGCCCCGATCTGTCCTCGAGAACCGAGCTAATGGCGAACACAACGCCGCCATTTCTCCCGCAGCGGCCACTCGAGGAACTGCACGTGACGTCTATTTTGGCTTCAATCGGCCATTTTGGCGCCGAAACAGACACCGGGGAAGGGGTTTCATGGGTGCCACCCCCGGCTCCCCAGCGGACGCGCCGCGGCTTACTACCGAAGTTAAAATGCACCTAGGTCAGGACGCGCTACCTGAAAGCACCGCTGAGGCGGAGCAACAGCGACGAGCGGAAACCGTATCACGGACTACGTATACAGAGCGGGATTGGCTGGGATAAGGTGCCTTTCATGCCCCGAACATCAAGGCACTCTAGGCTGGGATAGCTCGTAGCGCCCGCTGCGTCTGGACGCATGGTGAAACGGAGTATAAGAGAAGATTGGCCGAAAAAAACATGGGTAGACCACGAGGTATTTTTTGATAATCGTCCAACCACACATTCTTCCTTCTTTGGTAACACTACTCCCCCCTCTTTACAGAAAGGAACTTGAAGAAATAAAATTTCCTACCTCATTCTACTTCTATGCAGCCGATGTCGCCCTTACCTAGTCCTATTCGGTTGTAACTTAGTGCATGGCGTAGCCAGGATTTTATTTCGAGGCAGGGTTTCAACGGCATTGTTACCCCCCCCCCCCCCCCCCCCCCCCCCCACACACACACACACACACACACACAAACACCAAATGACGAAGCAGGGTAAACTCGGCGGTACGGACGCTCACGCAAGGATTAGGGAGGTGCTGTTAAGACGAGTCAGCTGCATTGGCATTTTTAAAAATGGAGCCGGCCTCATTTACAGGAATACGGTCGTGGTGGCTCACTGCTCTACTGTCGTCGTAGTTGCGGCCGTGGCCCACCAACTTTAAGATCTGCCTCACAGCAAACAGCTCCACCCGTTTTTTTTTTTTTTTTGTTTGTTCTTTAGGTTTTAATGCGTTACCAACGCGTGCCGGCCAGACCAAACAAATAGCTGTACTGTCACAAAAAAAAAATTAAAAGACAACAAAGCAAAAACAAGAAAAAAAAAATTCGCGACGTTGATAAATCAGAGCAAGCGTCCACCCACAAACACTATTCTAAGCCGCCATTAAAATGACCAAGACAGCGGAAGTTGAAATTCAGATGCCGCGAACAGGGCCGGATTAAGAGAGTTCGGAGCCCTGGGCTAATGCTGGCCAGGGCCCTAAAATCAGCGATAATGATGATGATGATGATTATGATAATGTTGGTAAAAAAAAAAACACGCTACGTCACTGCGTTATCCGCGCGTATGTGCACGCCTTCAACGGTGAAGTTCAACCCAGCAGAACCAATCAAGAGGCAATGCGCATGCGCGGGAATCCCTGTTTGTGGCTCCTCCCACCATAGACTTTCCACGCAGCAAGTGGCTCTTGAGAATGATTGCCATATGTGTTCCCTCTAGGCAGGCCGTGCTCTGGGATAGGATGCGTGCAATGCTTTCTCGAAACAGACAATTTTAAGTGAAACAAATGATGCATGCACGTGCGCCAAGTGGGACACACATTTTGGCAGCAGTCGTAAATCGAGCGGTTGTAAAGTCCGTGTCTGGTTGTAACTAAAAAAAAGAAAAAGAAAACGTGAATTAGGCTATTGTCAACGTGCCGCTATGCTCCGTTTCACCTTATGTTGTACCGCAGCGAAGGCTAGAAGCGCGAGCTCATAGCGTTGGTAGCTGCCCTTGGTGCACGAGAGCTTATGCCGCAGAGATGTGCCCTAGAGCAAGGAGCTCGCGCTTGTAGCCTTTCCTGCGGTACAACACAAGGTCCCCCCTTCGAAATCTCGGTTTCTAACGACCCGCAAAAAAAGAAAGAAAACTGTTGTTGCCTACTTGGTTTTATCCTGTGTCGAACCGCAGCGGAAGACGAGGGGCCTCCACAGCCAATCAAGTGCAAGTTTAGAAGTGACGTCGCCTGGCTCCTCGTGCGTGTGTTAGTGCGTGATGACACCTCTAGACTGGCGCTTGATTGGCTGTGCTTCAACACGAGATGAAACGAAGTATGGTCGGCGCTGGCAAAAGTAAAATGACCCGGCAGAGGAAAAAGCCTTTGAAGAAGCCGACAGGAAATTGATGCCACTAGTGCTTCGGACGCGCTGGTGACGAGTGGAAACTGTCACCAGCGCCATATTCTGCGTGGCGCAGAAAGAAAACTAGAGCCGACAGCGGGCTCCCACGAAAAAGAAGGTTCATCTTACACAGTGATGCGATTGGTTCCAGTCATTTTGGAGCAGCTCTTGGAGCAGCAAAAGGAACTTTTGGAGCACGAGTGCAGACTTCATTTTCATTCTTATCACACCAAATATTATGTTAAGATTCACGTGTTGGCTTGTTTAACTAGAAAACAGTGTATACTTTGCCTTTCTACTTATCTGCAACCTTTTGTTAGCATCGATCGTACAGTAAGAGCGATTCATTGAAACATACAGAACTTGCCGTTTAGTTGCACGTAAAAGCACCAGACACGGCAACAAGATGACTAATGAAGGACAGCACAAACCGCTGTGAAACGGTTATTTTAGGTACGGAATCCCACTGAAATAATGTTAGAAATACAATAATTTCAAGCACCTAAATTTGTTCTCTCAAGTTCTAGATGTTCTGATAAAACTGCAACTCTTAATTCAGATAAAAACAAAGTTATTGTAATTTGATTTCAATTTCAGAACAAAAATTGGCACGCTAGCAATTAATAAGTCTTCTAGAAAACAATCGGCCATCCACCACTCATAATTTAGTTCTAATTTACTCACACCTCTATCAAAGTGATAACTAAACAAAAGAGTTGGCATAAAACATAAACCTACAAAAGTGTCCGTAAAAGTATTCTGGCAATACCTAGGTATCTCTGCTAAATTTCGACCTGGAAAGAGTTTTATTCAGATCTCGGCGTAACGTCTCGCTCTGGAGGAGTGGTTTCCCCTTAGCACGCGCGTGCACTGCAGCGAACACGCAAAATGGCGATGCCTACTCCGCGGTTGTCGCTTCACAGCGGTCAACGTTACTTGAACCCCGCAGTTGGGAAACTGCCATAGAGCCTGCTTTAAAAAAAGTGGCTCGGATCCGTACTTGAGAACCAAGCTAATGGCCATCGCCACGCCGCCATATCTCCCGCAGCGTCCACTCTGGGAACTGCACAGCTGCTGTAGAATTATTGTGGAACTTCCGAGTACTGTCTGTGTTTGATGCGAAATCAGATCGAATAGATGTTATTAGAGGCGATAATCAAAAGCTCCAAAAATTTGCACGAGCCTATCGTAACGATCCGGCCAGGTTGCGAGGCCTGTATATTTTCGGTATTATCAAAGTTAAGTTAAATTCTAACACAATGTTGGCGCAAATTCCTCACATTTTGGTCAAATGTAGCAGGACGTAGAACGGTAAGCACTTTGGTGGCGTTTGGCGCAAATAGTGCAACAATCCCATCCCTGCATACACCAAGGACTCTCACATATTTAGACTAAATATCAACTTACCAGTCGGGCATCACGCTTTGCGTAAGCCTCGTCACAGTTCGCGCCCATACCGTGTGCCCTTGTTATGCAAAATGCAGATATGCTGCGTCACTATGGTGCCTAAAATGCATTTCAGACTGGTGTGTTTACCAGATCCTAAAAAGTTGTCCTTCGATTTCAACCTGGGGCCCTATGCTACACGGCGGGACCGAGGGAACGAAACAACGTCGTCTGCCGTGATTGGTCAGCGGAGCGGCGCCGACCAATTGCATTCTCTGTTCTTTTTTAAAGAACTTCCAAGTCCAACCGCCAGGATCGCGACATCGGAGACAGCACGGCACTCCAGCTTTGCGACCGTCTGGACTGTTACTACTTGGGCACCACTTTCGATGCAGGGGCGGAATAAGACGCTAAACACACCGGTTGCAGACGCGTACCTGACACCGTACCGACACTGTCCTCTACAAGGTGCACGGCCGAGAGGATGTCGGCGAAGCGAGGAAAGCAAAAACAATTTATTAACGAGGTAAAAAGAAACTCGTTGCCCAGCATAAATACAGCCCAGAAAGGTCTTGTCAACGGTCTTGCGGTGCGGTCAGGCCACAAAGACGACAAAGATGATGAAGAACACTATGAGCACCGCAAACACCTTGATCATCAGCCACCGGTTGGACGTCACCGACTGGAAGTACTTGAGAATCTCTGAGTGCGCCGCCTCGACGTTCAACGACGTGTCTTCGACGTTGGCGTCGATTCTGCAAAGCGAACGCATAACAAGGCTCCGTTCACGCCGTACGAGTAAGCTGGTTCGACGTGCATAGCGCGCACCAGCTCTTCTTAAAGTCTTGACACAAATTAGCTGAAACACCCTGCAAGTGTGGGACGTGCACCTTTCACATTCTAAGAGATGGATGGATGCACGCCTGTTAACAACTTCGAGCAAACAAAGATAAAAGTCATCTGCATAAAAAGAAAAGAGAGGGTGTCGCCATACCGCTGCACCATCTCCTCCTGTTCCTTGACCATGTGGGCCAACTGCTGGAAGATGGAACCCAGCTCCACAATCGTGCTCTCAATGTTTTGCATTGTGTCCGCACGGCTCTGGATGTACGACTCCTACAGGAACGTGAAACATACAAAGTGCAACGCCGCTTAGCATCCATGATGTTTGTATAGAAAGACTCGCAAGTTGCACAAAGAACAGCGCAGGTCAAACATTTGACCTCTGTGAGAGGGACCAAAGACACAAAAGTGTGCATTTGCAAAGTCAGTACCAAGCGAGTAAAAGATAAGCAGAAAAAATGTTTAATTGTTAGGGAGGTAATGATATAAGAAAATAAAACAAGTACCTTGAAAATTCTATTTCCCTTAAAGTAAACTTTTGGGCTCTTTCTGCGGTTACATCTGCCAATATGTTTTGTTTGCATAGATGTCTGTGTGGAAGACTCTTTATTATTTAATTTGGCATCATTCATTGGGCAATGTCAAATCCCTTCTTGGAGAATACACCTCATTTCAGGAAAACACAAGGCATTGAGTACTTTAAACGGCTGGATACACCACAGCTTCAGGGTTTCCCTCTTTGAATTGAAAGAGGTGGGTAGCGCCATCTATCGTTGTGAACTTCCTGAGCACCGGCCGAGACCACCACCTCTGTTGCCCCGGCAAACCTGGTGCTTACGGTAGATTCGCTGGTGTAAACCTCTTCCTCGAAAACGTTTTACAAGGCGCATGCACCGCGATGCATGTGTGCTTTCCGACTACTACGGGGATTACGGTCGCCCTAGTCTAACCTCCATAGCAAATCCAGAACGCACACGTAGTTAAAGGGTCCGCGAATAAGGGTAGCGTCGGCTTGCCTGTTCGTCAAGTAGCAGCATCTGCTGCTGGCTCTGGAGTTGCCTCTGCCGGGCTCCGCCGCCTTCCATGTTGATGGAGTAGTCCCCCGCGCTGCCTCCGGTAGACCGCGCATACTCGTCGGCGAGCAGCACCGACCCCGCATGGCCCGAGAGCGCCGAGGGCGGCATGGCTGTGCTCACGTGACCGCTCTGGGAGAACTGCTCACGACGATTTTTCTGGTGCTTCAGGTTCTGCGTGGTAATACCGGAACACGTTCGTCACGAGCTGTTCCCTTGCGTGGTATGAAAACTTCTCTCACGTGTCGCAGACTGTTTTCTTGAGAGTCACGATCTCGTTTCTCTCGTGTCAAAAGTCGTTTCCTTGCCACTTGTTTTGTTTTCTCACATGTCACGAGTTGTTACATTGTGTCACAATGTTTTCTTGCCTGCGATAAATCTTCACTCTCACTCGATCTTCATGCACAGACAAGAGATCTGTGCACTTGCCAAGTTTGCATGTGTGGAGGTTTTTCTTGGCACATTTGCTAGACTAGTTTTTAAAACCTAGTGCTTTGTAAGCATGTGTAGAGCCAATTGTAGTGGAATATAGCCAGTTCCAGACATAACAACCGGTTCCTCAACTTGCGACATACTCACATCTGGCTGCCGCGTGACAATGTTGAAGTTTAATGTTTTAGGACTCGTTCCCACGATGCTTTAAAAAAATGGTATTGTCCCCATCTTTTTTTGTGCAACGGCAATAATGATGGTGATGCTTGAACAGCGTTGCACATGCATGATTCTAGAAAATAAAATAAATTGCGCCGTGTGGAATTATATCTTCACGCACGACGTACAATTCATTCAATGCTAAGCTAACAAAAAAGAACTCGAGCACTTCTCGAAATTTGGAGTCACGGCCCTTACAAAAAGGCTACAGGGTAAGACGAACGGCACGAGTCTCATGCGTGTGACCTTACCTCAGTTCGCACCTCGAGGACACTCTTGAAGTCGTTGGACATGGAGGCCAATTTCGACTGCAAGGGAAAGAACTTGTATTATTGCAACATAGCTTCAGAGACTTGTCTTTCAAGTTAGTCATATTTACTAGATGTTTACAGTTGAATCCCTTGAACAGCAACTACAAGGGACAAGGTCAAACAGTCCTACACGGCAGAAGTTGCACTTCGCAGAAGACAAGACTGCTTTGAAGACACGAAACCATCGCAGCACTCTCACCTGCAGAGAGACGACCACAGAGTTGGAATGTGACTGCATGTGCTTTGTGCCACGGTTTTTACTGGACCGCGCAGCCTGAAAAAAAAAACACCAAAAACAAACAGGTTGAATTTTTTTTTTTTTAAATTCAGCGACAACATAGTAACATGGTGCTTTTAATTATAGTAGCGATTCCCACTAAAACGCTTCTTTAAATCAGGATATAACCATCCTACAAAAGATTCGTAATGGGAAACTGGTTGCAGCACACTACATAAATGATAGAACGACTAGTACGGTGCCACGCACGATAGACAACCAGGGTTTGCATTAGGCATGGGAGATCGGAGCAGCCGTGGCAGACCCCGTTTCGGCACCAGGGGCCTCCTTTCGCAGCTGCGAAAGGAGGCCCCGCAATCCTTTAACCAGGCTTGTACCCAGGGGGGAAGCCCATGGGGGCTTCCCCCCTGAATACAAGCCCATGTGTGGAAAAATGATTTACGTTGTGCTTCAGCGGCATTGTTCAGGGTTTGTGGCGAACACTGAAGTTTTCTTATTTTTCTTTGGCCATAGCACGTTAGTTTATTCCAAACTCTCTCTTTTTTTTATGCAATGGCGGGCATGTCCTGGATTTCTCGTTTCTTTCTATAAACTCTTTGAACGTGAACGCTGATTGCTGAAGTCTGAAGGTCACGTTCCAGTTAGGAGATGCCATTGTGGTAGAGACAAAGCTGACCGGCTTTGCGTCTGGCCACCAATTGGCGCAGTCGTGGAATGCCGAACCCACAATCATAGGGTCGTGGGTTCGATTCCCACGACCCTACGATTGTTCTTTTTTCTCGTTTTGCCATTCTTTTTGTACAGAGTGTTCTCTGAAGTATGTGTCACAGATTTCTTAAAGGTTTTCGCGGCATTCTGTCACACTTCTTTGGGGGATCCGAGCCCTTACACACGTTTTGTCTTAATGTGCCTAAAAGCCCTCCAACTGTGATGCAGTTCTCTAAAGAGCGATGGAATCCCTTAATAGCAGAGTGTCTACGTACATCTTGCAGCTGGGCAATCTGCTTGTTGAGGCTGCCAATGTCCTGCTTGATGATGTACGTCAGTTCCTGGATTTCGATCGGCCTGTCGTCAAAGATGGTCTTTCGTTTTGCCACTGAAACGGAATCGCGAGAAGAAAGACGTTGTCGGGACACTTTTGTCGTGGTCCAGTGGATCAAATTGCAACTGCACCCGTTCAAAGCGAGCATACTCGTTGCAGGACAATACGCGCTAGCCAGACCTACAGAAGATGACTGTGACGATGACCTATGCCTGCAAGCTTGGAAGTGATGCCAGGTTTTTTTTTTTTTTTTTAGAATAGATGCATAACAAATTAACGACCCTCAATTAATGAGCGCACTCCAAATGGCAGATATGGGACGCCCTATGGTCTGCCGATCTTGCGAAATTTGAACCACAAAAAAGATATTGGTTGCTGTCAATAACAGTAAATCCCTTGAATCTGATTCAATAACTAAGTACCCGACTATTGTAAAATGCCGAGAGATGGCCCACCTAACATCAAGAGCAAATCGGCTGAAAATATGGAGTGGGCTAACTTTCGGTGTGCAATCAAGAAAAGTTTGAAGAATTGCTATTTTTAGGTCTTTATTTATTTATTTATTTATTTGCAATACTGAAAGCCCTTTCGGGCTGTTTCAGGAGTGTACAGCAACAAAACAACAGAAATACAGAACCAAAGATCAAGAACAATCACCGCAATACAATCATTTGAGTACAATTTCGGTTGAACCACACCACCGAAAGTCACCACCACCAAGGAATACTAGTATGGCTCTGCATATAAATCAAATAACACAGCTTCAAACTTATCGGCACTGCCAATCCCAACAAAGAGGTCGCCATCCAAACTATTCCACTCCTCAATTGTTCTTACAAGAAAAGAGTACTTAAAAACATCGAGATTTGGTAAATACGGCTTGACTCCAAACTGATTATTAACTCTCGGGGACCTTCTACCAGGAAGCTGTATATAGTCACTCGAACTGATGTTATAATGCCCATTGTAGAGTTGATAGGAAAATTTTAACCATCCAATTTTTCTCCGCTGACCCAGAGTTGGCAGCCCCGCTTTTTTTAATAGTTCTGTTACCGATTCCGTGCGGCGATACTCTGAATAAACAAATCTTACTGCCCGCCGCTGGATACGCTCAAGTTGTTCTACTTGATATTTGACATATGGATCCCAAATCACGTGCGCGTATTCAAGAGATGATCGAACTAGAGTTTTATACGCAAATGATTTAACTTCAGGCGTTGTATTTTTGAGCGCCCGTCTTAAAAACCCAGGTCGTGTCCCTTTCAAGCTTGTAATGGTGGCGAGGGGCAAGGAAGCAAAGATGACTGCACTTCCCAGTCAGCGACGTTCGCTTGTATCCCACCATAGCGAACTAGCCACATTTACGCCGAGGCCATCATTGATTCCAGCATAGGAGAGGGCTATCTTTCGGTTTTAAAAACATATAGCAAATCAAGCCAAAAATAGGAAGTGGGCTATCTTTCGGGGCTGGGGCATCTCTCTTGATTTTATGGTACGAAGGATGCATAGTACTGTGCTAGTGTTTTCTTGAAGAGGGTTCAAAGCTGTAACCTTTGAGCACACCAACTTCGACATGCATGTCGAAGCTTCAGTGCCCAAGTTTGTTTTTAGGAGCATCATATTCTATATTACATAATGCAACACATGTGAATAACGTATCTATCTGTTTCACCTTGGAAATTGTGTAAACAATAACACCGTACTGTCGCAAAAAGATGAATGTCCAAAAGACCGCCAGTTTAGTGTTACAAATGTGCACTTTCTCTCATACCACACTTCTCATTTCTGTATAAAAAAAAAATTATTGTAAAGTTTTTGAGAGATGCCCCCACCTTCTAAAGATAACGCACCCCTATTTTTTGGCACGATATGCCATTTCTTTAAAAACACCAAAAAACGGTGACTTCAGTAGAAATGGTGTTACTTAGTTAGCCAAGGCAGAAACTTCCTTTTCAACTTTTTTTGATGGCACACCAAAAGTTAGCTTATTCCATATATTCACCCAATTTGCTTTCGATTTTAGGTGGGCTATCTCTCAGGAATTTACGGTAGAACTTCAAAGCTGTTTCTAAGCTCAACAGTAGGAGAAAAAGCCGTATAAATTTCAGAGATAAATGGCAGAATATCAGAAGACATAAAAACTCACACAATGTCAATTTCTCCAGCTTAGAGAATGTGTTTGCAATGTCCTTCCCAATTTGCCTGGAAGAGAAAAAAGTGGGATGCGGTGGACAGAAGTGATTGCCTTGATTTACTGGGTCTTGCTATTGGTACAGAATGAGTGCCCTTTATTTCAACTAAATCAATGCAAAAAAAAAAAGTGAAATAAGGGGGAAAAAAAGCTCTTTCAGAAACGTTCAACTATAAACGCCCTAGAAACGGGACATAAAATACAACCAAACATGTCGGAAGCAATGAACTCTGTTGGAAACATTGATTTATGGAGTGGAAAACTTTTCTAGAGTAACAAATTAGGGCAATTTAGTTGTTTTGCCTATATGAGTAATTGGTAACTCTCATCAAATACACTTGTCAAGAAAAATGTTCTGGTCACTTTGAATCGCATAGACAAACTAAGCATCAATGGAAAGCTTACAAACCTTGTCAGAATGTATCTATAGCAGTGATGATGAGAAACAAAAATTCCAGCTACATATTTCATTACCTAAATTCAAGATAAAAGAAATGACTTCAAAAATTGTCAATAGGAGGACATTTGTTGGCTGCAGGTGCTGTAGAACACAATTTATCCGTGGCCCCATGAATCTCACAATACATTTCCAAGAATTGCTCTTGTTTTCTTTATTTAGTTAACATAGGGTCTCAAGCCTTGAAAAAGTCAAATTTGGGGGTTTTACGTGCCAAACCTACGACGGGCATCTGGCACGCCCCGCGGAGGACTGAGGATTAATTTCGACCACCTGGGGATCTTTTGACGTGCAACCGAAAGCTCGGTTACACGGCGCCTCCTCCGCAATAAGCCTCCGTCATATTGCGGGCACCTCGGTCGGGATTCGAACCCGCCACCTGGGGATCCGTAGGCCGGCGCTTCTCAAGCCTTGAATCTGCCATCACCGCGAAATTTATTTTTGAGACTGAATTGTAGCTCTCCATAATCTAATTTATTTACGCAGGTCGAAACATCCCGTGGACTTTCTTTCCTCAGTCCAACCTGGAAAGAATATATAAGACCAAGACGCCAGCACGGATTGTGTACAAACAGGCTCACCTGGCGACATGCATGAATTCTGCCCACTCCTGAACGGCCCTCTCGCTGTGTCCTTGCTTCCTTTGCAAATAGCCATTGCCCTGAAAGGACAGCCAGGTTGGCATGGCATTGTTGTGGCGGCCACCGCCACGCCAACCGACGAGCACTCACGGGTCTGCCCTGGAGCAGCTTTGCGGCCGACTTGAACTCGGAGGTGCGGTCACGACTGGTCATGGCGTCACCGGCATTGACCGCAAACGCCGGTTGCGGGCTGTAGTGGGTCCCGGCAGAGCGGGAGGTCGTCGAAGGCACGACCACAGAACTGTATTCCTGTTCCGACCCCGAGGCGGTGCGTCTACGGCGAGCTATCATGGGACCGCCTCCGGCCACAAGGCATCGCCAGGGAACTACCTGCAAGGGGACGTGTTGCAACGTCGCACAATGTCACACGACAGCCGAAGACAGTCAAAGCTGGAAGCAAGAACTTTTAAAAGAAATCACCACAAAGCCTCAAAGTGACTAACAATGTTTCACTAAGAGACTTAGTATCTTCAAGGCCTGAAGAAGCCGTCCTCAGGCCCTGAAGTAGGTAAGTGTCCTAATGTCTTAAAAAAAAAAAGAAGCTTCAGGTCCTGAAAGAGCAAAGTGTCCTCAGGCCTTGAAGATGACCTATAGATGCTAAGTGACTTCAACCCTTGACTATGTTGCCTTTTGTCCCCAAAAAGGTTAGTGCCAAAGGCTTTTTAATGTGCACACTACTTGAGCCCTGCGCGGATAAGAGTTTGATCATCCGCATGCAAGACTTTGTATCTGCATCCGAACTGCATTGTTCTTAAATGTTTGTATCTTCATCCGATACGCATCCGCAGACGTCATGAAATCAAGCAATAATAAAAATTTAAGGAAGCATCTGGATGGTATCTTGTAAGCTGTCTGCTTACTTTTGTACAAAGAACTCTTTGTGTCAGAATACAGTAAAAGCCATTTTATCGTATTAATAAAATAAGCAATCATTCTTCCAGCTAGACACTTCGCATCGCTGGAATAATGATTTGAGTTATGAGATCGTCCTGGGAGTCCGTGACACTGACACTCTGTCCAGAAGGTGTGCTTTAAAGGAAGAAAATTTTAATACATATTTTCCTTTTTGCTTTCAAAAACCAACTTCAAGCAGATGCATATTTTATAAGTGTGAAAATTAACGAAGGACAGACTAATAACATTGTGTCATTTTATTTAGGCCAAGCAATAAAAAAGTGGTAGACGACTCACCGCAGCAAATTATAGTTGTGTATATATGGTAAGACGCTGGTACACCTTCAGCTGCATGCTGAGGGTGTACAACACAAACACTCAGCTGTGTGCTCGAAACCATATACTTAAAAACAACTCGATGCCAACTGTCGAAAAAAAAAGAAAACGCACACACAAGCAACGTTTTACTTGTCGAGGTTTCTGTTAGAAGAAACAAAATATTGATATCATGGATGGATTCAGACTGTTTCGCCTTTCTTAAAAAATACCCCCTAACGAGAAGCTTCTCTCCCTTGATGCTGGGGTGGCATTCACAAACTGCGCTACAAGAATGAGGTGCGGAAACTCGTGCTGGCCCAAGTTCCACCACTTCAGAGGATCGAAATCGGACTCCTCGATCCACTTGTAGGCGAGGAAGCCACTTTACAGGCTACTTCTGCTTTCTTCTGGCTTGTACGTTTTGTTGTTTTTTTTTCCCCAAGAAACGTTTTCCACTCTTTCCCTGTCAAACAAGAGCACGCTTTCCTGGGTCGACTTATGCTCCCGAGTTCTTTACTTTTTCTATAAACAACATTTCTAGAGAGACAGAACATATTCTAAAGCAATCTTTGGTGAGAATCAAATCTCTTTTGACGTAAACAACAATTTTCTCACCAATTGGCACCTTTCATCTAAGAGTGATGCACTTCATGGTATCACTCACTTATTCCCTCTACACCACGCAGTCGAACACGTCTATGGCCCCTCGGCAAAAATGTAGATCTGGACCTGCAGATATCCACATCCGATCCCTAAATCTCGTTCATTTTTATCTTATCTGCGGATATGCAGAGCTCTACCCACTACCTACTGCAGCTGGCAGCAGCGTGATGGAACGCTGGCCTCATGAATTAAGGTCTAGGCCCGTAAGAACAAATGTGATTATGCCGGAGTGATCTAGCAGGAGTGGTGCTCTTTCTTGCATTTTCAATTGAGTAAGCTGTGCTGGTAACAGCTTGTTACAACGGATCTTTGAATGATATGGCAACTCTCACTCAACTCTTTCTGACCTCCCTTTGTATGACACACTGATTTGTCCAAAGAATTCATGGGGTTATTAACACAATCACGAACAAAGAACTCCGACAGCACAGCCAAAACACAGCAGGTCTACAAAGTAGTTTTTACTCCGAGCATTCACCGGCTGTTCTTTAGGCAAGATTATATGGTCCTCATTCATGACTAACCTTGCAGATAAATTCTTGGAGTTGGTAGTTTCAACCTTGTTTGACATACACGAAATCAGCATTTGCCCATTAAATGCGACAAAATTGAAGGCTTATCGTACGGCTGTTGGTCGGCTCACACGAATACATCCATCATAGTCTCGACTTTTTTTTTTCTTTGAGACATTTCTCTCAGCTTAAAGCTCGCCACACTGCAACTGTGCATTTCAACATTCGTTCACGAGATCCCAAAAGTGGCCGAAAAGAGCAATAAGGTCAAATCGCGATAACAATCCCTCCTTCTTACACCGACACTGTCGTAAAACGTGTAGTGAACAGGTATACACCCTGCTACGAGAATACTTTCAAAACAACACGCTCCCAAAACTCAACCTGCTGAGTTATCCGGACGGTGTTTGGTAGCAGCTAGTCGTCGCGGTTACTTTTTTCGACGAGTTTGTTAGGTCGCCCATTTGTCATCAAGACGCCAGTCGTCGAAATCCATTTCGGGGCTGAGGAGTGACACCGCTTCGCTGGGAACACCTTATGAACGACACCGACCAACTGAGATACCCCGAGGCATGTGAAAGGCGACGGGCGTGAAGCGTCCAACGACAAAACAAGCTCCCGCATTCAGCCGACGTGTACAACCATTTTTTTTTTTTTTTTTTCTTCCCTCGGACAGCTGGGAGTTACTATGAACCAAGACACCTCCGACACCAACGGACGACAACGCTTACTCGAGTTCACAGGACTGTGGAGCTCGCTGGAAACTTCCATTTGGAAGTGAAGAAACGAGCATCTTTGAGCTCGTCAAGAGACAATTGAATACACCTACTCTGTTCTTGGGTCCAGTGCTTTCACGACGAGGCACGCAAAGGAGCACAGGGGAAAAGCCGCAGAGAAAACAAGAAAAAGACCAAGGAAACAGACAACTTGAGGAACTTCCGGTTAATGCCTTCCATTCATCCGCGCTGCTGCTTTCACAATGTATATGACGTCACAAACCTTAACTCTCCGGGCTCTTCGTTAGTTTTATTTTTATGTGAAGAGTTTTTATATTTATGAATTTAAAAACCGATTTTTATTTCTATAATTTGCCAGTAAAACTTTAAGTGAACTTCATAATCTTTGACATTTAATGATCACGTGATAGTAATTGGCCACCTGCCATTGATCGAGCAGTTGCGCGCACTCTTGGTTTTGTAGTGGTGGTTTATTTTTCTTCCTCGATTTGGACGATGCATGCACCGTGTGTCGCGAACGAAATTAAATTAGCGTGATGCTCTTCGACTGATATCCGGCTTCGCCATGGAAGAAGGTGAGAATTCGTACCTTCCTACTACGTTGAGAACATTAAACAAAAAACTTTGCGCGTAATTCGCATTGCGGAGTGCGAGCTCTTCTTAGCTGGCAGGTTTTGGAACAGTGGGAGACGAGCAGTATGTTTCGACGTAATTTTTACGCGATTTTACGCATGCCGCAGCTACCAAATCGTCAACGCCTCCTGAGTTGGCAAAATTGCTGCCGGAGCCGTCGTCGTCCGGCAGCGAAGAGAACACCCAAGCGACGGCTACATCGACGCAACCTTCTCAAGTGTCGACCAATGTTACGTCGTCGGCTTCAGCGTCTACCACGCAGGGGTCAGAAACCGGTTCCGCGACCTCGAAGGAGCCACGGGTAAGCCGCCCTTCAGGGCGTAGACAGTGCAACCTAGCTCATTCTCCAAGCTCGTATAGGTACCTCGTTTTGGGGCTTTGCGAAACAAACGTGAAAATTTTCGGTCGCGCACCATGTCACCTAGCTGCAGTTTGGAGATTTGTGTTTGTCCCTCTTGTTCCCCTTCTCCAGGGATTATTTTCGTGAAAATCCACCTGTTTGCGTCAGTAAACAGGTGGATTGCACGTTCCCTCGACTGATGGCACGCTTGTCCGATTGTCGTCAGCCAGTGGGACGTGTGCGTTGTCCACGTAAACGAACACTGTCAGCATAAGCACACACACACACACACAAAAAAAAAAAAAAAAAGAACAGGGTGAATTGTAAGTGGAAATATGCAGGCCAGCTGCTGACAGAAACATCATACTCTAGAGCCTTGATGTACAGAGAAATAAAATAAAACAATAAAATTGTTGTGCTGTCCATTATTTTGTCTCTCCCAATATCAAGGTGAGCTAATTATGATTATAAGGAGGTGCTTTTTATGTGCAAAGCTTGATGCACCTCCAGTCTCACCCAGTGGGAAATACATAGTGATGTGCACCAGACATCAAGTTTCGCAGCCTGATGGCGCACAGAAAGAGTCGGCGATGGCCTCATCACAGCAGCTAGATGGAAAGGTTACAGTTAACCATTCCAATACCGCCTCCTGTTTTTGCCCTCTATAAGCGGTTGACTGTGTTTTTGGGACTCGGGGGAACTTTTCTGTGCGAAGGGGGGATAAGCAGGGGTTAGGCTGTGAACCGCGTATGTTCATCTGCTTCTTTTTGCACGGTGGGTTGTGGTGACGTCAGAACACCCAGCTCTGATTCGTTCTGATTAAAGGATAGCGGGTAGACCTCAAAGCAAGCTGCCTTGAAGTCTACCTGCTATACTTCAATCGGAGCCAATCGCAGCTCGGCCTTCGGTTTTCACCACAACCCCTGCGAAAATAGCAGACGAATTTGTGCTCCACATAGTCCTTAGCCGGGTCCATATCACAAGAGTGAAGTACATTTTAGCGAACAGCGACATTTGAGCGAATGGACGTTTTAGCGAATAACGGAGGCGCGCATTAACCCATCCGCTGCGCTGCGCTTTACGCCGCTTTGCGGCGACAGTCTGCGGCAGCTCATTACAAAAATATGAACCCACTTGGCCCACCCGAAAACGCCGCTTTGCGGCGTCCGGCTATTCGCTAAAGTGTCGTTCGGTGAAACTTGGGCGTTCGCCAAAACGTCATTCGATCAAGTGAGTGCCTCCCTCCTTAGCCCCACAGTTCGCCCTGCAGCATAGTTGATAGAAAGAGGTCGCAAGTAACGCGGCAGTTTTGATCCCGAGCTGTTAACTGGGAATGGGTGCACATAATAGTATATATGTATGTATTCTGCAGAAGTTTTTGGTGTGCTGTTATCTGCTATATATGGTGTGTTGATGGCTCCATCACGGTCATAGATTCATGCAATCTCTCTCCCTACTCAACAGTGCACATGCGGCCAGGTAGGCATGCACAAGTCCTTCTTTGTTTGCAGATTCCAACACTAAGTTTGCAGGAAACCTTTGTTTTAAAAAATCGATTTAGACTAAGTTTGCGGGGAACCTTTGTTTTAAAAAATTTATTTTATTCATTAACCTTTTGAGGGTTGGGTTTTCTCTTCCTGCCTGCCGAACGCAAAGGTTGGTCTCAGTAACACTGTATGTAGCATGCTCTGTGAAGAATATTTATTTATAAAAGGCACACTATTTCATGGGCAAAAAGTTAATTGTACTTTTTAAGGCACTGTACTATGCAGTGGCACCTCGACCTTCCACCTTGATGTTACTCTTTTGTGCGGCCTTACTCTGCCTTGTTTTCAGAACCGTCAAATACCGAGTTCATTACCGTAGAATACCGCGCATCCGCCCATTCCACATTAAGCGCCCATTACCAAATTTGTGAAATCTGAGAAAATAAGCGCAGTACATTTATATGTAAAATTGATGACCGGACAAGCGCCCATTCTCCATTTTTTTCTCGATTATCTCCAAAGTTTGAGTGGGCGCTTGCCCGGTATTTTACGGTAGTCATTTCTATATCTCGGTGTTCGCCAGAAGCACGAGGTTGAACGACATAGATTTGCCATTCTGTAAAAACAAAAGAGCATATACTAAAACAAGTTGCCTGAGCACAAAAGAATTACATGCCATCAAAAATTGACCAGTCAAGATTAAACATGGCTTTCATGGCTTGCTCATACATGCCGCTACACGTAAAAAACAAATGACAGCTCAGTTGGGAGGGGCAAGGAGCAGACCGAAACTTAAACCACACGGGAACGAGTGTACTCAGCTGTGGCACTCAAAGTGTTAAAGGCATTTGGCCTCCAAGCTGGGAGAACAATGTTCATTGCAATGTTTCTCCTGGTGAGCTGATGCTGAAGCACATGCGAGAAAGAAAGCTTTGTTTCTGTAGTTTTGATCGCTTAATACAGATTTTCAGATTGTGCTCCGATTACAGTGTGACTGTTTTGTGCTGTTCTGTGTCTTTTGCTCCAGGGTGAAGATACAGAAGAAGGGGGAGACCTGTGTGAGTAGTTTCACATCAACGTGGATCCTCTCCTCGTAATCTTGGGTGACTACAGTTTCAGTACGGCTTCTTGCCCTTACTTAGACTGGGTGTCAGATGGATTGCCCATACATTTGCAGTAGCCTCGAACATCTCCTGGTGATTGCAAGGACATAGAGGAAGGACCTCCACCTTTTGGAAAAACAGCTGAAAAAGTGTTGATTGAGGTCACGCAACTTAGTTCTTAGACCCAGCCTGTTCCACAGCCTTTTGGGCAGGTCCCTAAGTGCCGTATGCAAAAGAAACAAGCTGCTTGCCATAAAGACGGGTTTATTAGCCGGACATAACTGCCCTGAAGCAATCGCTTAAAATGCAAAGTTCAAGGCAGATGGGCAAGCCAGCGAATACTTGCTAGGCAGGAACTTTTCGCACCTTTAGACTCCTAGCTCAAAACACTGTTTATACTTTCACACTACAGTATCAGATCTTGTAAGTGGGGCTTAAAAAATCAACGGAAATTATATTCGGCTTGCGAGGACACAAGGTCTACTCGAAGACACGGGAAACCCATTTAACCTTTTGGCAGGTTTCTCTTATCCAGAAACTTTTGCTTAGAATAAGTAGTTTCTTCTGTTTTCCGGCACCCTTCCGATGGCCCTTTCCTTTTCCAGTGAGCAACTTGAGCCACTACTTCTACCAGAAGCTTGGCTTTGACACCGACGAAGAGGCAGTCCATGTGTTGGAGGAACCCACGCTCGATGGCATCGTGAGGTACATCCACGGCAAAAAGTGTGAGTCCACGCTCGGGTAGCTGGGCCCCGCATCCATCTATATCCTGCTGGGAAACATGCTTTTACGTCAATGCACAGAGGTAACCTGTTTGTTACCCCTGAAAACACTGTGGTCCGTCATGTGGTACCGAGTACGCATTTAAGATTGCGGGAGGCCTTGTGAAAGCAGGTGGGATGATATACTATCACCAACTTACTTTTTTGCGAATTTTGCAGTTTGAAGAATGTTTTCAAAAATTTACCTCGCGAATATGTCGCCCCATGGTAACAAAGGCGTAGCATGCACTCCAACTTGCGAAAACTTGTGCCTGCAAAATATTTCCATAACCCGAACCTTGCAAAATTCACAAAATCTTAAGCCTGCAAAACATGAAAGGAGTTTACAATTCTCTGTAATGCCGAATTAGAGTGCAGATCTAGAGGAATAGGGGTGGGGGTATGCCCCTCCTCCCCCTTCGTAGCCTCCCCTCCTCCCGCTAAATTTAGCAAGGAAATTTAGCAGGGAAATTTGTCTGCTAAATTTAGTGGGGAAATTTTTCTGCTAAATTTAGTGGGGAAATTTTTCTGCTAAATTTAGCGGAGAATTTTTTCCACTAAATTTGGCGGGGAAATTTTTCTGCCCACTTTAGTGGGGAATTTTTCCACTAAATTTAGTGGGGAAATTTTTCCACTAAATTCACCAAAAAAAATTTTCTGCTAAATTTAGCGGGGAACTTTTTCCGCCAAAGTTAGCGGGGAAATTTTTCCGTTTAGTTTTGTGGGGAATTTTTGCACTATATTTAGCGGGGAAATTTTTCCACTCAATTTAGCGGGGAATTTCATTTGATAAATTTAGCTGGGAATTTTTCCACTAAATTTAGCATGGAAATTTTTCTGCTAAATTTAGCGGGGACATTTTCCACTAAATTTAGCGGGGAATTTTTTCCACTAAATTTAGCCGGGAAATGTTTCTGCCAACTTTAGCAGAAAAATGTTCCACTAAATTTGGCGGGAAACTTTTTCCACTATATTTACCAAAAACAATTTCTGCTAAATTTAGTGGGGCACTTTTTCTGCTAAATTTAGCGGGGAAAGTTTTCCACTAAATTTAGCAGGGAAATTTTTCCGCTAAATTTAGTGTGGAATTTTTGCACTGAATTTAGCGGGGAAATTTTTCCTTTAAATTTAGCAAGGAAATTTTACACTGAATTTAGCGGGGAAATTTTTCTGCTAAATTTAGTGGGGAATTTGTCTGCTAAATATTTAGTGGGGAAATTTTTCCACTAAATTTACCAAAAAAAGTTTTTCTGCTAAATTTAGTGGGGCACTTTTTCTGCTAAATTTAGTGGGGAAAGTTTTCCACTAAATTTAGCGGGGAAATTTTCCCGTTAAATTTAGTGGGGAATTTTTTACCTAAATTTAGCGAGGATATTTTTCCTCTAAATTTAGCGGGTAATTTTTACACTAAATTTGGCAGGAAAATGTTTTCCGCTAAATTTAGTGGCGAATTTGTCTGCTAAATATTTAGCGGGGAATTTTTTCCACTATATTTAGCGGGGAATATTTTCCACTATATTTAGCGGGGAAATTTTTTCGCTGCATCTAGCGGGGAAAGTTTTCCGCTAAATATAGCAGGGAATTTTTCCACTAAATCTGCGGGGAAATTTTTCCGCTAAATTTAGTGGGGAATTTTTCCAGTAAATTTAGTGGGGTAAATTTTTCCTCTAAATTTAGTGGGGAATTTTTCCACTAAATTTAGCAAGGAAATTTTTCCACTGAATTTAGCAGAGAAATTTTTCCTCTAAATTTAGCAGGGAATTTTTACACTAAATTTAGCGGGGAATTTTCCCACTAAATCTGCGGGGAAATTTTTCCGCTAAATTTACTGGGGAATTTTTTCACTAAATTTAGCGGGTACATTTTTCCTCTGAATTTAGCGGGGAATTTTTCCACTAAATTTAGCAAGGAAATTTTTCCGCTAAATTTAGTGGGGAATTTTTCCACTAAATTTAGCGGGGAATTTTTCCTCTAGATTTAGCGGGGAATTTTTCCACTCAATTTAGCGGGGAATTTCTGTTGATAAATTTAGCTGGAAATTGTTTCACGAAATTTAGCAGGGAAGTTTTTCTGCTAAATTTAGCGGGGACATTTTTCACTAAATTTAGCGAGGAAATTTTTCCACTAAATTTAGTGGTGAATTTTTCCGCTAAATTTGGCAGGGGATTTTTCCACTTAATTTAGCAGGGAATTTTTCCAGTTTCACAGGGAAATGTTTACACTAAATTTAGTGAAGAATTTTTCAACTAAACTTGGGGTGAAAATTTTCACGCTATATTTAGCGAGGAATTTTTTTTTCTAAACGTAGCGGGGAAATTTTTCTTACTAAATTTACCGGGGAAATTTTTTCGCTACATCTAGCGGAGAAATTTTTTCCGCTACATCTAGCGAGGAAATTTTCCGGCTACATCTAGCAGAGAAATTTTTCTACTAAATTTAAATGGGAAATGTTTTCATTAAATTTAGCGGGTAAATTTTTCCGCTACAGCTAGCTGAGAAATTTTTTACTCTAAATCTAGCGGGGAATTTTTTCATTAAATTTTGCGGGAAAATTTTTCCGCAAAATTAAGCGGGAAATTTTTTACACTAAATTTAGTGGGGAAATTTTCCACTAAATTTAGCGGGGATTCTGCTACATCTAGTGGGGAAATGTTTCTACTAAATTTAGCGGGGGAATCTTTTTGCTAAATCTAGCGTGGAACGTTTTCCGCTAAGTTCAGAGGGGGAATTCGTTTGCTACGTCTAGCGGGTAATTTTTTCCGCTACATTTAGCAGGGAAATTGGGGAGTGTTCATAGACCGCTCTGCCCCCTACGCTAAGCGTTCCGCAACGAAGAAGTTGCTACTGCACCTGTGCGCCGATAGCCTTCTCTGTGGAGTTCCCGCTATCGTAGCGGGTTGCGGGAGGGCCTTGCAGGACGGCGAAAACGATCTACGAAAACTCCCTATTTTTCTACAAACTTTAGCGGGGAAATTTTTCCACTAAATTTAGCGGGGAAATTTTTTGCTACATCTAGCGGGGAAATTTTTCCACTATATTTTAATGGGGAAATTTTTCCACTAAATTTAGCGGGGAAATTTTTCTACTAAATTTACCGTGGAAATTTCTCCCCCAAATTTAGCGGGGATTTCGCGGCATCTAGCGGGGAAATTTTTCAACTAATTATACCGTTGAAATTTCTCCACTAAATGTAGCGGGGATTCCGCTACATCTAGCGGGTAAATCTTTCCGCTGCATCTAGCGGGGAAATTTTTCTACTAAATTTATGCAGGGAAATTTTTTTGCTACATCTAAAGTGGAAATTTTTCCGCTAAGTTTAGAGGGGGAATTTGTTTGCTACATATCTAGCGGGAAAATTTTTCCGCTCATTTAGCGGGGAAATTTTTCTACTAACTTTAGTGGGGAAATTTTTTAAAATAAATTTAACGGGGAAATTTTTTGCTACATCTAGCGTGGAAATTGTTTCGCTAAATTTAGCGGGAAAATTTTTCCACTAAATTTAGCGGAGAAATTTTTCCATTAAATTTAGTGGGGAAATTTTTTTGCTACATCTAGTGGGGAAATTTTTCCGCTAAATTCAGGGGAAAATTTTTCCTCTATATTTAGTGGAGAAATGTTTCTGCTACATCTAGTGGGGAAATTTTTTTGCTAGATATAGCAGAGAATTTTTCCACTAAATTTAGAGAAGAATTTTTTTGCTCAGCGGTAAAATTTTTCTGCTAAATTTATCAGGAAAATTTCCCCGCTATATTTAGCGGGGAAATCGTTCCGCTAAGTTTAGCGGGGAATATTTTTCCTCTAGTAAACTTTTGTTGGTTCGAACTTTGGTTAATTCGACTTTTCGTTTAATTCAATGGTGTTCAAAAGTCCCGGCGAGTGCCCATACATTTCTATGGGAGGAAAAGTTTGATAGTTAGAACGGAAGACTCCGCATCGGATAATTCGTCCCAAGCGAGAGTGTGCGGGCTCACATTGCATGGCACCACGGCAGAAAAGCCACCAACGTACCGCGAAACACGGGCCCTTTGCTGCAATGCCGAACATGCGTAAATATGCGCCTGCTCCTCTACGCCGTTGAGATGGACCTTAGCGAATGACACGAGTCAGCGCAACCAATCTGGCGTGAAGTAGTGCGGAGAACATAGCACGTGGTCGAACGCGGAGACACCGCGCGCGGCACGCGCTCTCAAAGCACTTTTCTGTGGCATCGTGTGCAGTTCATCTTGCGCGCTACGGAAAACGCAAGTTCTCTTTTCCTTTTTTTTTGTGTATTTTCTTTTTCTGGCGCCGACGGTTTGGCCACTTGGCATCAAAGTTGGTTCATAAAGCTTTCTCAGCGCACGCTTTCTCAAAGAGCTTTTCTGTAGCGTCGTGTTCTTTTTCCTTTTATTTTTGTTGTTATTTCTCTGTCTCCGACGGCCTGGCTGCCCGGCGCCAAAGTCGGCTAAACATCTTTGTTTTTCTGTTTCTTCTTTATTTATTTATTTATTTATTTTGTGCACAATTTTTCGGGGACGTGACGTTTAGTTATGCTGCTCTCCGGAGCATGCTTTTGGACACGCGTTTTAAGCGCAGACGGCGGCAGACCATCCGTGAGTACTTTGGACAATAAAAAGAAGTTTAATTTTAGCCGTTTTTTTTTTTTTGTCCTTTTTAATTTGATCATTCTGATAATTCGACCAAATTTCAAGGTCCCGTCGAGGTCGAATTAACGAAAGTTTACTGTATATTTAGTGGGGAAACGTTTCCGCTTGATTTAGCAGAAAAACTTTCGCTCTAAAATTAGCAAAAAGAATTCCTCGCTTAATTTGGCGGAAAAATTCCCCCGCTAAATATAGCGGGGAAATTTTCCCATAATGCGACGCACGGTCACACCTGGTTGCATTACAGTTGAACCTAATTATTTCGTTAAATCGGGAACTTCGTAAAATCGAGAAAGTCATTCTTTGGGCATAGGCTGCACGGGGAATCCGTAAAATCTGGTTTCCTAAAATTGAGGTTCAACTGCATTTTTATAATGCAATGTGCGCAATTACGCTGACGGCGACGCTGCTCAAGCTTTGGTTGTGCATGCACACTCTAGTCTTACCGGACGCTGACGCGTTAACAAGAGGTAGAAAATTTTCAAAACAAAAAATATCTACACAACTTCACTGGAATCGTCAAATGACAACTTTGTTACTGCATAATCGCATACCTTTGCTGGGCGTGTTGTACGAAAATGTTGTTATTTCGTGATAATCTGTGGCGTTCTTGTTTCTGTTAAACGGATAGTGTGATTCTAAAGGCGTGCAATTAGTTTCATCATCATTTGACTCGCCATCGTCCACTTTCGTTGTGCCCTCGAGAAGCCTTTGAACTGTTATTTGAGCTTCTGTCGACTGAGTGATGCAGCGGGTGTGTTCGTAGGTGCGTTGCACAATTAATTGTGCGGTCGAGCGACTCCAGACTGGAGAGGCAACTGCCTCGCTGTGATTGGGGCTGGCGTTCATTGCAAATCCCCTCTTTTTCCCAGGCAAGAACGTCATCGCCATGATCGGGGCCGGAATCTCCACAGGTGAGGTGATATGAACCGATATGGAAATGAGAGACCAGAGAAAGGCGACTGGACTGAACTGGCCAATCTTTGAACCACATCTTTTATTCAATTTCTGTAACTTCTTTGTGCAATATGCGAAACAAATTACCCCCTTCCCCCACCCCCCTTTTTTTTTGTAGAGGCGGTCTCATATGTGTTTTGGGACCTCTTGCACCTATGAATTTTTTACAGCAAATGTATCGAGATACCAAAGCCTGACAAAAGGATCGCGACACAATCAATGCATCATAAAAGTGTCTCACTGCTGAAATACAAATACATTTCTCGAATGTATCTTGATACAGCAATACAGTCGCTCGAAAGCGTCTCCAAGATAGTATCGCTATACATTTGTTTTGCGATACATTTATATCACGATACTGCCCACTTGGGGGGTCTCGAAGCATATATAATAGCATTGAGCTTTACAGATTTGGAAACTTGTTCTACGACAATTTCGTCGGATATCACCAAAGTAATGCTGCGATTCTTTCTTTTTTTCTTCTTTGCTTTTTCTTTTATAGATTAGGGTTTTGTGTTTTCGACATAACCGATAATATCTCAAATTAACCCTTTGTGCAGGTTTGATTGAAATCGGAGAAAACCGAAAAACCTAGCATTTGAGTTGTCCTTGAATGAGTAAAAGGGAAGCTATGGGGAACAGAAATCTTGATCTACAGCTTTATTTCGTGTTGACGCAAAACTCTGCCTGCGCCGAACTACTGCCTTCTTCAGGAACCCTTGTCCCCTTTCCTTCCCTTACAATCGGGGAAAACAAAAAAACCTAGAATTTGAGTTGCCCTTGAATGATTAAAAGGGAAGCTACGGGGAACAGAAATCTTTATCTACAGCTTTATTTCGTGTTGACGCAAAACTCTGCCTGCGTCGAACTGCTGCCTTCTTCAGGAACCCTTGTCCCCCCCCTTTCCTTCCCTTACAATCGGGGAAAACCAAAAAACCTAGAATTTGAGTTGCCCTTGAATGAGTAAAAGGGAAGCTACGGGGAACAGAAATCTTTATTTACAGCTTTATTTCGTGTTGATGCAAAACTCTGCCTGCGCCGAACTACTGCCTTCTTCAGGAACCCTTGTCCCCTTTCCTTCCCTTACAATCGGGGAAAACCAAAAAACCTAGAATTTGAGTTGCCCTTGAATGAGTAAAAGGGAAGCTACGGGGAACAGAAATCTTTATCTACAGCTTTATTTCGTGTTGATGCAAAACTCTGCCCGCGCCGAACTACTGCCTTCTTCAGGAACCCTTGTCCCCTTTCCTTCCCTTACAATCGGGGAAAACCAAAAAACCTAGAATTTGAGTTGCCCTTGAATGAGTAAAAGGGAAGCTACGGGGAACAGAAATCTTTATCTACAGCTTTATTTCGTGTTGATGCAAAACTCTGCCCGCGCCGAACTACTGCCTTCTTCAGGAACCCTTGTCCCCTTTCCTTCCCTTACAATCGGGGAAAACCAAAAAACCTAGAATTTGAGTTGCCCTTGAATGAGTAAAAGGGAAGCTACGGGGAACAGAAATCTTTATCTACAGCTTTATTTCGTGTTGATGCAAAACTCTGCCCGCGCCGAACTACTGCCTTCTTCAGGAACCCTTGTCCCCTTTCCTTCCCTTACAATCGGGGAAAACCAAAAAACCTAGAATTTGAGTTGCCCTTGAATGAGTAAAAGGGAAGCTACGGGGAACAGAAATCTTTATCTACAGCTTTATTTCGTGTTGATGCAAAACTCTGCCTGCGCCGAACTACTGCCTTCTTCAGGAACCCTTGTCCCCTTTCCTTTCCTTACAATCGGGGAAAACCAAAAAACCTAGAATTTGAGTTGCCCTTGAATGAGTAAAAGGGAAGCTACGGGGAACAGAAATCTTTATCTACAGCTTTATTTCGTGTTGACGCAAAACTCTGCCTGCGCCGAACTACTGCCTTCTTCAGGAACCCTTGTCCCCTTTCCTTCCCTTACAATCGGGGAAAACCAAAAAACCTAGAATTTGAGTTGCCCTTGAATGAGTAAAAGGGAAGCTACGGGGAACAGAAATCTTTATCTACAGCTTTATTTCGTGTTGATGCAAAACTCTGCCTGCGCCGAACTACTGCCTTCTTCAGGAACCCTTGTCCCCTTTCCTTCCCTTACAATCGGGGAAAACCAAAAAACCTAAAATTTGAGTTGCCCTTGAATGAGTAAAAGGGAAGCTACGGGGAACAGAAATCTTTATCTACAGCTTTATTTCGTGTTGATGCAAAACTCTGCCTGCGCCGAACTACTGCCTTCTTCAGGAACCCTTGTCCCCTTTCCTTTCCTTACAATCGGGGAAAACCAAAAAACCTAGAATTTGAGTTGCCCTTGAATGAGTAAAAGGGAAGCTACGGGGAACAGAAATCTTTATCTACAGCTTTATTTCGTGTTGATGCAAAACTCTGCCTGCGCCGAACTACTGCCTTCTTCAGGAACCCTTGTCCCCTTTCCTTTCCTTACAATCGGGGAAAACCAAAAAACCTAGAATTTGAGTTGCCCTTGAATGAGTAAAAGGGAAGCTACGGGGAACAGAAATCTTTATCTACAGCTTTATTTCGTGTTGATGCAAAACTCTGCCTGCGCCGAACTACTGCCTTCTTCAGGAACCCTTGTCCCCTTTCCTTCCCTTACAATCGGGGAAAACCAAAAAACCTAGAATTTGAGTTGCCCTTGAATGAGTAAAAGGGAAGCTACGGGGAACAGAAATCTTTATCTACAGCTTTATTTCGTGTTGATGCAAAACTCTGCCTGCGCCGAACTACTGCCTTCTTCAGGAACCCTTGTCCCCTTTCCTTCCCTTACAATCGGGGAAAACCAAAAAACCTAAAATTTGAGTTGCCCTTGAATGAGTAAAAGGGAAGCTACGGGGAACAGAAATCTTTATCTACAGCTTTATTTCGTGTTGATGCAAAACTCTGCCTGCGCCGAACTACTGCCTTCTTCAGGAACCCTTGTCCCCTTTCCTTCCCTTACAATCGGGGAAAACCAAAAAACCTAAAATTTGAGTTGCCCTTGAATGAGTAAAAGGGAAGCTACGGGGAACAGAAATCTTTATCTACAGCTTTATTTCGTGTTGATGCAAAACTCTGCCTGCGCCGAACTACTGCCTTCTTCAGGAACCCTTGTCCCCTTTCCTTTCCTTACAATCGGGGAAAACCAAAAAACCTAGAATTTGAGTTGCCCTTGAATGAGTAAAAGGGAAGCTACGGGGAACAGAAATCTTTATCTACAGCTTTATTTCGTGTTGACGCAAAACTCGGCCTGCGCCGAACTGCTGCATTCTTCAGGAAGCCTTTTCCCTTTTCCTTCCGTTATCAAAACGCTTTCCATGTATTTGGGTCATGCTCCCTGGAGGTTAGGGGACTCTTGTCCCTCGAAATAAGTCCCAACAAAACACAGATTTTTTGTTTGGCACCAAAGATAAGACATTGAAGAACACAGAATCTTCAAGAATAGATAAACCCCTCAAGAACACGTCCTAATTTTAAGAAAAATAGACCCTGAAGACGCAGAGCCCGAACCACAGACAGTGCGGGTGGCCGCAACGGTTCCACTTTCCTCGGCTTTCCGTCTCCCCGCAGCGGCTGGCATTCCAGACTTCAGGAGCCCCACGAGCGGCATCTACTCCAAGCTCGGCAAATACAACCTGCCCTCCCCGGAGGCCATCTTCGAAATCGGCTACTTCAGGGTACCCGGCATTTTCCGTCACTTTGGTTGTATAGTCCATGGCGGGTAAAGAATAGTGGGACGGGCCCATCCCACGAGGTTTTTTCCACTTTAGCAGATAAGTTGCAGGAGAGGAGGCGAGCGGAGAGGAGGAAACCGCCAATCGCGATGAGCAGGGAGCTTTTGGGAGGAGGGACCCGTCTCGCCATTCTTAACCCGCAACGGACCACGGTAGTACATTGGTGTGCATCCGGTCCAGTTTGGCACACGTCCAAACTCTCGAAAAGCGGCTTTGCCACCGGTGCCACACTTATAGACCCCACTCCAAATTCAATCTGGCAACTTTGTGTCACTAACGTTGTCCTGGCGTGTGGCACCTGTGCTGAACTGACGGCGGCCTTCTTGAGTCTACAAAGGAAGAAGTTGAAGGCAGCACTGGAGGGGAGAATATGTGAGGCCCGGCACGTTTGAGACGTCGGTACAAGACGCGTGTCTACGACGGCTGCTTGAGCGTTTGTTTCGGATCGTGTTCCCATCGATCTCTCGGCACAAGTTTGTCTCTAAAGACTTTTGATGACGAAAAGTGTGTGAATGGGCTTTTATGGGACACCACTTTGCTCTGGTCAGTTCTTGTGTTTACACCGTCAACACCGAAACAAATCGAGGAAGACTTATGACGCGATCGAAGAACCAATTTTTATCTGCCATTGACGTGCGAAAGTGACGGTGTCCGATAAAATACAGTTTCACAACCGCTGTTACTTTGTCAAAAGTGAAACTGCCTTTTGAGCCACCAGATGGTACTGAATTTTGAAAAGTGCCTATTGATCCTGCTTCGGTGGTCCGTGATGCTACAAAGCCTACCTCAGTTACGGAACAGCCTCAACAGCTTTGGGAGTTCATCGTCAATGAAAATTCATCTTCAACTGCAAGCTCAACTTTCTCTTCAGTGTCTCCCTAATTTGTTGGCGCAAAAAAATAATTTGTATGTTTGTGTTTGGACGGTTTCTGCACATTCTTCATCTTTGAGTTGGCCAGAGGACTGCCGGAGTGTAATTCATTCTTTATCTGCTGACTGTCGCGAATTTAAGGTAAGCTTTGTTTTTGCTTTCCAGCGGAACCCCGCCCCCTTCTACTCATTGGCTAGGCAGCTCTTTCCCCAGGACCTGAAGGTAGGCTGCACATATTTCCTGACTCTCTATCATCTTCAGTCTCCACGTGGGACCTTTTCTAGACTACAGTCTCCTGAATCTGTGTGTTATGTATAACGAATGGCAGTGTATGTCTACATACCGTAATATCCCGAGTCATCGCCCACCCCCCAACCGCCTGAAATTCTTTAAAAAAGTGGGGTGGGCCATGTCTCGGTGGGTGAGCACAAACAGTTGAAAAAAAGCGGAAAAAACCGCCTATTTTTCTCTGCGTATCTAGCGCTGATGCACAAGAGATACCTCAAACTCAACACTCGATTTAGTTTCATTGTTTTATAGAAAAAAATGCTCACGAAAGAATATTTTACTATAGCGAAGTCCGATGCTTGCATACGCGCTAGAAACACCGCCGACCTGCATATAGCACGAACGTTTGTTCCGTGAAAGAATGTCACCATTATGTTCTCCTAGTTAGTAAAAAAAGAAAAGTCTACAAGAAAATAGAAAAACCGACCAGGCACAACGAGCGAGCGAGCGAGCGGACCAAAGAAGCGACCAAGAGCAATGCTGGGAAAGCGGGAAAGCCGGCGGTCGCATTGGCAAATACTTTGGCGTCGGGCCAAGTCGGGCGCCTTGTCAATTGCAAGCTCTTGCGCAACTTTCTTGTTTGGTGCGTACATACGTACATACGTGCATCCGTGCACGGCAGGCTATCAATGCACGGTTGGGACGCTCTGCAAACGTCTGTGTAGGACGTTCCAGCAAAGCTTTATTTACGCTTTGGCTTTGCCTAAAATATTGCACAACCGAGGTCGCGACGGGCGGGAAGAAGGAGCGGGTTCGCGGTGACCTTACTTGGGCGGAGACAGACTTCGACCTAACACTCCGCGGTTAGGTTAACAAACTCTTATTTTGTTATCTCCATCGTTTTCTTTTCGCACGTATACACGACCACTTTGGTGTCGCTTACGGAGGAAATGCGTAAACAAAAAGAAGTGTCTTTCCCTCCTTCGTTTTACTTTGTCACGGACGCCCTCCAACTGTAAGGTCCCCGGCCGCGTCATTCGGGTAGGATGAGTGTTCGCGGATCGCAGAGTCCGCGCTGGGGTATTTGAAGGGGTGGGCGATCACTCGGTATTTTTTCGGAAATCGATATTGGCCCAAAAAATGGGGTGGGCGATGACTCGGGATATTACGGTAAGTACATTTCCCTTTGCTTCAGTTGAAAATAACTCTTTGTTTCTGTAGCCTGCTTTATTCATCCGTCGTGTGTTCGTTACTGCCGAGTCGCACAAACAAAGCCATTGTCGATTCTCTTTTTCATGCTTGGTTATGTTTTCTCCCAAGGCCCGCTTAAAAGGAAGCTGAAGAGGTTCTTGAAAAAAACGAGTTAGAAGTGAATTCTTGCGTATTTTTGTCCCGTGAATTTGAACATCACGAGCATTCAACCGGAATGTATCAATAGGCGCGAGAAAAACCAAAAAACGAACCACTGGGTGTGACGTCATACTCGGAGGTTTCAGCTGTCTCGCGTGTGCCACTTGTGAAAGAGTGTGTGCGGTGCTTTTAGATGCTCCGGCTTGCGGAAAGTGCGGAAATGTTGAGATCTCCGTATACTATGTCGTGAATACCTCCTCGTGCCGAACGCAATGGAAACGAGGGGCTTCGGTGCCATTTTGTAAACGCTGTCGTGGCTACTTGGCGCATCAATCTGAAATATAATTTTGATATTCGTGACCCTAGAGGTCAAATAAAGGCGATTTAAGTTTTTTTTTTCAAATACAGAACGACTACAGTTTTTTTTAATTGAAAAGTGATCTCAAGATGGGTTCTGCGTGCATTGAGAGCTCAGATCAGTGTCTGATACAGACCTAAGATAGGCTGGATTTATTTATTCATGTATTTATTTTGGTACTTGCTGGTTCAGATGGTGCTATGGAGAAAGCTAAAACAACTGTGGAGATAGATGCAAATGGTGCAAAAGTGTTACATAAATTAAAAGGTTTTCCGAGGCTGTCTATGTAGTAGTGCTGCCGCCAAGTGGGCGGAATGCGCACTTGCTCAGTAGCATCAGAAGCAACGACCGTGGTAGTCCGAAACAAACGCAAAGGAATTGTGCTGCCATTTCCCACCCAACCGCAACACAGTCGGCCGGGGCATCCGAGGAGCACACCTCCTAGTCGACAGAATGTTGCCCTTTCCCTGCGCGAATGTGTGCCTGAAGCCAGTTTGTGTCTGCTCGTTTTCTCTTGCAGCCGACGCTGAGCCACTACTTCCTTCGCCTCGTTCACGAGAAGGGGCTCCTGCTCAGGCTGTACACCCAGGTGAGCTTTTCTTCGTCTTAAACCTCGTGAAATTTCGAGGTATAGCTCCCTCCTCGCGAAAAATGGGGTCAACAAACTTGCCACGGTCAATGGCAGACGATGACGGTAGGTGGTCTGCACCACAAAAAATTTAAAGGGGCCCTGCAACGACTTTTTCACTGGTTTTTAATTTGCACCGAACCTGAGCACACTGAACGTAGTGACTTGGTGAAACTTTTTTCGAATTTCGCTTTATTTTAAAAGTTACAGGCAAATTAAATATACAAAAAGAAAGCAAAAAATAATCTCCTTCATGACGTCCGAGGTCCTGGCTTGGGTGGCCGTGAACTACAGGAGGGGTAGTGAGCTCAGCGAGCGCTCACGGCTGCCACACTTAGTGTCGACAGCTCGAGAGGGCGCCATTAAAGCCTGGGCTGGATAGGCTGGATGAAGCGGGCGGCCAGGGCGGCTAGCATTGCATTTGCTGGGCGACTAAGCACTAATTCAGCATGACACTTCATTGGCCATAAACGACAGGAAACGCGGGATAACAATCAGTTCAGAGCAGGAGCCACTTTGCACTGCCAAACTGCCGAATCGCAAGCGAAACCTGCTCTCCAAGGGACTCCGGAACGCTCGGAACCGGACGAATTTTCGGCCCTTACGACCGCAGCGTCGCCGCATACGTCCGGGGCCTTTCCACGCTCGCCGCTCGTCGGTGCCTGGTCCCACTATCTTTTCTAGTATGCGCCGCCTTTCCCACCTCTTGGTGGCGGGTATGTCGACGGGTCATTCCTGGTTACCATACTTTCTAAGCTGCATTTGATTCTTTCTCATCTAAAATACCGAACAAAAGCTACTTTCATAACTAATCGAGTGGTTCGCGCCACTTATATTTTATATTTCGACTAAATAAAAAAAGCTTTCAGCGGTTCTGCCCAGTCGTAAGGCTAGGACCGACAACGTCATGATGTCATCACATGCCGCACGCGTTCGGTGCCACGGACCGCCCTCGTAGGTAAAGGAGACTTCCGCGGCGTCCGGTTAAAATTTGACGCACTGATATTTAGTTACTCTCTCCGTGCCCGCTGGGTTGCCCGAACCCCAAGAGACGTGGAAACCGCAAAAAAGGTAGACGCTTAAATATGATTGCACGGCCCCTTTAAGCTTATAGACGTGCATAGTTTGCGAACTGTAATCCGAAAAATATGTTAGAGCTGAAGGAACAGGTGGATCGAGCGCTCTAAAACTGGTACAAGCAGGGCGGGACTCACTGTGCATCTGCTGCAGAACATTGACGGCCTGGAACGAGTGGCGGGCGTCCCCGTAGAGAAGATAGTGGAGGCTCACGGCACCTTCCACACCTCGCACTGCATCAACCCGGCGTGCAACCGGATATTTACCCTCGACTGGCTACGAGGTGAGGCCCTTTGGGGTTGGTGACTGCCTTCCAGAAAGTAAGCTGCCAAACTGGAATGGGGTAGAGACGCTAATGAGTTTTGCTTCGATCCGTCGATGAAAATTCGGAGTTTCAGGAATCTCGTCGCTTAAAATCGCGGGGGGCGCACCATTGGCCGAGCGTGTCGGCGCACCGCAGCTCGGAGCACGCGAAGTGGCTGCTCGCGCCGCAGAACCCGGGGATTCCGGGTCCAGCCCCACCCCTGCCCGTTTCGATCTGGACGAGCGTCGTACCGGCGTGCGGTCACATATCGCACATTAAGTACGGTACTGCACTAGCAAAGTTCCTCGTCTACGGTGTTGACATTGGACGTTCATGGGGCCGACTAACGCCCTGCCGTCTAAACACAAACACACACGCTCGACAAACTTTGAAATCTTCATTTCCGTTTCTTCGAAGCTTTGTCCGAAATTGCGGGAAAGAGGTATCCATCTTCTAGGAATCTTGGAACGGTCTGGGATAGAGCATAACATCGCCGGAACTCCCCGTCGTCGTGCTCATAGCTCTGAAAGTTGCATTTTTTTAATCGTAACAGACGCCAACTGCGCCCACCCTGCACTAAGCACCATAATGGCAGCACTCGCAAGAAAATCGAGGAACGGGGAACAGCGTAGTCCTGGGTGGTGACACACAATGCAGCAGAATCGAACTGCATAATAGGCAAAGTCGGTTCATTAAAAATCTTTTTTCAAGAGACATCTATCTCTATTACACTGGCATTCGCAATGCATCCCGGCATGTCCCCCCCAAAAAATTAGTCTATTTTTCGCCGCAAAAAACAAACTAGTAGGCACCTTCCGAACACTCATTCTCCACCCAAACGTAGCCCTACTGATCTATTTGGGGCCCCTTTCGCTCGTTTCCAGCAACTGCCGCCGTTCGGTTTTGCGTGATGAAAATTTAATCATGTCTTCTTTGTCTTGTGATTGTTCATACCTAAATGAAACTACTATACTTGGGGACAACGTTTCTTGGCATTTTCGAGGAGAGAACGTAGCGCACCCAGCTTTGACGGGCTCTCAACATGGGAGAGGGCACGTGTGCCCATACCTTCGACTGCATTGCCAAGGAAAGTTGTCCCCGAGGATTGGCACTTCATTGTTTGTTGCTGCACAACAAAACTGCCGTAATTACCGCAAGTTTGTTGGGAATCAACAATGTGTTGGCCAGGTCTGAAGTACTTGACTCCAAGTCTGGGCAGAGATCCTTGCACACAAGCTTGTACTGGCATGAATTGTTGGTTCTCCTTGCATGGTTTGGCAGACCTTGCTTGTGCTACAGCATGTTGTTTCATTAATGTTGCTGCGCATACTCCCTCACATCGGCACAGTGGCATGGGTGCACTGAGCTGCAAAGTTGGGTTTGAGTGGGTCAATTTCCTTTTAGAAACCGGGCTGTTTTCTTTCCCTGGCAGACAAAATTGCTAAAGACATTGTCCCGTTCTGCCCCGTGTGTTCGAGCGTCATCAAGCCAGGTGAGTGAATGCGGCCCAATGGCACGTAGCTTATTTTTTCCATGCAAAAAACTGAATACTTTTCCTAATGGCTTTTTGTTGCGCTGTTTCGACAGAAACTCAGAATCCCTGACTTTTTGTTTTTTGTTGTTTTTTTCTCTTCTCACTTTTCAGATATTGTGTTTTTTGGAGAACGACTGCCCGAGCGTTTCTTTGAGCTGTCCGAAGAGGTGACCTAACTTTTTTTTACTTTATGTTTCTGATATTTTGTGTAAATGCAACGCTTAAAGATGCAGCATGGCAGCTTCGATGAGCCGTGAACCAGCAGTTACTAACGTTTGTTTTCAAATAAGAATTTTAGTACCGACCTGTGGTGTTGCGTAAAAATAATGTTCCATCTATACAACGTTTGGGGGAAAACATGTACTGGCATGTGCAGTGAAGTATTGTCACTGTCGTTAAAACTGAAATATCCCTATCCTACCACATGCCTGTTTGTTTTTCCAAAGTTGGGTTCCATGGGAATTCCCATACAGTGAAAAGAAAGTTTTATATTCACTCTTATTTTGCTCAAAAACATTTGTGCAGCGCGGATTTTGTTTCTAACACACCCTCCATCTTGTTCGAACGGCACGAATTCTTCAGGACTTTGCCAGGTGCGACCTCCTGATCATCATTGGCACCTCACTGCAAGTGCAGCCCTTTGCGGGACTGGTTGACAAGTGAGCCACCCTTTGCTAGCTAAGCCTAAAGAAGGGTCTGAAGGTTTCCCACCGCACACATTCATTCGGCATGCCGGCAGACTCTGTGTGTCAGGCGAGAAAAAGTAAACCATCTCTTTTGCGCCGTCTGTGCTCGTCCGACGTCCCGCCGTTCCTTTCGTCTGCGAGCGTAGACAAAGGAGAGCGAGTTGACGTAGCGTTACATCCTCCCACAGGGTCCACAACTCGATCCCTCGTCTGCTGATCAACCTCGAGAAATGCGGTCAAGGGAACCTCATGAGCAAGATCCTGGGCCTGGGCTGCGGCCTCGACTTCGACTCGGAGGCAAACTACAGGTTGGCCCGCCCTTTAGGCACATACTCTCCGTTTGTCCCGTTTAGGGGGAACGGCTTGTGATGTTTCGTCATATTTTCTGTAGTTGAGGCTCGTTCACACACTTGCGCTTGACTCCAACCGACTGAGACAAGGCCGGTTTTTAAAACTTTCGTAGCGGCTCACGACCGGCTGCATTGCTGCTCATCCAGTCGTAAGCCGTCCCGAGAGGCTTGAAAACCGGTTTCGTCTCAGTCGGTCGTAACGCAAGTGTGCGAACGGGGCTTTGGTTTCGTTTCCTTTCAGACAGGGTCCAAAAGCGGGGCCAGTGCAAAAGGCTAAGAAGCCTGACAAGGCACTGGTCCCTCGCAATTCTTACGAGTAGGGTAGTTGCATAAATAAAAGCAAAAAATGCATTCAGCTGAAAGATTGAAACTTAAACATAGTGATAACATAGAAATACATAAATATTAAGTAGCAAGAAAGCAAAGAAAGTGGAAAAATTCACAAAATAGAGGAATGATTGAATATATGGATATAAGCAGATAATGCAAAACACCTAACAGCACTAAAAACAAAAGCTTCATGCATTTTTTTTTTTTGACAATGCAATGTGTTTTACGTTTTATTGAGATAGGGTATCGCTGCCAAATATAATATATGCTGGCATAAAGCAAATGCTGTGGCCCCCATGATCCCAGCAGACAAATGGAGCAAAGCACATAACACCTCTCCACTGGGAAAGCGCACTTTTGACGGTTCGCTGTAGCACACTTTGCTCCCGCGCTATGATTGGCTCGTTGGCGCCGTAGCCTTCACTGTTTACAAAGTTGAGCTGAAATGGAGTTCTGTGTTTTCAGAACGGTAGTCTGTAGACTATACATGTTTAAAAGTTGGAATTTTATGCGAACCATCTAAAGGTGCGGACTTTGACAAGACGCAACGGATGCAAACTTTTGTCAAAATGTGCTTTGTATGAGGGCTATTTTTTTTTGTATCTAAGGAAAAACGTTTTTTTTTTAACCGAAATTCGCTCTCACTGACTATTGTCCAGAATAGGTATATAAAATGCCATCTGTTAAAGATTTTTTTTTTTGTTCCCTAATGTTTTTGTGTTAGTTTCTCTTCCCACCCTTCGTCAGTCTCAGCAATCTTCTCTCGGTGAATTTTGCCAGACTTGTTCCTTGCCCCGGTAGTTTCCCTGCATTACCATACACCGGTTATGGTTGGTGCAGTGTCGTGCCTTAAACTATTTGTCTTGCCATGCCCGGGCACTCGGGTTTGGGTAAAGTCGGCAATCGATTTCAGGGACGTGGCATTGCTGGGAACGTGCGACTCGGGCTGCCGCCTGGTGGCCGATCGTCTGGGCTGGAAGGTGGGTGTGCCACTTACGGTTTCGGTGCACCAAAAGTGAATGAAGCGTCGCGATAGAAACTACAGTTGGAATGCTAACGTTGCGCCAATGATCAGGATGAGATAAATACATAAAGAAGGCAGCTGACTGAATGTGCTGCGTAGGTTAGAATAATTATAACGAATTTTAATAATGGGATACTGTTCATAGTGCATCGGATGCCGGTTTTCGTCAACGGAGGAGACTAAATCGGTTTCTTCATGACCCACGAAATCTTGCACCGTGCCGCTTATTCGCAAATGTGTTTCGTTTTCGCATGTTTTGTGGTGCGTTTGAAACGTCTACAAGTCGTCTTCACTCCTTGTCGCTCGAGTGGGATGTGTCGAAGACCTTGTTTCGGCTCTTGCGACAACAACTCGTTCAAAGTTATTTTGATCTCTTTATGCAGGCTGCTTCCTTATGTTTTTCAAAATTAATGCAAGGAAGGGAGTTAGGTTCGTGAACCTGATGCCAAGAACACTTTACTGGCTACTGAAGTATCCAACTAAAATTGGACACCGTACTAGTTGCGCCGAATTCGGTGTGAGCACTTATCAGATTTACTCTGGCTAACTTAGAATGTAAGAGGAAGAAAGTGTTGACAACCCTGTAGGTAGGCAACTGACTTGGGCTCTAATAGGTTTGTTCGATTCACTTCCTGCACTGGTGCAGAAGAGTGTAGGGCGTTATACTTCCGGTATCTGTATCGAGATACAGTAGACATGAAGGTACACAGCCCTACACTTCTCTGCACCGGTGCAGGCAAATCGAACGACCCTAATACCCTCCATCATAGGCAGAATGTAACCGTTTTTACGACGTCACTCTTGACAGGACGACTTGAGTCGGCTCATCGAAAAGGAGGAAGCTGCACGAATAGCACTGGTGGAAGCCACTGCGGCCGCCAAATTGGCTGCAGAAGAAGCCACGGCTGCGGCTACGGCTGCTGTAAAGCAACAGCTTCAGAAGCAACAGCAGCAGAAACACGAAGAGGAATCTGAAAAGAAAGCTGTGGCAGGTAAGCCTTCCCAGCGGGCCAAAGACAAAGCCGGAAGCCAGGGCTCTTCGCCCGAAGTGATGACCACCCGTTTCAAGCCGAAGCTCCTCGGCTTGTTTTCACGCTGGAGGCGACAATAAACTGCGTGCGGCTTCGTTTCGAATGAACGCGGCTACTTTCTAGCCCGGATTGTGTCAACGAACCACTTAAGTTTTTACCCTTGACATACGGATATATTGGAAGTTTTAAATGATTTGTGCGCTCAATGTTACCTTGGAATTGAATAAGTAGTGTTATTAGTGCGCTTGGTATATTTTCTAATGTTTTCAGGATTCTGTGTGACAAACCAGTTGTTTAGCTCCGTTTATTATTTATTTATTTATTTATTTATTTATTACATGTACCCCACAGTGCCCGTGAAGGCATTATAGTGGGGGAGGGGCAAAAAGAAGAAAAACAAAGGGCGTCACAGAACATTAAGTAAAAGCACTCGCAGCCTGCAGCAAGGCATAGAACAACATGAAACCAGCCCTGCGAAAATGTAACGCAGAGAAACGCGCTCATTGTTACACCAATATACACGTAACAAGGAATAACACATAACGAAGACAGCATACATTGAGTGCTAAAGGCCGTTGAGTTAGTTTTTCCTGCTGGCACATGTGCTGTGCGGTGAAATCGCACCCAATGTGATTGCTTTTATACAGCTGTTTTAGGCAGACTCCTGCATAATATTTATTTGATTCCATTTAAAATTATATGAATGGTGCAATGTTTACACCCTGGTTGTATTTCTGGGCAAGTTTTCAAAGGTGAAGGAAAGGAATGCTGTTATACTCTGTTTCACCTCATAATGTACCGCAGGAAGGGCTACAAGCGCAAGCTCCTTGCTCAGGGCACATCTCGGCGGCACAAGCTCTCGTGCATTAAGAGTAGCTCCCAATAAAATTATTGAAGTGGTGCAATGTTTACACCCTGGTTGTATTTCTTGGCAAGCTTATGTTTTCCTTCACATGGGCCACATAGGTTCTCATGAGTCACATAGGTTCTTGTAGGTTTATTCTTGTGAAGCCATTGACATTCATCACAATTTGAAGTACAGTTCTGATGCAGTGCTTTGTTTTTCCCTCTTCCATTTGGGACTGCCCCCCCTCCCCCCCCCCCCCCCCCTTTTTATTTTTCTATCCATCCTCAGCTCCCAGCAAGCCATGAGAATGAAGTCTCAGTGCCTGCTGTACCCTTCAGACGAACCCCTGCAGGTACACAGTCTTGCTTGTCCAATGGGGATCTGTCATGGTGCCAACCTGGTGTGGCACCCACTGCATTAATTTATTTGGGGAAATGCAACATTTTTTAACATGCCTTAAATGTGCAGTTTCAAAGAAACTCGATCATCGAACAGTGTTTTAACGAGTTTCCCAAGTTTTCCCCAAGTTCAGCTGGCCTTTTATAGTATTATGCACCAACAAGCTCAACTACAGCATGTCGCTTTACAAGCCAGTTCCATAAGCGAGGTCTCCCCTGCTATTTTGAACAAGTATCTTTCTAAATGTACATGTAAACACAAAAAACTAATTTGCAGGTAATAAAAGGGCTTAATGGCAGTGACATGGCTCGTCAGGCATGTCATTGCCTTATCCGACAGCCCCCCCAGACAACTACTGCCTACTCATTCGTTGCCCAAGTAAAATTTTGATGAGATTTAATTTGACTTGAAAATTGGAGAAAAAAAAAAGTGCCTTATCCAAGTGTCTTCCAGAGTTAATATCAAAGATACTAAAAACCTACCCTACAGTCTGGATTGTTCACACATCTGTGTTCTTGTCACCGGTAATGGCACAAGTGTCGAAATTTTGTTTCATGGCCAGACATCCTGCATCACCAGCAGCACTTCAGAAGACAGCTGAAGTTCTTGCCCCTGATGACCAAGAAGCAGTAAATCGAATCCCCAGATTTTTTAAAACTTTTTTTCCTTGTGTTGACAGTATGGGGCCGCTTCCACTTCTGTGTGCGTCTTAGATTGCCTCACGCATTTCGGCACTCCATCGATCGTTTTGAGATGAAACACTGTGCCAATAGGCATTCTTTTTTTTTTTTTTTTTTGTCTTCCAAGGCATGCTGGTTGCTACAGTCTCACTGTAATGCTTTGTTTCGGCAGTCGTATCTGTAAGCCACACACATTCCCCTGTCAAGCTGCAGCCTTTATGACCGAGGACCATACCACAAAGTTAAAAATGCAGCCATCGTAACCCAGCATCCTACAAAGAAACTGCGGTAACCTGCGAGCGCTCGGACAACATAAGCATTTGTCAGTGACCAGCGCGGTGAAATGCATACTGTAACGCAGAACCCGCATCGCATGCACAGTTGGAACTACAACGAAGTCCCTTCAATCCCTCAATAGAACTTGCAGGTTGCCTGCGTGTACGACTTGATGACAAACAGTTTAAGAGTGCTAGCTTCTTTCTCTCCCCGCTATTGCAACATATCAGGGTGTGAGGCGTCGTTGCTTCCGCAATTGGGAAAACGGTCTTGGCTTGCTGCGGTGGTAATCGTAGAGAGCAACCAATGTTAACGTGTGCTGCAGTCCATGTCGGGCTCTCTTGTATAGTAGTAAACCCAAAACGTTAGTGGAAAAAACCCCGTTTCGACAATCTCTTTGCCGGTCTCGAATACGAGTAGCCTACCTCTCAAAGTGTCGTGCAATAAGAACTGAAAGTTGTCCGTTGTCTTCTTGCTGCCGTTATAGATTACATATCCTTGCCCGATGTACACAAAGTTAAAGGTGTCTGTTTGTCGTCCTGCGGTCGCCATACTGCTATACAATGGGGTGTGTTGCTTGTTTTGTCTTGTGCACTGTATTTTTTTTTTATTATTATTATTATTATTATTATTATTATTATTGCAATGGACCTTTTTTTAGGGTTATTGTAGCCTCTCCTAATAAGTACTGAGAGACGTCTTCTGGGTATCTCGGTAGTTAATTACTTTAGCGACGTTCCTCGGCGAGTCTGCCGTCGAAAGCGGTCTTTGATGTTGTGCGTTTTCCACAAATACTAGTGAGCACAAAATTGAAATCGAGAGGGATCGGTGTGAGGGAGTGATTGTCCAGCAGACAAAAAGGTGAATGGAAGTGTGCTGCAATAGTGAAACAGCTTTGCAAAGCGCAAGGTGTAAGCTGCCGACATTCCGGCTGGGTTACCACCCATGTTTGCGACACCACACTGCCGTATGCGACGATTTGGCCCCTCCTGCCGCCAATTGCTCTCCTTTGATTTCACCTTGAATATCAATGAACATGTCAGTTACCTTGACTTTCGTTAGGATTTATGGTTAACGTAATGCTGCCCGTATTGCCCATGCTTACAATTGGAACTATAGAAATGGTTCTTACTTCGAACTAAGATTTTCATCCGCATGAGAGTTTGAAAAGAGTGCTTTGTGCGTACTCACTCTAATGTGCAAGCCGAGTTGGATCTGCTTTTATTTTTACATGCATGTATTGATGTGCCTTTCCCTTCTAGTTTGAGGCAGTACAGGATGTAAGAATGGCCAGAAACAAAGATAAGTGAAACGATTAAGCTTATTTTGGCATTGGTAGAAGGCTGTTCTTAGTATAGTTAGAATTTCAAAGCCAAATTCGCACAGCAAGTTGCACAAACTTCTCTTCATAAGAGAATCAAAAGGCTGAACAAAATATATTTCCTCACTCTTATAAATATTTTATGGGTTTCTATTTTGAAAATGAGGTATCGGGCTTGGTGCTAAAAACCAGATTAAACCACCAACACATCTCAACACTTTGCATTTGTGGTAGAGATTGAATCCCTATGTAAACGTTGAAGGCTCCTCCCATACAGTTCCTGCTCATGGTTTGTTGCGTACCAAATATTGTTTAATGTCCAATGGAATGAGGCACTACAAGAGTACGACCAAGAGAACGACCGTCAGATTTTCAAATGCACATCATTACGGCCTTCATCAAACTTCTGGGATTTCGAGTATAATGGTGGGCTTCCACAGGGGTACCGTAGTATATGTATTTGAGTTCCTAAGGCTTCCTTATTCTATTGCTTCCTTTGTGCGTGTTCACGACGGTAGCCTGAAACTTGTATGCGTTTGTGCAATTATTGGGCCCGTTTCTGTTGTGAATAAAGTATGGTTACTTTTATCTTTGTCCATCTATGAATGTAAAAATGCTATCGTGCTTCATTTGCATCGTTTTTTCCAACCTCCCATGCCTAGCCGAAGGAGAATACATCACCCATCGAAAATTTCGCAACCTGTATCCCTCGTAAATTCGCCAAAATCTGTCCAGATAATTCGACAGACAACTTAACTCTATTCAAATTCCAGAAAACTTGCAATTCAAATAAATTGCACAAAGCTGAAATGTATACGTTGAATGCAGATCACAAAATTTCATATGTGGAAATTTTCAAAAAGCGGCGTTTTAGATAGTTGGCATTATATGAAACCATGGAAGTACTGTTGTTAACTGCAAATCATTGTTCCTGAAACCATAGGTGTCGTTTGAAATTATGATTCCAAGTCTGTTTGCAGGCATGCAACTTTTCAACCAAAATAAACCATCCAGTTAAGCGAATGAACAAGGCACTTTCGGACAGTGCAAAGTTCAATACAGATCCCAAGAGATTTCAACGCGAGGCAATGAAGGGGTAACAACTCGTGAAAGATTTATTTGTCACAACTCCGTCATACTACAACAGCAAAATCGCAACGGGACACCGTTCATTTCCTTCGACGACAACAACACTCTGACAAGGTGAGTTTATTACAATGTGGTACTGAGCTGTCGTGTTACGCCCAACCGGAGTAACTGGGACCGGATATAACTTAATGCAAATGAGGAAGACTCAGTCGAGCATGAAGAGCCGTGCGGAGATGTCGTTGAGCATCCAGTCGATGCCGTCGAGGAGGTTGCTGCCCGTGTATGCGCTGCATGGCACAATCCACCAGTGCAGACTGTGGATCTCATTCAGCTGCAGCGCCTGCAGACAAGATGCACTGGGCATTGGGAGACGTGCAAAGCCGCAAAAGTTGCTTTTCAAGCGGCGCACACATCGTGACGAAAACGTCGAGCTTTTTCGATGCGGAGCACTGCGACATTGGCTCCGCGGTGGAGAAAGGGCAGAATTCTCTAACAGTACAAGGAATCCACATTTGGCGGTGGATCAGTTTTTAACGATACTTTGCCGTTAAGTGCTATCGTGTCTAGTGTAGACCGCTAAATTCAATATCTATGGAGTTAAAAAGCATGCAACGCAGGACAGGTTCGGTAGCGCACAAGCTGCAAAAGCTCGCACTGCTTGCTTGCGTGCCGCCGGTTGCAGTGGGCAGAAGCCAGCGTAGTATCACGGTTTATATAGACCATTCTATTTAGCGCTCTCTGGGCGGCACCATTTTGTTCGACAGCAGCGCCCTCTCCATACATCCGGGAAATTCAGCGGGTTTGGCGGGGTAAAACGAGAGAGAGGACACGCGCCCGACTCCGCTAGCAGATGACAAAACGGGAGGTTGCCATTCTCCATCTTTGGGCTGTATCGGCGGGCTGTACAAACATCGAACTCTCGCTCATGGCTGCCGTTGTGAAGTGGTTCGCATTCTTAGAATAGTTATGGCTACTCCAAAATCAGCCTAGAGCTCTCTGTTGATCTACTTTGGTAAATGATCAACTGACATATCTTTTTTCCGTTACTTAAATAGCAGTTGAGTCAGCCGGCAGTACTACCCTCAACTACCGCGTGTATTGCGGCAGTAGAGCACGTTCTTATTTATTATTTCAGACATCCACTTATGGTCGCTAGAGGCCTACACCTGTACGAATTTTGTATAGTAAAAAAGGTACAGCCACCGGATTCACTTTTCGCAGGGGAGACCGGCTAGTCTGACACAGTTTTCCCTATTTTTTTTTTTTATTTGCACGCAGATAACAGCGCAATAGGACTCTGTCAGTCTTTTTTATCTAGCATAGTAATACACGATAACTGGCATACCAAAATCTGCGCATTTGCGCTTGAAATTCCCAAAATGACGCGATTTTAAAGAGTTTGTACGCCAGCCAGATGCTAGGTACTGCCCACTCGGCGGAGCAGATGACGTGCGGGTGAGAGGGGGAGGGCATTTTTTTCTCTTTTTACCCTCTCTGCTATGACCCTAATGAAACGGTCTATATTATCTGGTCTAGATTTTTTTGTTGTTGCGCTACGGGGAAGTTTTTCCTGGAGACGAAAAGAAGCACCAGAGGTACGCTGCCGACATTAGGAGTCGGTCCATCAGATTGCTCGGAGAAGCTAACGGATGGACGTGGGTTTAGAGAAGTCGCCGTGGAGGAAGTCGCTGGATGTGTCGCCTTTTTCATAAAACCGTGCAAACCTACCGAAAAGATTGGATGATTGGAAACACCACCCTCCATAGTTGAGAAATCTAGGGGTCATATTATTTTGGAATAACAAATGCCACATAAAAAAAGGGTGCCACATCTGCTTTAAAAGAAAATTGCCAAAACTTTTAAAAATATTTTTTTTTAAATCTTTTTTACATCTACTCGTTTCAGTGCCGTTTGTGGTAAAAAAAATTTACTAAGGCATTAACAGCCGTAGTTTCCGGAACAGTAAGTAGTTTATCTAAGGACCATGGTAGCTGACTAAACTACAGTAGGTTACTTCAAAGACATAACCAAGTTGCAGTAACAATTACCCCTGGCATTAGTCTTTTGAACACGTACCCACTGCTCAAAAGACTACCCACTTCCCTTTCCCCTTGAATTAGGTTAGAATAGGCTAGGTTAGCTTATGTCGAGTTGGGGTGAATTGGGCTGCACCGGCTCTAGCCCAAGTCTCCAAGGAAACGGTCACCTCTTTGATTTCTGCCGGAGTCAGGGCACCGGGAAGGTCCTGCTTGTTGGCAAACACGAGCAGCGTGGCCCCCAGCAGCTTCTGCTCGCAGGACCGGGGAAAGCGGCACAGTTTCAGGAAACACAGTTCATTACAGTCACCGGCAGGGTGAGAACGGCGAGGCGTCTACCTCGTTGCCTTCTGCCATGCTTTGGCCGCGCGTGCAGACGCTCGCGAGACACCAAAGCATTGTCGAAGGTAGGGAGCTTGCGCCGGGGGAGAGGCAACTGAAAGACCTCCCCATTGTTCTCATCTCGTCGGCGAGTAGCAGACAAGAATCCACACATTTCAAATCTGGTCATTTGGGGCACTTGCCAAAGAGGGTTGGGCAATGCTTTAAAAAGAGGGATACCATTGGTGCAAACACTTTGCTTCCGCCGTTTGACTTGTCGGTAGTAAGCTTGGGTCTATATAGGCATGACTTCCCAAGCACATTTCCCACGAGAAACAAGTATTGCTAAGAGAGTATGTTCACTACATGAATACCTCGAGTATCTAGTGGCAGCATTACATGCTTTAACGGAACTTTTTACTACACCTGGTTATTATACCAATAGAACCTTTCTACAGTAAAGGCAGTTCTTTTTCTTTGTCTTTACTAAATCCGTGTATCATATCAATACCTCAACCCCCTATGTTAGGACATTGCAAGCTTACCGCAACTTTGCTTTAGAAAAAAAAAGAAAAGCATTTAAAATGCCATTATATGTGGGAAATAAGTACAAATGTAAGTAGTGAAGATTCCATCTTTGCAAATGGAGTTTACGACACAGACATTCAACCGCGTTGCTGAATATTTCGCAAACTGGCAATAAGCACGGCCTTTCTTTGCAAGTGCACGGGTACTCTTGCAAAAAAAGGCTGCCCCGTACTGTAGTCGCTGACAAGGTGAAAAAGACGGGGAGGAGCTTCAGTTGTCCTGCTTCGGTGCAAGCTCCCTACATTCAACCACATTTTGGCGTCTTGTGCACCTGAAGAGTGCACGTGCTGGAAATCGGAGATTCAAAAGATGCCACCCGCCCTTCTCAGTTTGTCGGCGACCATAGACCAGTGTTGGGAGGTACTTTAAGTACATCATACTTAAACCACTACTTCAAGGAGGTTTAAAGAACTTGCACTTTACTTGAAGTACATTCTTCCAAATAAGTACTTGTACTTTACTGGAAGCATTTTTTTCTGGTGCTTTCCGAGGAAAGTACAACTCCCGACTTCAAGGTACATTCCCCAAATTTGATCTTGTTAAATTTGTACCACAAAACAACGTCAACTCTCAAGACAGACTGGGAGGGATATTCTACTTTCCAGAAACGTGAGCAGACGACGCGTCGCTCCGTTTGTACTGGGGGGCGGCTTTCCTGTGGCCATTTCAAACTCTCGCTACTTCTCGCTTTGTCAATGCGAGCGAGGAGGTTAAAAATAATTGGAAAGGGACACCTCTCCCATAGAGCATTGCTTGTGGAAGCTATGGAGATAACGTCATGCTCTCTCCTAGTATATTTAGACCCCCTGGGTGCAAACCAGTGCAGCTGGCACCAAATGCGCAAGTCGGAGGGACTTCAGAATTTGGCGTCAATATTTGCCACCATTTTCGAAAATAAATTATGCACCCCTGATTACCCTAAAACCAAGGCATACCAATAAAAAAAATTTTAAAAATACTGTTCAGGGGAATGAAAGTGCATCGAGAAAGGTTGCATTAAAAAGTACTTGTACTTTACTTCAAAAGTTCATTGTGCTTATGGTACTTTACTTAAGTACATTGCACCCAGTGTATTTACGACTTTACTTGAAGTACACAACCTTCATTTACTTTGTATACTTTACTTTTAGATGCACTTTACCCCACACTGCCATAAACGTCCTCATTAGGGCAACGTTCACAGCAGGTTCGCATTTTCTTGAGACACTCGACTATGTGGCCACACGTAGCCAACAAGCTGGCACGGGCACGACGCCTACCTCTTCGCAAATAAGCGAGTGCAGCTCGTCGTGGCAGTCCTGCATGCGACGCCTGTCGGCACTGTCCACCACCCACACAATGGCGTCGGTGCTCTCGAAGTAGTTGCGCCAGTACGTGCGCAGAGACTTCTGGCCTCCGACGTCCCACATGTTCATCTGGAACCTGGAGAACACGGAGAGACAGACCAGCGTTACTAGATCAAAGTCAGTTCACAAACTTCCCAGAATGCTCAGCGCCTTTTTGTGGTGCATGTGCTCGGTGGCGCTTGCCGCCCTGTCTGCTCGCCCCATGGACAGAAGCGGCAGAACTGGTAAAACATTGGATGAACACTGCCTGCGGTGGAAAGCGATTGTATCATAGTTTTTATGGTCAACATACGTAAAATTTGTGCAAAAAGAGCATCGTTCAAGAGCGGTTCACCGTTGCCCGTGGGAGCAGCGCCGCTGTTGGCGCTAGGCATGCTATTCACCTGTATTTGCTTGCGTGCAGGCAATGGAAGACTGTTTTCGAACGACGCTCTTCCGTAGAACTTGTCAACCGATAGATCTAATTACGTCGAGACAGACAGCATGTGATGCCAGATGCGAGGTCACCCTTGGTGTGCTACGAAACGCCCGTCTCAGACGTAGCCAGTTCTCTTTGTCCTGCACCGAGTTGATACCACCAATTTCTTAGCTTTTTGAAAGTGTTGCAGAGCACAATGAATAAAGTGCAATCTAGAATCTCCTTCATACACAAGACCTGCTTAAAACAAATTTATGTTTACAAAAAAAATAAAAAATTTATACAATTGCTTAATTAAAAGATAACCAATTTAACATTTATTGAATGTTAATATGTCACATCAGTGGTGCACCACAACAACATCAGGGAGGAAACTAATTTTCAAGATGCTAGAGGAGTCAAAATGAAGGTCACAAAAAAAGGAATGTTCAGGGCTTTAAACCGAGGCTGCCACAACACCATCTGAAGTCAGTTTCGGTGTTTTAGTATGTTGGTGCACTACTAGCTCACGAGTGCAATTGTGCAATGAGCCAATTAACCAAGCCCACCATAGCTTGGACACCTACTGTGGCCATCTGTTTGTCCCAAGGGCTTCGTCAGCATGCGGAACTCGGCTCGACTCGCATTGATATTAAGTGCTGTGTCAACGTTCGGCGGAGACTTGGATACAATTACACGCTTCGCACTCAAGAAATGGCGACTGCCAGACTTTCTTGATGGGATTTCAAAAAGAGTCTATTACACGAACATAAGGTGAAAGGAATTATACGCACAGAAATTATAAAAAATAAATAACTAAATTACATGCATAAGTGTCACTAATCTGGCCGTTACCCGCGGTGTTCGAGGGTCTTGATGTTGAAGCCCAGCGTCGGCGAAATGGTGCTGGTGTCCTCGCCGTTGAACTTTTTGAGAAGCGTCGTCTTGCCAGCGTTGTCGAGGCCCCTGGCAGGGTGCGTCAAGTTCAACGGTGCCCTCGTAACAAGGAAGCACCGGGGAGGAGCGCAGTACCAAAAAAGTAAGCATGGTCTTGTGTTTTCTGCGGGCCAAACTCCAGGCACTGTTTTTTTCCGAATCGGTACCCCGTGTTCCCATCAATTCCACAATGCCAATGCAAAGATTTTGTTTCACTTAATTTATTTTTACGTCAAGGCTCAAAGGGGTATTGTATAAGGGGGTGTGTTTCTGGCTGAATATAATATGGCACTTTGAAACAAAATAAAAAAAATATTAATAAACGCCGCGTACAGTAACAATCCGTAGGTCAGTGGTGGTTAGTAGGATTGTAAGGTGATTGTCTCGCAAAGCATGAATAAGTCTGTAATGACCGAGACAGATTAGAGCCACAAACAAAAACAGCCGACACCGAAACAATATCCTACTAAAAGAAGCAATCCAGTTCCCTTTCTTCTTGAACGTGCCCTTACTGAACCTCATTGCGCTCGAAAACGCTTCTTTAACAGGGCTGCTGAAAAATCCAGGACTAAGCAGGTGGCACAGCCATCGTGTGCTTTACTCCCTGGCGTATTTTCATGCGTTGCCGCTTCCCTTTTTGTTAGTTGATTAGGAGAAACCTTGAACTGCACGTCAGGAACACAGTCGCCACTTCCCACGCAATCACGCTAAGAACGTGGGAGCGGCGTTTGCAAATCACTCGCTACGGAACTAGCGAGCGCGTAACTCTGACTACCCAAAAGCCGGGCGTGCGGGGGCCAAGACAGATGAGAAGAAAATGGAGCGAAGCAGCCGACGGAGCCGAGGGGGCACATATCGATCCTAGTAGCTCCAATCAAAGTCGAGTTTGACAAGTGTCAAAGGATACAGGATGAGCACCCGGACTTCCTTTTCCTTGCGTTTCACCTTCTTGAGAATCGTCCTCAGCCCCATGGCGAGTAGAAGCGCCTGTATCAGGCGCAAAAATCAGCGAAAGGAAGCTTGACTATCGCACTGCGATGAGAACTTGGACGATCGCTGGCAAGCGGAGGAGTAGGCCAGCAGCCATTTTCACAACTGGATAGTGCTTGGCTTGGATGCCGAGACGGCTTCGAAGTGAAAACCGAAAGCGGATTTGGATCCGATATCGAGACGCAAAATATGGCGCAGAACGCGCCAGGTTCAAATTGAACCGAAGAGTTCAAACCTTCACCCGGTTGCATATTGGGAATTGTTCACAGAGTAAACGTACAAAGAAAATCCGGGGACGCGATTGACCTATCGTGACTTTTCGTGCTCGTTGATGAAGATAAGACGGCTCGCGACCGCTGAAACTGATCCTTCACATCCCTTTCCCCCACTTTCCCCATTTGAGTGAGTGTACAGGACTATCTCTTCCTTTCCAGACGCGTTATCTCTCTTCGCTTTCTGATGTGGCGTTTCAAAGGCCGGAAGGCGCGTGTGACAGAGCAGCTTGTCATACGTCACGCAGATAGAACTGCGCACAGCCAGGGAGGCGGCTTATGGGTCTTCACCCCCCCCCCCCCCCCCCCCCCCCGCGAAAAAATATCCTCGTAACGCCATCATGGCGTATCACCCAGGACGCTGCAGGCGACACGACGCTGGCGATACACAATGACTTTTGGCGGCAAAGCGAACACCGCGTGTACGCTCTAAAAGCGGTGACTCGGGACAATTATGGCGATCAGAGAGTAACAGAGACACACGCGAAGATGGCCGTTCTGATGGAAATCTTCGAGCGGCATCGGTGTAGATCGTTATTCAATGTTCGCTTCGAGGTGAACTGCGATGTTTGTATATTAATTCGATGTTGATCGCGGCGGGTTAACCCCAGCCCTTGAGTGCGCTTCTTGCCGAGCACGGGAGCTCTGCGGAGAAGCAACACTCGCGGAAACGAGCTCCACGGGTGTTGCTTCCCCGCAGTGCACCGTGCTCGGTGGCGCGCTCAACGGAGCTACAGTGTTACGGAGCTACCCGTGCAAATATCACAGTCACGTGCATATGATATCAGCACACTTTCAAAGTGGGATGGCGCACGCGCTCGTCTGGTTTATTCATAATTAAAACGGACTGGCAGGCGCTCTGCGAAAGGGTTTTTCCTATGGGTTTTTCACGCCCGCACACCACTACATGTGCCCATTCCAGTATGAAAGCTTTGTGAATGTTGATACCTGCATTGCAGTAAAATTATAAAAATTAAACTAAAAGATTTGTAGATCGTCTAATTTTATGTCAAATCTGTCGTTTCCTTGTATCACAATGTAGGAAACTTTCTGGGACCACAGTCCATAAATATGGGAACAACCTTCATGAGTTCAACTGGGTTTGTAAAGTTCGGCCAAGTCTACTATTCGGTCAGAATTGGCTTCGAACTCAAAATCCACTATTTGAGCATGACTATACAAATAATCCATCAAGCAAGGAATATTTATAACAGGCTACCCGAGCAAGAAACAGTGCTTTTCTGATAGAGTGTTGAGCCTTCGTCCTATTTTCCACTTTGTTTGAGTGGTGACTAGTTGCCTGTTCGCAGTACATAAATCCCGAAAATTAATCCTCGATCCGGCTTTTCCAAAATCTTGAAGTGAAAAAAAAAAAGGGGGGGGGGGGAAGGGCAATAGAGTCGCTATGCAAAGTTTTGTAACTAGGTGGCGCGAGCTCGCCCATTACAAATATTTTAGTTTTTTAGTGGTTGTTTATCCACTGTTCTTGGGCGGCAGCAGCAGATGACGGCGGCATCAGCGGCATGTTTGTCGGCAGCCGTGTGTACGTCGTCCCAACCGGTATGGGAAAGCCCCGGGTTCAGCTATTTCTAAAGAAGTTAGTCGAGCACGGCGCCGAGATCGCCGACAGCGAAAAGGACGCCACGCACGTCGTGGTCGCCGAGTGCGTAGATCGGGAGCGCCTACCCAAACTGATCGACTCCGAGAAACTGTCTCCGTCGACCAGGATCGTGCGGAGTGCGTGGATCAGCGATTCCCTCAAAAACGCGTCCCTAGCTTCGACGATGCCTTACGCCTTGACGTGCGATCTTCCGCACGAGTGCGGTGAGACGGTGTTGAACTCCGACTGTGCGGGTCCGAGCGGCGCAGAAGTGGGGGCGGCCGGCCACGGGAAAGAACCCGAGGAGCCTGCGCGAAAAGAGTGTGCCGATGTTCCTGTGAACCGAAACGTCCACATAATCGAACAACTGCAGGTAGGCACCGTTAGGTTCCACGTCTCAATTCTGCCTGTACAGGCAATTTATTAATCATTCTTTAGCTACACCTGCCGCCTAGCCAGTGACTATTTCGACGTCCACCGTCAAAATATCTGATTTCGACGTCTGTGAGGTCACTTCAGTAAAATGCAGCAGCCGTAGCAGCGGTAGCTGTTTTGTGGTTTTGTTCTGTTTAGTTTCCGATGGTGTTGTCGGTGTTATGTTGGCAAAATTTAGCGGAAAAATTGGCGTCACGTGACCTGAGGTCACGGGACCTACAGAAAAATTCAGGTTGCCCGCTAAATTTAGCAGAAAAATTGATGTCACATGACCTACTCGCCAATTCAGTTTTCCCGCTACATCTGGTGGAAAAATTGATGTCACATGATCCCGCATCAACCTCTATGGCTCTAGGCCCTAAAGGTTGTCCTAGAGGTCGTCCTAGACGTTGTTCTTAACGTCGTCCTCTAGGACGTCGTTCATGACGAAACATGACGAATGCTTTCGCCATTAATATACAACCGACAATAGTGGTTTCTGCAGCCATTTTTACACGGACGTATACCCACCTGGTTCACTGTCTTTATACGATTGGACCGCAGCGAATGATACAAACCATCGAAGCAAATCCTATGCCGTATGAGTGTCATGTGACTTTCGAGAGGTGGGCAGTGAACTCGGGGCACATAGTGATGTGTGATATGTTCACAGCGCTGGATTGGCTGTTATGGCTCTTGGCGTCAGCTGCGGTCCAGATCGTAAGGTGAAACGGAGTATAGTTTGGTGGATAATGATAATTGAAGCAGGAGAGGCTTATTGCTTGTTCCTTAACAATGATAATGTTTATTTACACCTGGAAAAAAAAGTACACTGAAGGAGCTTGCAGAAAACACATGCACAAAGTTGATTGAAGAGCTTCACTGCCTGAAATTTACATGACCACACTGCTGCTGAATGTGCTAAAGCGAGCTAGCACAACAGCTCTTCGGGGGTTATTCCTGACTGATAATCAGTGAAAGTACGCCCACGACAATTCTTGTACAGTGAAATCGGGCCGTTGGAGGGATTACATTTTTTCTTTAAATATGTATGGCACTCTAACGTACGACAGCTTATGGATGCCCCTAGCATAAGCGGTAATTTTGAATCATGTACCCTGTTGGTTCAACTGTTTTCAGGCCATGGTGGAAACATACCAAAGTACCAAGGACCACTGGAGAGCCCTGAGCTACGAGCGAGCTATCATGGCCCTCAAGCGCCATCCGACAGAGATCACCTCCTGGGAGGTATTTCCAGCCACTCATCCCCCTTCTCCTTCTCCTCGTGATGATGATGATTGTCATCATCATCATCACCAGTTTGATGACGACGCGGAGGCATCACGCTGTTGCCTGCCACGCTCCTAGCAGTCGCGCGACAGTGGAGATGAATGCGGCAGACGCATCTTCTGCTGCGGGTCGCTCTGCAGCGGGATGAGACGCCGCGACGACAGTGAACCTCACATCTGCTCACGTTTCTTGCCAATATTTCTACGACCGACCGCCTAAATTGCAAGATCCGACGGCACAAAGGCTCAATCACATGCTTGCAATCGCCGTGGAACACTCAGCATTTTCATATATTTCCTTTTTTGGCTCGAAACACTTTTTAATATTATAAAGGACCATTTAGCTGTATAGTATGTATGTTTCATCTCGCAAATACTTCAAAACCTTCGCTCTACCGAAATGCAGTTCCAGGGCCATCCCATAGATGGCGCCAGCATGCCAGCGTGTTCTCTCGTTGTAAGAGATCGCAAGAACTTGGTTGTAAGCAAACGCAAGTGTTTAAACCAGGGGGTAAAGACGAGAACAGAACGCGGCAAATCCCAAACGCTGATATCGGTGGTCCCTAGAATAAAACTAGAAAGAAGGTGACGGAAGAGCGGAGAAAGAAAGCGCACGAGAGGTTAGTTAGGCGTGCTCTTTTTGCCCCGATGAGTCGAAGTTGCTCGAGTGCTTGTCAACTTCATTTATTTTTTTACGATGTGCGATGCCAGCATTTCATAACGAGCTAGATACAGACCTCACAGGTGATGTTTTGCTGCTTCGTGTATATTAAGGCATCACCAGTGATGTGGGCCCATTGAGACCACCCAGCGAAACCACTCGCGTCCATTTGTATGCCCCGCCATTCCAAAGCAGCCGGAGTGCATGCAACTGCATGGGACCTTTCCTTCTAGATTATGATATTAACACTATGATGTAAACAAGCCTCGACACTCTTGCTATGTAATTTGTTGCCACTTTGGGACCGCTTTCTATGCGTGGGCGGGGCAGGACGATAGACGCGCCAGACGAGGACGAGCTGCGCGTCTCCCACGCAGGAGGCCCGGTCCCTGCCCAAGGTGGGTGAACGGCTGGCGGACAAGATCTGGGAGATTGTGGAGCGGGGCAAGCTGCGTAAGCTGGAGGAGTTCCAGGGCCAAGAGCGTCTGACGGCACTCCAGCTCTTCACCAAGATCTGGGGCTCTGGTCCCTCCACGGCAGAGCGGTGGGTCCATCAGGTAAGGACACTCTTGAGGGGGCTCTTGAAGCTTAGGTGTCTCTTGGAAACGGTCTAGATTATGGGGAAAGACTGAGTCCAAACCCAAGAAACTGAGCGAAGAAAGCAGATCGAACATCCGGCCGTTTTTGTGGCTGCAAGCTTTCTGCCTTGTGCATCTGCACGTTCCTCGGAGAGCACTCTCGATTCTCCACGTCCCTCGGGCGCGCTGTCTGAGGCTAACATCTCAGCCACTATCTTTATATTCTACAGAAAGACAAGTATGGGGTGCGTTGGTCGCTTCAAGCTTGTTACTTATAGTTACAGCGGGTGACAACTGTCTCGAGGCCTTTCAGTAGTCGGAGTGCATATGTGCATCACTTCGAATTCGTTGAAAGGTGCACCAGTGCCACAGGCCTGAGCAAAGTGTCTTTGCACTAGATGCACGACTTCCCAAACTGGGTTCTTAGAAATCCCGGGGCTTCCCAGAGTACCCTTTGCGATGTTTTGCGTAACTAAATTCTCTCGACTGCCCTTACCCCTAAGTGAAGTTTTTTCTCGTCGTTATTTTAGCATATCTACAAGCCACACTTCCCAGTGTGTGCATTACCGTTAACAGAGTCTGCAAGCTTCTAAACAGGATAACTGCGACAATGCCGAGAGAGAGAGACTTTCTCCGCCATCGTTCAATGCAAATGGGTTCTCCTCAAGATTGCTAAGGCTCGAAGTTATACTTAGTTTTACCTCGACACTAGAAGCTGATGGGACTAATCGTACAACGTCAAAAGCGTACCAACATGCTGTTCGTCATGTTCTGTACGTGTTCTATCACCTTGAATCCACCGTGTACATGGAAGGCCGAGTGACTCGCACTTTTGAAACTATTTGATCGGTTCCATCAGTTTGTATCGTTGGCTGACTCTGGACGTCAGCTGAAACAAAGTGTGATCTCAAATTCTAGTCTCAAATGCCTTTGTAGCTGCGTCCTCGTTTGTGCATGCATGCGTGTAGACGACTACTAACATGGAAGTTTTCACGCTGCAAGTGCAGGGCTTCACCACTCTGGAGGAGCTGGCAAGCAGCGGACAGCTGACAGGCCAGCAGAAGATTGGGCTGAAGCACTTCCACGACTTCCTCGAGAAGATGCCCCGGGAGGAGGCGGGAGAGATTGCAGACAAGGTGCGTGCAGGATGCAGACACGCCGCAACCAGGCGACGGCGTTCAAGCGCCGCACTGGCCTGCAGAAGTTCTTTAGAGCAGGGACTCTCAAACTTTTCAATGTTGAGGAAACGCTATCTGCCTTGGATGGCAGCCGAGGAAGCTCTCCGGTCGTGGCTTTAACGCAGTAAAGCAGTTCAGAAAACTACAGGCCCTGTAAACAGTAATGTAAACACTCAGGGTTGTTTGGTACATAGTTATGCATGAGTAAGTGGCTCAGATCTGCTAAAGTAGTGCTCAAACTGGAAAACCAATTTAAGTCTAAGCTCATTACAACAGACCTGGTTACAACAGACGTTTGGATATAACATACAGATTTGTGAAGTTCAGTTGGTTTTCCTCTACATACCATTGACTCAACTTCATATCTGCATGCATACAACATGCTCCTCTTACAACAGACCGAAATCTTGGTCAAAATCAAGGTCTCTTGTAACGAGCTTAGACTTTACTTAGGAGTGGAGTCGTCCTAGAAGTCCTAGTACTTAGGAGCGCGATCGTCCTAGAAGTCCTACACCGTGCAGATCAACGACATACTCGGTTTTCTCCGATCTGTTGTGTGAATGAACCATTACGAACATTATGAAAAACAGCAGCCAAAGGGACAGTACAAAAGAAAGAAACAAAGGACAAACACGCACCGACTCCCAGCCAAAATATATTAAAGACCCAGCTAGCCCAACTCACCATTTTGCTGTGCACCATTTGGAGCGTTTTGGATGGTGCAGGTGGCCAAGGCAGCGCTGTCGCTCCAGCCGGGTCTCACGGTGGTCCCGTGCGGATCTTACCGGAGGGGCAAGTCCATGTGCGGAGATGTAGATGTGCTCATTAGCCACACGGAACTCTCCGCGCTCGACGGACTCCTCAACAGGCTGTTGCAGCTTCTGCGCTCGTCGGGTGAGTTCCAGTTCCTTGGGCACTGCTCGGAGCGGCGAAGCGAAGCTTTCGCGGATCTTGGCTTCCGTAAGGAGGATAAAAGTAGGAGCAGCCGACACGACATCACAATGTTACGGAGGGAGTGCCAGATCTTTCTTGTTTGTTGTTTGTGCTACAACTCCATAGTGGGATCTGGTCCTGACTGCCAGCATTACATTTGGGCAGAGATTGGGCGTTTGGCTACCGATAATTTATTTTTTACAATAAAAAAAATCGCCGTAAATATTTTTTCAAGTCACCTCGTACTTTTCAGTTTTTATTCTTTCCCCCTACACTTAGTCCTTATATTTCTCGTACGAGTACCGCTTGTCCGTCAAGAGACAGCACTGCGAGGTTCCCCGTTTAATTCGGATATGGTTCTCCGATGTCATTTCTTGGCACCTACGATCACTTTCGAAGCCGGGACGAAATAGGACGCTAAACGCGCCAGTCACGGACACATTACAGACACCAAAGTTCAGTTGACAAAATCTTTTTTTTTTTTCTTTCTTGCGCAATGCGTTTTGCCCTCCCACGATTTCTGCCGGTGGCGGGGGACAAATATGCCCACCTGTCCGACCTAGCCTTCTCGATTCCAGGGTTCCTAACGGACGACCTCGCGGTTCCCCACGGTACTGGCGTCCCCAGCAAGTACATGGGAGTATGCAGACTAGACCAGCTTGGCAGCAAGGTGAGTGCACTTTGCGGCCCATACTTCGAGGGATGCGGTGGATGTCGAAAATGGGCCTCGTAATAGCGTGGGTCCCTCACCCGATAGGTTAGGAACCTGTCCAACAAACAGAGCTCTTGAGGCCCACTTTCATTTTTAACGGACTGCATCCGTAGAAAACGTAAACCATAATACCTCGTGCAGGGAGCACAGTTTGACCGCAATTTTTCCTCAGTTCCACCTTTGACTTCTCTATATAAAGTGACCCTAAGCCAGTTTCATCAAAGTCGGGGCAAACCAAAAAAACGACAATTAGGAGCCGTCCTCAAATAAAAAGAAGCCAAGCTTCACGAAACCAAAAATCTAGCTTCTGTGTTGACCCGAAACACAGCCTTGACTGAACTGTCTACGGCCCTTGGGAGCCACGCCCCTTATTCTGCCTCCTCTCTTCAGCGCAGAGATGTTTCCCAAGGATCCTAGTCTCGATCTGTGGAGGTTAAGGAAGCCCATGTCTTGCTTTCTTAAAAATAATCTCCGACAGACGCCAATTTTTTTACGACACCACCGAAGGACGGCAAACCTATGCGGAGCGCAAGTTTGTCTGCTTCTTGCACAGGGGTTGCAGTGATGTCAGAACGCCGAGCTCTTATTGGCCGATTGAAAAAAAAAATAATGGGCAGACCTCGAGGCATCCAGCATTGAGGTCTAATCACTATCCTCTCAATCAAAGCTAATCAGAGCTCAGCATCGTTTTGACGTCACCGCAAGTCCTGCGCAAGAAGCAGGTGACTTGCTCTCCGCAGAGAGAAATAAATCCCCGAAATTTGAAGAAAAAAAGCCAAAAAAAACCAGAAGCATGAAACCCTTTTGATAAGTAGGGGTTTTGCATTTTCAAAGTTTGTTTTGCGGTGAAATCGAAGGCCGTTTCTATGACTTCATTTCTTCACCTCGGATTTGGAGTTTTTGGGAGCTTTCGTTCGTCGTTCATTATAGTTCTGAGTTTTTCGGATGTTTAGAAGGCCAGAAAAAGGCCAACGATCGTCTGAGAATAGAGAAAGGTCCAAAGATAAACGGCTAAGAAGGCCAGATACTATGTTTATCTATCGTAGTATAGAGGTAGCCTCCTTTTTCAATGAGGGTTCAAAAGACAATTTCTTAAAACACAAAAAAAAAGTGGGAAAAAAAATTTTAAAGGTTTTTGGAGTTTGAAGAAAAGATGAAGACTGGTCAGGTTTTTACAACTGCAAGTCCCCAAATTCTGAGCTTTTGGGATAAATCCGAATCCGGAATCTTTTTACCAGCGAGCGTTTTTCGGAGTTTATCGGATTTACCTGAAAACGCAGAACCCTAGCTATAAGCAGCACTCTCGACCAACGCTGGCTTCCTGCGAGTAACCCAGCGGCTAATGAGGCAGCCAACAGAACTGAGTCGTAAAACGGGGCGCAGCACCGCCGCCTGGACGTGTTTGTGATCCCGCCGGACGAGCTGGCCTGTGCCCTCCTGGCCTACACGGGGTCCGCCCACTTCAACCGGTCCCTGAGGCTGAGGGCACGGCGGATGGGGATGGCGCTGAGCGACCGGGGCCTCCGCCAGGGAGTCTGGCGCAAGGTGGGCATCGGTTCCCACACGGGGTTCCCCAGAGTGCCCCCAAGGGCTTCTCAAACACACAAATCCTCTCCGTCATTTCTGCGTAAAGTGCTTGCTTAGTTCGGGTTTTTGCACACCATGCTAAAGGACACCATGTGCAAGGACAAAGGACACCATGTTCAAGGACAAAGGACATCATGTTCAAGAACAAAGTACATGCTGTGCAATGACAGGGGTGTCCTTTGTCCTTGAATGTGAGGTCCTGCGTCCTTTAACATGGTGTTCTTGCACATGATGTCCTTTCATTGGTGTCCTTGCACATGGAGTCCTTAGCGCAATGTGTTTGCACCTGGCATTTGTTCTCAGGGTGCCGAGAAAAGGAGCCTGGGCAGCCTGGTGTCAACCCCCACCGAGGCCTCCATCTTGGAGCACTTGGGGCTCAGCTACAGACCTCCCGAGCAGAGGGAACAGCTCTAGCTGGGGGACGACAAACTGTAGATATGGTTGTGTGTGTTTTTGGGGGGAAAGCGTTTTGTTTCTGTCTACATCGAAACGTCCAGCATGCACAGCACAGAAAGGTTGTACAAGCCTGCTGCTGAGGTGCATCCCTAATTTTAGATGCCAAGAGAGACGACTTCTAGGGGAAAACATTATGGGGAAAGCAAGCTCCAAGCTCGGTTTCGTGTCATCCTGTTTGTTAGGAAGGTGAAGGACAGTTGGGCAACATGTCGATCAAATTCAGACTGTACATAAGAAATAACATATTATTCATGATATGTGGAGACAAAAATACAGAACAATTATGGAATTGTCAGTCGGCCGATTGAATCAAGCAAAATATATAAAAAAAATAACGAGATTGCATGTATTCTTTTTGGCAAATTGTGCAATATATGTGAAGCCATTCCAACTAGACAAGGCTTTTCACTTGCAGAAACAAAGGTGATCTGAAATTGGGAATTTTTCCCCTTCGTAAAAGTGGTCTGCACCAAATAAATTGTTCGGCACGTGTATGGATTTCATTATTTTGTTTCTAGAGCTACTGCGCTATAATTTGCCACTACATGTAGCTTAGAATCATATGTACATATGGGAATTTCAAAGGATGAACTTAGTTTATTGTTAATAAATACACTTTAAAGGATGCTGGCTGCCTTCGAGGATTAGTACTTTCCACCGAAGCCAGAACATGTGTTCCGCACACCACTCCTTGTTGAGAAAGTAATGTAAAGAGGGGGACATGTCAAAACTATAACATTGTTTTATTTACACTGGAGCCCGTTGTACATGTGACAGCTGGACTTGGCACCCAGCTAGGTGCAGCTCTTTGGGATGGCAAACGGTAGCTCGCCAAACTTGTTCCAGATCCTGTACTCCCGGGACTCCACTTCGCGCTCTGGAACGGCATTAAAAAATTTGGTCGGCATTCTTCGGTGAGCGATCCTTCACCGCTAAATGAGCCACTCTTGTTTCCAAGGGCTGTCGCTTCTCAAGAAAAGAAAGAATTAAAATAAAGGTTGAAGAGTCTTTAGCAGGGACGGCGCCAAAGGGAGGCAAGGGGTGGCGACCGCCTCCCCTCCAATTTGTCTTGCCACCCCAAAATAAAATAACCCCAACCCCCCCCCCCCCCAAGCAGTAACCAGCCGCCCGTCGTTTTCCTAATTTCCGCCCCAAAAGATTTCGACGCCTACATACAGAGAGTATTCGGCGCCATTCTGTGGCTATAAAACTCTACGCTCAGGGTTGTAGGCATTACCGAAAAAAAGTGACGAAATACGTAACTCGATGCTTGGATAAAAGAGGAACGCGTTACGGTAACAAACACTTCTTTGTGCGACCGACCTGCTTTATTACCTTTCCGTAGCCCACGAAAAATGAAAGCTTTCTTGCCTCTCGTCGAAGCCGAGGGGAAGGAGCTCAGCCGTTCGCCCCTCGCGGTTTCTACTTGTTGTAACGCGGCCCCGACTTCCTAATAACGGCGCCCACGAGTCCCTGAGATAACACCCTGTCCCACATTCCCACAGGTTTCTCCGCATCGCCAGCGGGATAAGCTGACCTTCGGTGCTATCCCGGTTCCCTCAAAACAGCAAGGCCGCGACCGGTCAATCACAGGTGAGCCGTCTCTGGCCGTTGCCAGAGACGGCTCACCCGCAAGCGCGGTGCCCGGGGGATTAGCTGCTTGGCGGCCAAGGACCTTGGCTGAACGCTGAGCTGGCTGAGCCGGGGAGCCCACCCTTTCCAAGAGAGCGACACTGCTGGTGACATCGCCGTGGCGAGAAAGAAACCTTCGCTTTCTCCCTCACCCACGAGGGGAGAAAAAGGACGCCGAAGCTGGAAGCATTGTGGAGAGCTATACTCTTGGGTACGCCATGGCATCCAGTCATCCCATAAGTGACTTTTTTCAACGGAAGGGGACCAAGCGAAAAGTTCAAGAGAATGTCACCGAACCTGAACCCGCCAAAGAAAAGCTTTCACTTGATGAAGAGTGTGTGCTCAACGCAAGCGCCGGGGAACAAGAATGCGAATCAACTTTTGGTGACAGCGATGGGGATGGCCCGGATGACGAGTTCCAGATCGAAGAACTCCGAACGAGAGCTCCTGATGTAGCCAGGACAGCCCATGATTCGCCGGTACAGCCTGTGCTACAATCCTTTCCTGTTACTAAATACGGGAACGACGGCAGGACCTTCAAGTCCGAATGGTACACCAGCTTCCCATGGTTGGAATACAGCGTGACTTCAAACTCGGCATTCTGTTTCGCCTGCCGGATGTTTTCAACTAGCAATGGACAGAGGAGTGGAAGTGCTGTGTTTGTGACCGAGGGCTATCGGAACTGGAAGAAAGCGCTTCAAAAGGACGGCGGACTGCGACTCCATTCGAACAGTGCGGCGCACAAGTTGTGCCAGGCCTCATGGGCATCCTTCAAGCAGATGAAGGAAAAGGGCGCCGAAAATTCAGTCGCCGTGCACCTCAGCGAGGCGCATTTGAAAGAGGTAAGAGAAAACCGCCACTATATCTCTGTGATAGCTGACGTGCTGAGGTTTTCTGCAACACAGGGGATTGCCCAGAGAGCGGACGATGAGTCAGCCTCAAGTGAAAACAAAGGAAACTTTCTCGAGCTCCTTCAGCTTGTAGCGAAATGCGATTCCATTGTACTAAAAAAGCTGGAAAATGGCCCTGCCAACGTGAAATATACTCACCATTCCGTTCAGGATGAGATACTCTCAGCAATGTCAGATATGGTTTTGCGTCGTTTCAAGACCGAGGTGGACAGCGCTCGGTGCTTTGCGCTTATAGTGGACGAATCCAGAAATATCAGCAAAACGGAACAGCTCTCTGTGGTAGTCCGGTATTTCCTGAACGGATCCGTCTACGAAAGATTTCTTGGGTTTAGGAGTGCCAAAACGCTAGACGCTGCCTCTCTCCTGAGCTACGTTAAGGAAACGCCCTCCAGATGTGGAATTCATCTTGAGAACTGCATCGCACAAACCTATGACAGTGCAAGCGTAATGAGTGGCAAGAGCAAAGGTGTTCAAGCCCTTCTTAAGTTAGAAGTACCTCAAGCCCTGTATGTCCACTGCTTCAACCACCGGCTGAATTTGGTTATTGTCTATGCCTGCAAGAGCTTTGATTCCACGAGGACCTTTTTCTCTTTCATAGAGATGTTGTATGTCTTCTTGGGAGGGTCTGCCACACATGCGCTGTTCATCACAGTTCAGAAGCAGGTGTGCGGCGCAACGATCGAACTGAAAGGAATCAGCGAGACAAGATGGACATGCCAAATTAACGCATGCAAAGCCGTCCTACACGCGCTTCCTGCAATAATTGTCACACTCACAAAGATCGCCGAAGGTGGAAGATCAAGATCAGCAGAAGCACGCGGAATTTTGCACCAGCTGAACTTCACGTTTGTTTCACATCTGTGTATCTTTAGCGAGGTTTTGATTGAGCTGCAGATTCTTTCAGATTACCTGCAGAACAAGAACTGCGACCTTACTCATGCCTCCATGATGGTCAGTGCGGTACTTGAGCGATTTAGATACCTAAGGACGTCGGAGGGTTTCTCAAGCATTTGGAGCCAGTGCTTAAGCGTTGCAGAGACAAACGGAATTCGTCTCGTAGAAGAGCGAAGAACCAACCGTCTGCCGGCGCACCTTGCAAAATATCTAACAGAAGCCCAGCTGCCCGGAGAGGACCCCAGCTACTCCACTGAAAACGACTGCCGTGTGCATGTGTTCCTTCCCATCCTGGATAGAATGTGCGAAGAACCTAAGCGAAGATTTAGCGACAGTGATCTCATCCTGAAGGGCTTGAACTGTTTTCAACGTCAACACGATCGCTTCATGGACATCTCGCTGGTCGAACCGCTAGCAAAGCACTGCTCGTCCGACTGGGATGCACTTGTGGCCGAGATGAAACTGCTTCCCAGGGTTTTATAGCGATACGGAAAAGAGAATGGGTGCAGCGTGACCACCACAATATTGTTTGCCGAATTTTTAGGCAAATTTAAAATTGCCTTTCAGGAATCGTACCGTCTTTGTGTTATAGCGTTGACTATCCCTGCCTCCAGCGCCGCCTGCGAACGCACATTCTCGTGCGTTCGTCGGCTGAAGACGTATCTCTGAAACAGAATGTCTGACAAGAGGCTCGCGAACTTGGCGGTTCTCGCCGTGGAGAAGTCCACCGCGAAAAGCCTGGAACTAGATGACGTTGTCAACGCCTTCGATGCCGCCCATCACAACAGACGGATTCGACTTCACTGAACTTTGGGGGACGAGTGCGAACGTGCCTTAATGTGAAATTTCAGAATGTAAATATTTGTAAATAACGAACATGTGCAATGTAATTCAGGTTGTAAGTACACCGTCAACCAAAGAAATAAACTGAGGTGATAAAAATGTTATAAAATATTTCAAAGTGCTTGGTTCTTCCAGTTTTACGTCGTCGGCAGTGACTATTCTACGCAGCCATCGACCATTACTTTTTTTATAATCCGCCTTTTAAACATGTCGTGAAAGGAGACGGCGGCAAAGCGATTTGCCTTTTTGTTTACACAATTCTCGGGTAGCTGCACAACATTAACAACCTCCAGCTCACTTCCAGGTTTACTGGCCGCCAACGCTTATTTTAGCTGTCAGAACCGACCTCCCGGTTTCTCATGAACCCCCCCCCCCCCCCCCCCCGAAAATGTAATACGCCTCCCCACTGCCCCCCCCCAATCTGGAAAGATTGGCGCCGTCCCTGGCCTTTAGAAGGTTAGTCACTCCACACGCAACCGATGCTTGTCAAATTTAAGCAGCAGTCGTGGTTAAAGGTTATGTTTGGGAATTATTATCCATTCTTTTGAAATTCTCATACTACTAACCAGGAAGAGGTACGTACGCAGATATCTGTGACTCTTCCACACATTTTCATATTGTCCATTCTATATGTAAATATACTAGCGAACAAGCTTCTGTGGCCGTGCGGTCAAAGGAGCGGGAACGCGTCCTTGAGCACTGATTAATAGAATGACATAGTATTTACTTGACCATGTTATCCATTTATGTCTGTTGTAACATGTATTCCTTGACAGTGCCTTTCAACAATAATACTGTTGTAGTATTTTTTTTTTTTTTTTTACAAGACAAAATGTATTGTTGTGCAGGCCTGTTGACAAGCACTAAATAAACTTTCTATCCATCTACCTAAAGCTTTGCACGTGCACTGTTCCTCTTGTCAGAAAATGCCACAAAAAGATGTCCAGGAGTACAGAACACAAACTGCAGGATCTTTACGCCTAGCACCATGGTTGCCGACAGCTCAGAAAACGCGGGACGTAGTGAGTCCGGAGTGTCCTACTATTGCTCCGCAGCCAATGGGATCGCAGAATTAGTTAATAAGAATGCAAAAAGAACCAATCATAAAGCAAGAAAAGTGAGCATGAGATATGCCACAACCCGCGATTTATAGGCTGTCGACGACCCCAGTACCTGTACAAGTTCCATTAGGGACCGTGATGTAACGAGCACACTTCTACGGACATGATGAGCTTCCAGTTCGGAAAGCTAGTTCGACAAGAAATGTAAGCTTTTCATGCCAGCCTCGTCAGACGAGGCAGGCACGGAACCATCGCTCACCCAACGAGATCTTCAGCTTGCATGGTGGTGAGATTTGGATGGACTTGGGATCGACCTGGCAACCCGTCAAGGTGCAGTCGACCATCCTGAACTGGAGCTGCGGAGACACGGGAGCTTTACTCTACTTTGCCTATGCGCGGTCGTTTGCTGCACCGAAAGACGATTTCGGTGTGGCCAACCCTTATACAAAGTCGGACCGGGAGCATTGCTGCATTGCGAGCGATTAAAGGAGTGCATAAATGTCGAGTCGTCGTGGCCTAATTCGCCCATGCGCGGCCGTTCGCTGCATCAAAACACGATTTCGGCGTGGCCAACCCCTAGATAAAGTCGGACCCGGAGCATCGCTGCATTGCGAGCGGTTAGAAGAGTGCAAAAATGTTGAGTCGTCGTGCGGGCAGTTGGGGAAAAAACTTTGTTTTTTCCCCAACTGCCTTTTTAATTTGGTGACAGGCTTTAGTCGAGCTAGTTGGTACATACTGATGAAGGTTCAGCCTGAACTAACAAAAACGAACGAAGGAAAAACAAAACAAAACAGCAAATATTTTTTTTAGGTTGGTATTGATTATGGTTTGACTCATGAAATCCACGATTCTGATAGAATATCTAACCGGCCGAGTAGGGACGCAATCGTGATGCGTCGTGCGACAGCAGCTTTTGTTGCCTAGAGCTGTTGGCGACGGGCAACTTTGTTAGGCAACCCTGACAACATCATTTTTCTCCATCACAGACTGTCTAAACAAATGGGACGACGAAAAGCGATTCCCGCGTTTTCCGCGATACACGTCGCTGAAAGCTGGCGACAACTGACAAAATTGAACCCCCGCAACGATGTGAAGTGATGTGAAGTGACATTATCATTAAGCTTAGTTCATTCAGTGGCTTTAGCACAGACAATAATCGTCGCCTAGCCTCGGGGTCATGATCTGAGGACGTTTCATTATGACAATTTATTTTGAGCTCCAAAAACCCACATCTGAAAGGTTCGCTTTGTCCCCAAGCATAGACCTCTCGCGGCATGACTAAGAAGCTTACAGAGAGGACAGAGGGGGAAAGTGTGATTCCAGCCCAGCGATGCCGTCCATTCCTGCCACTCACCTGGATGTAGGAGGTGAGTCCGGTGAGCATGGGTGATGCGTTGCGCTCTCCCTCCGGCGGATTATCCTCAAAGGATGCGGTGCCGGTCAGTGATGCTTCCAGTGAACCCTGGGTGAACTTGTGACCTTTGAATGAAAGAAAATGCCACTAATCTCTAAAACATGTTCACAAAAAAAAGTAGTAGTATTAGGTTCTAAACTTGACTAATATAGTTTACCTGTCTTTTTTAACACGGACCCCATTAATATGTTGATATGCATGCCTTGCTACATAGACATATTTTTGCAAATACATGCACCTTTGTCTCGTCATTATAGACAACTCGCATGGACAATTTTTTGGGGGGAATGGAGGTATTGGTGTTAGCGATACTACATGACTGCATCAGTTTCCCTTGAATTCGATCCTCAATTTTTTGCACCAGCACGATTTACTACAATTTGTTTTTGCATTTCTTGTACTATAAGCGACGTTGCACAGAAGCTCCTGATGCCAGTACTGGTGATTGGTGAACATTAACAGAAGAGGACTACTACTGTTAGTTTAGGGCTTTTTTTTTTGTGTGTGTGTGTGCGTGAATTATATTTTGCCATAATATAACTGCAGCACGCTGGTGCCATGCCGAATTTTTCTGAGTATTGAACGCAGTTAAAAAAAATGTTTTCCTTCATTTAAAAAACAAAGAAAAAATTGGTATACGCAGAATGTGTTTCTGCGGCATTCTTCGGGGCTTGTAATAAACACTGCAAGTATTTTTTTCTTTTTTACTTTGGTTATAGCATTTTGTGTTATTCCAAAATTTGTTTTTCTTTAACTGATGGTGGGCACGTCTTGAATTCCTTGTTTCTTCCCATAAAGTTTTTGAATACAAATGCCTAACATCGACTGCGAACGCTGTAATGCCAAATGATGGCGATCGGCGTTCGCATTTCAACAGTGTGTAAAAAGAATAAACACAAAGTTGGCTAGATTTGCGTCTACCCACCGATTGGCGCAGTGGTACAATGTTGAGCTCAGAATCATGGGGTGATGGGACAAATTCCCGTTGGGACGCATTTAAAAGGTAGTCCTTGCAAGTTTATCACTCTTTTGTATAGATCGTCCTCTGAAGTATATGTTAAAAATTTCGTGACAATGTTTGTGGCACTTCGTCACACCTCCCTCTGGAATCCCAACCCTTAAACACATTTGCGAAGGAAAAAAAATATACGAGCTTCATCATGCTGACAAAGGCCGGCAAGCACAGAATGTGCAACAGGCATCCCCAGGAAGAAGAAAAGGACATCTGGATGGCACCGCCTACCGCTTTCATTTCTGATGTACGCCGTGAGATGGCGCATCACGGGAGGAAAGGGTGCCTTCATACACACACACACACTTTTGCTTGAGTCGCGACATCTCGGCCATCTCTCCACCCAATCATTGTTTTTATTGTGTCTCTCGAAGTGCACCCAATCCAGTGTGACTCAGCTCGGGTGCATAGCCTTGGCTAATGCTTAGATGCCATTTTACCACATAAGCCACGCACTGAGTGCGCAAGCGCGTCACACGTTGGCCTACTCAGTAGAACAAAGGATGACTTCACCCTGGAACAGACAGACATGTAGGCGCCCTAGGAAAGGCTAGGGAAACTACATGCTCCGCTTGCGAGCATATACGAAGCCTATACACTTACTCAAGGAAAGACCGCAAGGCGCGCGACTTTGCTTTCGAATGATCCAATCCCCGACCCTGAATAGCTTAGTCGACAAAGCATTTGACTCACGATCTCAAGGTGGTTAGTTCAAATCTTGCCGGGGAACTGCAGTCTTTCTACATATGGTTCCCTATGGGCGTGATACTTTTCAGTGTCGTCGCAGTCGGCTGTTACATCTGGCCGTTACAGCCGGCCGTTACAGGCAGTCATTACAGCTGATAAAACAGATTCTGTGTCAATTAATAAGGCTTTGGAGAGTGAAGCCTGTGTAGACCTCGCTTACCGATGGACCAGACGAGACCGAACTTGTCTTTGGCTGTGGACACGCTGCCGCAGCTAGGCGTCAGGCTCGACTTCTTCATCTTGCCCCTGCGTATGTCCGGCCGTTGTTGGGGGCATCGCGACAATTGAAGGGACTCGGCAACTCCAAAGCCCTTATAAAAAATTGTGCTTGTCACTACCTCGCTTGCTGCACAATTTATGCAAATATTTTGCACAAATATATTTATTCACTAAAAAGGACCTGTGAAGAGTACCTATTGACAGCCTCTGTGAAATTGCAGCTGCCATCAATTCAGACAAGTAAATGTTCATGAACCGTGCATGCAACGAATATGTCGCATGCACGCTTCCATTCCATGTACCATGCCCAACCATGTGTTTCGTTCGACTACTGTTTAAACCACAAATATGTAATTTAAATGCACGCCAGTGTCCGTTTCGCACGTCCTGCCTGACCCCCAAAGCACGAGACAAGCTCGAATGATGTCGGACAAACACTGTTTCCGAACCAAGCTAGCCCCTGTCTAGGGTGTTTGTTCAGCGCATAAAGACCCCCTCGGCACAGCATCTCGCCATACTCTGTTTCAGCACAACTTGGCAAACAGCAAAAGCCATAGCCCCAGCAAGCCAATCAGCGTGGTGGGTCAGCAAATTTGTGAAAAGCTGTCATGGGCTTTGCTCCATTGCTCACTGGTGCGAAGGGCTTATAGCATTTGCTCTTTGCCAGGTTTTGTGGAAGCAGAGTTTATAATCCTCGCTAGTAAAGAAAGTCATACTGCTGAACTCTCAGCTCCTTATTGGGACGTTGAAAATTCAGCACTACGGACTTCTTATCTAGGTGGTTTGACACGCTTCCCAGCCCCGCTGAAGAGTGCCTCTCCCACCTGTTAAAGAAGGGAATCCTAACTTCGCAGGACTGGAACATGTTGCGGATGCCTTCCTGGAGTTTCAGCTGGATCAGGAAGTCCACGTGCTTGTCCCCCTTGCACGGAGAGAAATGACGAGGACCTCTTAAGCCACTTGCTTCGTTTATATAGAGTGGCTTTTTATGAAAGGAATGCCGGTAGCGAAATCGTGTTAACCGTTCAGTTGCGCCAAGAAATGTCGTAGGCCATGCCTTTTCCACTGCTTCACATGGTTCTCGATAAACAGGCACAAAGCACTACAATGAGATGGAGCATACTGACACCAAAAAATGTTTGCCCCACACAAAAGGCAAGTCACATGTCTTTTAAGCAGCCTATGAAATGCCCATCGTCTGTGTAATATTTTAGTGGATGGATGCATAACGCTGAACAATTTCAATTGGGTGGCGGCCAGTGGCACCTGGCCAGAATCGAACGAGCATTACACGGTAAAGATTTCTTTCAATGACGACGCGGCTCTGCCAATGGTCACTTCCGCTACTAACTCATTTCGATGCAGAGTCCTTTCAAAGGGTTAGAATGGAAAGGGTTACTCACGCGCATGGAGTAGACGCCAGCAATGGGGGGCATGGGAGCGGGTGCCGTCCCATAGTAGCAGAGGGAAAACGGGTGAAGAGGCGGCGAGAACCGCAGGCGGTACACAGGGTGCCTCACCCCTGCCAACAAGGAACAAATGTGGCGTTTCAGCAGCTCAATCTCGCTGCAAATCGAGGAAGCCAACAAAAGGTAGCACACGTAATAAGGAGACGCCGTCGATCCAATCAATCTCGCTGCAACTCAATTAAGCCAACATCACGTGTCTGCTCGAAGCATTGAACCCACAGGATCCTGGGTTCAATTCCCACCCCAGCCCGTTTCGATCTAGATGAGCATCGTACCGGTTTGCGGTCGTGTATCACTACTGCGTGGTGCACGTTGACCCCAGGCTAGCCGGTTGTACTCCACTGGCCAAATATCTTATCTAAAGTGTAAACCAATGTCACCACATCTGAAAGGCAGACCAAACTTGCGCTGTATAAACAAGAACACCAATTCTTTTTCTTTTTTTTTTAAGGGAGACATTGTTAAATAAGCCAATCGAAAAAGAGTTAGTTAGGAAAAATTCCCTATTTCAATTTTCATCCATAAAACTGAGTGTATGCGCAAACATGTTACAATTGGCGGCATTTCCTTGCCACTTGATTCCCTTTCATGTTTTGTAACTTTTCCCGCCTTGACCTGTTCGGTTGGGGATACGCACTATACTTGTACAATCAAAGAAAGCTTCCGAATGTGGAGCGAGCGCGTTAGTTGGCTCGCGAATCGGGGACTGGCGACGCACTCGAGGCCTCCCTGGGTGCCGCCCCGCCTGGGGTAGCCAGCTGAAGATTGGACGCCGCTTGGACACAGGAGTGCACTGAGAGGGCCTCCAGGGGCAGGGGGGGCCAGCCCTTGGGGCCACCGTCCCCGGCACCGACCAGGAGCAGAGTCACCTCCGCGCCGTGACCCTCGAGCTCGCACCGCACCCTCACTTCGCCCGTGATCTCCACCACGGGGTCCATGTCGGGACGTTCGCACTGAGAGCAACGTACACATAGCGCACATTTGTTACTATTTTCGGGTGGGGAGTTTTGCATTACTGTTAAAAACACAACCTTTTTTTTTCTCGGTAAGTATGTATCGTGGGAGAAAAATTACTCATATACCGATAGACCAATATGCAGATAAACTAACAAACCGACAAACCAATAGGTACGCCAAAAAACCAATACACATGCCGATAGACCTATATGCCAATAGACATATAATATTTGCTAGGGATGGGCTCCGAAAATGCCAAGGTACCAAAAGAAAGTGACAACTCAACTTCGATCAGAGACGTTTTGGGTCTGGCAGCTTGCACCTGTTTTTGTATGCTCATTTTGTAAAGAAATATTTGTCTTAAAACTCAGCGAACTGTAATTGGGCAGTTCATTCAGCCTCCTACAAAATGCAAAACAACATTTCCTAAAAAAAAAATGTTGGAATTGTTTTTTGTGTTTTTGTAGCTTCTGAAGCACACTGCTTGGTACACTCGGTTTTACAAAGCACTCAAACATTCTAAAACAGTGCACAAAGAAAGGACAAAACAAGGCACACACAGTAGATGAGCACCGTGTTTTATATGTGTCTTCTTTCGTCTCTGTTTCTTGTGCACACTCTGTTTTATAATGAATCAGTAGCTACCAACTGGCCCAGTTTAAGACACTCCTGGAATACTGAAATAATACACAAAACAAGCAGAAAATCATGGTCACCTGCGTGGCATGAACCGTCTCCTTGATGCTCACGCTTAGGGATGGCTTGCCCTTGAAGGCCACTGGGCGCCAAGCCGGGACCTGGTCCATGGAGAAATCACATACTTCAATGGGACGAACCTTCTCAACATGCAAGACACTCCTGCACCACTTATTAAGCTAAACATACTAATGGCCAGCTGTAGCACTTCTATTGGCTTCCCTGTTTTTCTTGCACATTCCTTTCCAAGCTTTTACTATTCTAGAAACTTTATACAGATTTTCTTTGCAGGCAAAGCAGACAACTTAGCCATTATTAAGCTGCATTGTCCAGAAAGCTCAAAAGCTGTGGCACGACGTTTCTTACCTATCACAGACACGTAGGTGTTTCGAAGGCAATGCAAATAGTACCGCATGATTAAAGAAAAGTGCTGCAATGTCGTTTTACCTTCAGGTTATAACACAGACAACTGAAGACATCTCTAGTAAAAAAAACGTCCAGAAGTGCAGACCAATACACGACCCGCGGTGTGTGATAAATAAATATATCTAAAAGTGCTGTCAGCCAGGCTAAAGAAGAGAAAGACAGACCAACCGACCTTGAGAGTTTCATCCAGAGGAACCACCTCCTTGTCCCCGAGCATGGCCTCGACAACACTCGGCTCGGTGATCTGAAGGAACCCAAATGGAGCGGCGACGGACAGGAAGTTGTCCAGCTCCATCAACTTTGTGCAGGTCTACACGGAAAGAAACGGTTTTCTGTCATTTTTCTATCTTGAACTGTGTACCAATTCGAAAATGCACGCAATGTGTGCGACAAAAATTAATTAAAGAAGTTTACCAAACCAGGTTGACTGCATTGAAACTTAAGTAAACAACAGAATCCCGACTACAGGTTTATCTATTCAACGAAGCGGGGCTGCACAAACCTTACGGTGTGGCAAACCTACCGGCGTCAGGTTGGAGAGGCTAGGGCCCAGGAATTTCACAACTGTCATCACTGCGGAAAACGCTGAGGTAACTTCTGGTCTGAATAGGGAAAGAATGGTTGTTCTTTAGATTGATATAGTGAAATGCGCTTTAATGTTCTACACTCCCCTGCATGCCGATCGTTTTGGGTGGCCACATGCCGATCAGCGAGACTTTAAATCAAACAATGTTTCAGCGAGTCTGCTTTAGGCAGATTCACTGAAACAATGCTTGATTAACAGTTTCGTTCATCGGCATCTATGCTACTTAAAACGATCAGAAAATGAAAAAAGCTTTTGCCTTGCTCATAAGTAATGTGCCTTTGATATAATAACCACTTTTATTTTAGGCCCAATGGTCCTTTTCTCAAAAGCACACATTGTAAAATTGTTTCAAGTAGAAATACAATGAAACTGGCAAAACTGTGCCACTTAGCAGAGCTTCTATTTATCAGAGTCCCACTTAAATGTTTTACTCTAGATTCCATGCTCCTTCTGCAACAAAATCCCCTTTCATCTTCTGCCCTCATTACAAGGTGGCCTTCCTGATTAAAGTGCAACATAATATAGTGTAATCCAGTGGCGTAGCCAGGAATGGTTTTCGGGGAGAGAGGGGGGGGGGCTGAAGCCCCATAAGCCTCCCCACCCCATGGCTACGCCCCTAGTGTAATGTGACATTGTACATTATTATATACAGTATAATTAGATTACAGGAAGTCTGTTAAAGGGACATGTTTGTTGGGCTTTAGTCAATAAGAATGACCAGTTCTACATGGCAAGACACTCTAGTAAACTCGCAGCAATAAAAGTACTCGGGTTCCCACTACCTCCATAAGATTTGACCAATGAAAATAGTTAATTGCGTGGAGATTCCGAACATTAATATTACTGCTCTTGTTAAATGCATTGTGCATTATATTTTGACAAAAACATCAAATCTTTGGCTGTAGAAGGCATAAGACAACAATTATTGTTTAAAAACACCGTTCGACAATGCCCCCTTGTGTCTGCTTCAAGACGCAGAAAGAGGGGCATGTCAAAATCTTTTATTAGATTTTTCGTGGAGAAGTTTGCCATCCATGAGAGTAATTTCTGTTTTCTTAGGACGCTTACATTCCATAGGGTAAGTTATCACCATACATAGACAATCTCAAGCTACCTCAGCATTCCTTTCTCTCTTTTTTTTTTAGGATGGTGCCATTCTTTTTTAATAGTCAGTGTTAATGGCACGTGATCGCAGGGAAAATACAAAGAATCATTTGAGATGGAAATGAGGCACCGGCCAAAGCTTGAGTCAAGAAATCTTGTTTTTTCCACACTCCAAAGCAAAAGAGAAAGGGGCCACCACAAATGGTCCAACGTCCCCACCATGGACGCTTGAGCACACCCTGTCCTCACTAACTATCAGCCAATAGGAGCACTCACTCCTGCCACAACCAACGTACAGGTCAATGAGCTCTGGCCTCTCCGTCGGCTCGTACGTTGCGTCGGTCAGGGGCATACTGCAGACGTACATGCCTTGCTGGAACGAAACAGAGCACCGACAATCTCTTAGCAGTCAGTACATGGAAAGAGAATGCCGCGGTATTCTAGTGAAGACACCGATTTTACCTTGAGGACTTTAACTATAGTCGGTGACAGGTCAAGAACAAAGTGGAAGCTCCTCCCACCTCTTTCCACTTTAATAGTGTGAACGCTAGAGAGGAGGTCGCCTCCTTTCCACCTGTCGCTTCCGTTCTTGACTTGTCATGGGCTATAGAAGGTTTTTTTTCTTTAACTTGCCATAACTGGATTCGCACAGATACAAACCATGCCCATCTGTCTTTAGACTCGAGTTGTAAATATGTAATGTGTCTTTTTGTTAGTCCTATAACGACGAACGCACCATAGATGGAGGCCTCAGTGTAGAAGTCACAGAAGGTCATAAGAACACTGGGCAATAATGACCACATGGATTAGCTTGACAGTGTCATTTAGCGGAAAGAAAAAATTTCATTCAGCTCAATTTCATAAATGAATGTGGCAGGTCAAGTGGCCTTCAGAATTGTATAGCTGGCTCTTGTGACAAGCTATAGAATCTTAAGTGTATAAGCCAACACACATAAGCTGCACAAAAAAGAATGGAACTGTAACTAAGTGCCATTGTAATTACTGTTCTTCTCTCGAAGACTCTATTTTAACCATCTTTGCACTATCAATGCACACAGTCCTGGCTACAGCAGTTAACTTGATTGCATGAAGCTGTGAAGTACCAATATTCTTAGACTCCTAGTGATTGTAGCACATCTAAACTCTTACAACAACCATTGAAGCATTTGAGTGTCAGCGATAGACTCGCAAAAAGGCCCGCTAAATCCCATGAAATTCAATAAAGTGATTGTCATAGATTCACAGTTCAAACAAATTACACACACAATGTTAGGCGGTCAGAGCTGGTGGAATAAATTGAAGAACCAGCCTGGAAGCCTCAAAGTGGGAGCCAACGGTTTTGCTAAGAGACAGCTTTCTCAGCACTGGAAAAACTATCTTAGCAAAACCGTCGGTACCCATCTTGAGACCTCAAAGAGGCATGCTTCTTGTCACGCAGCTTTTAATACCAGCGACTAACCATTAGTTTTCCAGCAAGAGCTGATCAAATGTGCATGCTCAAGAGTGTCCTCACCTCTTTGGTAAAAACGAAGGGCCACAGAGATCCCTGCAAAGTCCGTATCTCAATGGCCGGAAGCTGAAGGGGTACATCTACCCTGTCTCGCCACTCCTTGAACTGCATTACAACAAAAAAAATTCTCACAATTCACTCTTGCAACCTTGTTAAAGAGCAGTCAAAGCCAGCCAGTAGATTGCGCTGTGCTTTTCAACTTTTCACAGCTACTGTGGCAGTAACTAAAACTAATACCTATATATATTTGCTTTTGGGCAAGAATTTACATGGTCATGATGAATGTTATATTTTATAGGCCATTCATAAGAACCCCAACTAATGAAATTGTAGCAAAAACAAGCTCTGCAAGCAAAAATAAATGTCCCATCCACTAACCAAAGACTAGCTTGTAGAAATAGTCAGAGGAGGCTATAAAAAGCATAAGATACACTTTTGAAACATACCTAGCTGGGACAGCCTGGAGACGTCCTTTTTTTGGGTAAAATAAAATTTCATTGAGGAGACTGCATGTTTATTGATTTAATGGGGAACCTCCTACACCCTGAACTGCCCCTTTTGATAACCATAGCCTCAGTAGTGTTCTTCAGCTCAAGTGCACTTCTCGTGTTTTTGTTACATTATCTGCCACCATATCAAAACCTCACGGTTATTCTGGGGCACTAAAGAAATAAAGGATTATTATTATCTTCCTTTCGTTTCGCGTGCTACGCATACATATCCTTCATCTTCGAAGTTTGCTGCACAGACAGTTTATATGCTCAAATTATTCCTGTGTGCCAAAAATAATTCAGGCTTGGTTGCACCAACTCGACGCTGACTGTAAACAAGCAGCTGCTTGCAAACGATGGGGCAAAGTATAGCCATAGGTATACCCACGAAACACCAGTTTACGGGAAGAGAAACAGAGATAACAGATGCTGTATTTTGGACAAACTGCCGGTTGACAAAGTTGTGGAATGCTGCGACACTTTCCCTTGCCTCGTTCTCATCGAAGCAGACGACGTCAGCCAGGGCACTGGCCAGAGCTTTGTGGGATGGCATCGGGGTGTAGCCCTGCTTGTGCTTTAGCCTGGCCCGCTTTTCACACGTCGGAAATTGCCTGCACACAAACAGGCAAATTCACTGCTTCAATCTGTGTGACTAACAAACAAACAAAAAAAGTAAAACGAGTTTTTGTTTTTCTAGTTTGACATATATGTTTGTACGTCCACAAGAAACGTGTGCTGTGACATTCGTAAGATACTTTTTTGTTCTCGTTCCTTCTTGTTTGGTCAGTTTTCAGATTAATTCGCATCAGGACAAAATATGTAAAGAATAACAACTTTTACGCCATTTTGGGACACAATTTAAACATCCCTTGTGTCAGCCAGGGGGGCTATGTTGCGCTTTTTGCACTTCCAGGAGACTAGGGAGAGGGAAGTGACGTCAACGACACAGCAAACGCAGATTGGGTGTTGATTTCGTTTTCTTCTGTCAACATCCAATCTGCGTTTGCTGTGTCGTTGACGCCACTTCCCTCTTCCAAGTCTCCTGGGAGTGCAAAAAGCGCAACATAGCACCCCAGGACTCTAAACTAAATCGCGCCTTGTTGTTTGTTTGGTTACTTTCTGAATCCCTCGATTCAATTCATAACATCTCAAAATTCTGTTTTATATTCCTTCTTTTTATCCAGGGTGTTACGAACGGGATTTAGTGATATAATAGGGAAAGACACTGTCGTTTCAGCCAAACCACTACATGAAAAGATACCGTATCGGCACTATAACGTTCCTACCGATTCGTTTTCTAACTTGACTTCGGTTGACGAAGTTTTTGTAGGGGGTGAGCAAATCATTCGCTTCGTAGAATGTATGCCATCCCAAAGTCGGTTTCCGTGCCGAAATCTGACAAGGAGCGACTCGACAGATCACGTACAAACTAAGAATTGTGATGCAGTGAAACTTAAAGTCGACTCATTACCTGTAGTAGACTGTAGTTGCTGCATCTTTGTGAGGTATGCTGATCACAGCGATCGCTCTTAGGCTCATAATTCATAAAAGAGACGGCACCAAAAAACCGCCCTCTCCCATGAACTTACGCACGTGATGTAAACATAAAGAGGGGCGTCGCAGCTAATAATGATGATGATGATGAAAAATTTGTTTTATAGCTTTGGTGTTTACGTCTGATGGCCACGTAATTAAAGTGAAAACAAGTCGGGTTCACACATAAAATACACTAAAATTACACCATCAAAAACTAATTGCTTGCGATTCAAAACAAATCTCGCCAAGTTTGCTCTGAAAGCTTAGGTGTGAGCTCGCCAAAGCCGAGTCGATCCAAAGCCACTCGATTTAGTGTTTGTTTTTGTGTGTTTGCGTGTTGATCGCTCTGATCTCTCCTTTGATTCGCGAAGGTAAGCCGCCTGTGTTTCACCCGATCTCCAATTGCCTACCGTTTTGCTGCACTTAGTCTCCGTAACTTTCGTGCAACGTGCACGATGCGTCGGTAAAGCGAAATACTTCGTATATTTCCTGCTTTGCCGCTAACGAAAAAGCAGCGAGGCCTGCCCTAGGAGAAAAAATAATAATTAAAAAATGGAGTGTAGGTTGAGCCTTTACCACCGGGCTGAGATCCAAATGGGATATCCATTTCTGTTAATTCTGCTCACTTTTGCACGTTTGTCGCTGTCCTCAATAGAACGTGCTCAGTTTCGGAAAGAAAATCTATTTTAGCTCCTGCTTTCGGGTGCCCGTCCCAGCTTCGACGCTCGGCGCCTACCGTGGCTTGACAGCTCCGACTACCGCTTGATATTCTCTGCCGGTTGTGCATGTTTATTTTGGGCGACCGAAAATCCGAGCGTCCAGTTATTTTATTTAAATATTCCTTTACTGATCTTTGACCGCTTAAACCAAGCACTTCGTGAACATGAGCACTTGATCCTCGAAGCTAGGACAAGACGATCTCTGTAAAACGTCCGACTACTGATTGATCCCTCTTCTAAGATGAACGAAGTGTAGCGTCTCCCAAATTTGCGCCATTATTTAATAAATACTACGTGTTCCTTGTTTGAGATCGAATGATCACTTCGCCCGGCTCCTAGAAGCATTTTCTTTTTCTTTTTTTGTTTTTGTCGTATCGTCACTTTGAAGTGATGCGGCCGGGTTTACCACTGATTTCTTTTCACCCTACAAGGTTTTTTTGTATTTTCTTTTTCGTTTGTTTTATATATTCGGGTGGCCCTTTCCACGCAACTTAAGTCACTCCGTTTTTGTTGTTGTTTTGAACTCCTGCAGTGACAATTCCGTGCGGATCCGGTCGTTCGGTGTAGCTCGACGGGATCACCACGGGGAGTTGTTTTGTGGAGTTTGCGGAGTGCACGGTAGTGTAGACAGGAGTTCACGGCGCACGGTGTTTTATTACGAGAGGAGGAATTGTGTGTGTTTGTGTAAGGAAGGGGTCGCACGAAATCGCAGCTCACGAAGCAGCGCTTGCTCTGTCGCGGACGCGGGGAAGTGGAAGATGGGTTGGATGGTCGGGGGACGCTTCCGAAGCACTTGCCGCGACACTGCACGCGTGTGCACTCCCGTTCTTGTCCGTTTACGCATGCTTCTCTTCGCCGGATGTTTTTGGGCTCAAAAAATTGTTTTGTTTGTTTTATTTATTATTTTCCTGTGCCCCCAACAGTGCTTATTTTTAGACCTTAAATAGCTGCCTTACCTCTTTAAAGCTCTTTTTTTTTTCTTTTTTTTTTTTTTTGGTAGGGGGGGATTTATTTTGTCATACTGGCAAACGTAGAACATAGTAATTCTAAGATGCGGCAGCAGGCTATGACAGTCATGTCAGCGCGAAAATTTTTGTCACAATTAATTTGTCTTTTTAGCACGTTTGCTAAAAGTGTGAATGAAAATTAAAACAAGCAGTGTCATCTGGACAAGTGCTCTAGTTTGATCATAAATGTACACACAGCATCTACACCTTTTTTCTGCAAGCTTTTACGCTGCTAAAGGTTAAAAATTTTTTTGTACTTTTAGCGCCGTAAACATACATCCAACATCTAGCACTGGTTATGGTGTAAGGTCTAAGGTCACACCTAAATTCTGCTTTTAGTGTAAGCTTACACTGACAGAAGTTTAAGATCAAGGACGGTATAAAATGTTTTCATAGCTCCTAAGAGGAGAGAAGGTGTTTTGGTGGTATTTTGGTATTCCCTAACAGTTACTATAGTCCGTTGCAACTCAAGAAGGTGGGGCGAGGGAAAGGAAGGCCGGGGAGGAGGAAGCAGACGAAACGCTGGAGAAGAGAGGGGGAAACCTCCTCCTCTCTTTAGCGTTCCGTCTGCTTCCTCCTCCTCGGCCCGTCTTACCCTCGTCCTACCTTCTTGGGTTGCAACGGACTATAGCAGCCACTTCTTTTAATGCAAAGCAATGGTACTTGGTCATTGTGGTATGTAGGTTGTATTAGAGTTCCAGGTTATACCACTGTAGTCGGGCAGAAAACTGAGAGTGAAAGAAAGAACTGCAGAATTTAGGAGAGCTTAATATTGCAACAACATTTTGACCACTCATCTATTGTAATCAGTTGACATAATGTCAGCTTAGTGCTTAATTTGGCGAGTATTATGTGGTGTTTTTACTCCTGTGAGTTCTGTCACAATAACAGAGTTAGTGACTTGCTCTAGGAAAACATTAAATGGAAATTCTAATGTTTTCTTTTCGTCACTTGGGGCTTGTAATCGAGTCAGTTTGCAAGCTTGACAATGATTGTTTTTATTTTCAGGGTTCACAAGACATCCTTCGCACTATGTCGCAGGTGAGACTATTATGCCAGCAGTTTTTCGTGACATTTATTGTTCATTAAAAATTGCATTAAATAAAATTAAATATACTTGTGGAATAGAAATTTAAAAAAAAAAAAAAGGCAGCTTCTACTTACTTCAGTTTCCACAAATTGTAGTGAGAGGTTTTCTAGTTGGGCATCATTAATTATAGTTCTATCATTATCTTGGAACAGAATTTATGTGTGTCTGTGTGTTTGACTGAATGAGCAGGATGTTTAGATTTCCAAGAGTTATGTGATCTTTTGTGTAAGGGACATGCTCTGCCAACCATGCAACTCTATGAGACATGTGTGAACCTTTGAACAGAGTATCATACCCTCATTGCCTAATTCCTTTTTATAAGGATGCATTTCTGCCCCATATACCTGAGGCTTTTGAAATCTTAGTTTTCAAAAGTTTATATCTAGGTCCACCTACCTGCTTTAAATGACAGCACTACTGCAGTAAGGCAGTGTAGAAACCTACGGACTTTGCCAACAATAATGTACCGTAAAATACTGGGTAAGCGCCCACCCCATTTTCACTGAAAACTGGGTGAATCTAGACATGGTTGCTTGTCCGGTCAAATCAGGCACTTAACATATAGCTTGCAGAATTCCCAAGTTTGGAAAATATTAATTGTGAGCGCTTCCGCGGTATTTTACGGTATATACCAGGGTGTGTTTGGCAATATTGACTCTTAGTTCTGTATGGGTGCATGACTTAGATGCAGTAAAATTCTTCTGGAACTGGAAAAAAATACATTATTTTTTGGGGAGGAAGGAGGGGGGGCGGGGGGCGTCCGAAAGAATTTGGGTGCTCGAGGAGCTCCTTATGTCAGTTTATACCTCAAAGAAACCTATGAACTTCTAAGTATCCAGTCTGAGAACCCGCACTCAAGCAGATTCTGTGTTCTGGGCACAATTTCCATCGTCATATCTAAGTTAGAGTCTCGTTGGTCGGCCGAAAAGCAAAGGGCCCTTTTGATCACGAGCTTGCGGCGAAGTAGGTTCCCCGGTTGAGTGTGGGTTGTCATGTGCAGTTGGCAGACCTGTCGAGGGAGGAGAAGGAGGAGCTTGCCAAGCAGCGCATGGAGGACATGCGCCTCAAGAACGAGGAGATCAGACGACGCCACGCCGTGAGCACGCCCCGACCGATCCTAGACGCGCCGCTGGGAATGCGAAACAATTCGCCAGAACCCGTTTCGTAGTGTTGTCGAGCGGTCCTCTGTGCTATCTGTGCAGCTGCGGTCAGCGACAGGTTAAGAAGGGAGTAGTAGCTCGGCCTCTGGTGTGAGCTTTCCACATTTGATGACACTTTAGCACCTCAGAAGCACTCCCGGACAAAGCACGGCAGAAGGCAAGCAGTGTGTGCCTTAGCTGGAACTTTCACTGCATTTCTGACCTGTCGAAGACTGTAATTGATGATGGTTAGGGGATTTATAATACAAAATAACAAGTCATACTGCTCCAAATGACTTGTGAAGCTGGCAAAGCAGAACACAAACAATTTCGGCGAATTAAAACAAAGTATGTTATTTTTATCTGGAGAGAGTATTGTGAGGACGCAGTTTTGGAAGTTTGTATTTTGCCAAGTCATACTTTCTTATGAGTGATAGCCTCAAATGATAGCTGAACTAAGCCTGGAGTTAGCTGGATCAGTCCAACTCCCGAAGTGATGTGCTGTTTCTGCTCTCTTCAGCGACATTCTAGGTGCATTTGATATTGTTGCCCTGTCCTAACGTACCTAGTAGGCGTCTGGTAGATCCTTACGAGTCTGTTCAGCAGTGCTGGCAACGCTTACTTGCTCCCCTCTGAACTATCGTTTGCTGTTTTCAGGAGATAGAAGCAGACAAGAAGAATGCCGACTTGTTCAGCAGCTCTGCCATCAAGGAAGGTGCTGTGAAAAAGTCCCCCGTGAGTTACCATTGCTCTCTGGGAACTTGGATAAAGTTGTGGTTTAGGTAAAGTTAAGTTTTCACCAATTGGCACCTGTGTAGGGTGCTGCACCAGTTCTGTGTGCGCTACTACCAGTGGTTGGGCGTCTTCTAACATCTGCCTACTAATGGCTGAGATGAACCGAGCAATGCAAAGAGGAAGGTTGAACAGAAAAGAGTGGTCAAGCTACTGTTCAGGAACTGTCTTTGAAACTTGTTTAGCGAAGGCAGATTTCGAGAATCACCACTAATTTTACTGCATGATGTGCACAAACAACTGCAGGGAAAAAGATCCCCTAAAAACATGCGCATACTGGGTATATTGATTAATTGATTTATTGTTTGTTTTAAATGGACCCAGGAACAGCAGAGCGAGAAAGCAGTTCAGACGATTACATTCATTGAAACCCGATGAAGTAACTGAATCATAAAAACTGAAAAAAGTAATAACGCGAAAATTGTTGTTTCATCTTGCCAACATGCAAAGAACTTGTAACATAACAGGTGACACCTGCACGTCACAATTAAAGTTGCCACGCACAAAACGGAACAAAGCCATTGCAGTTGTTTCTTTTCGTCTTTGCATGTTTGCGTTAATCCTGCACGTGAGAGCTGTTTCTGGTCAGAACGAGTCGAGTGCAGACGCGCGTGTGGTGCGCCTGGTTTTTGCAGCCGGATGCCAGCCAGCCGGGGGAGCGACGCCCCAACCCGCAGAGGTCGAACCCCCGGGGTCCGCCGAGGTCCCAGGGACAGCACCGTCCCCGAGACGAAGGCAACAGGGGTGGGGCCCGGCAGAGGCCCAGGTTCGAGGAGCACCCGCAGCAGGACGCGGAGTTCCCCACGCCTCCGGTACGCTCGCTGCTACCCTACGCCCTTTCCGGTTACCTTCCGTTACCCTCCCCAATGTAGAAGTGTATCCATTGACCAACGATTTCGTTTACAGCACAGAAAAAAATATTGGCTCAGTTTCATTTGAGACAGGGCTGGGCAGAGATGCTCCAAAAAGTATTCCGGAATACAAATACTGAGATGCATTTATTTTTAGGCCAAAATACAGACACTGAGATACATCTGCCTTCTGTGTAACTGGACATCCATAAGACGCTTCGGCAAATACATTGAAAAAGTATTCCGGAATACAGATACACAAAAATTAATTTTTACATGAACGATTGTAGGTGCAGAGGGGTGCAGTTTGTGGCGAATGCAAATTGTAGTGCTTCTATATTTCCCTATATGTCAATTTATACCCCAAACTCTTAATTTATTTGCCGCTACCATCCCAAATGCTGCTAAAACAAATTGTCGACTCTAATGATTCATGGGTGCTAAAGACCAGCGACTGCTTGCCATGGTTAACAAATGGCGTCTTCCTGAAATAAACCGTTTTGCCGTGAGGGTGTGTCCCAATTTAAGATGAACCGTCACGGCAAAACAGGGTTCTGGGAGGAGCTTATTCTGTTATTCTTGTAAGTGACCGTTCTTCGCATTTCCTTTGAATTGTTTTTTTTTATTTAATTTTGATTGCTGATACCAGACAACCAACTACAAATTTGTATAGCACCGTAAATATAGCTCTAACAATTTTTTTTTCTTCGTTGTAAAATCGTTTTATGATATCCTTTTTCCATCTAAGCTGTTTAAAAAAATGTTTTTTTCCTTTGCATGTGTCCTTTAAGCCTGGCAGAGTCTGGGAATAAATGCGATACATGTGTAAGTACATTGTATTTCAGAAGTGAAATACAATGTATTTCACTTCTGAAATACAAATACATTTTCGGAAGTGTAACTCAATACAGAGATACAGATACTCGAAAGTATCTTTAAGATACTATCATGATACATTTGCATCGTGATACTGCCCAGCCCTGGTTTGAGACAATGGTGACCCTTAGTACTGATGTTGGGGCCTAAAAAGCAACTCCGCTTCATTTTTGTTTTTGAAAAAGCAGTGCCATCCAGTTCAGTATCAGCTAGGAAGGCAACGCGTCAAATTTTACGACCTAGTTCTGTCTAAATGTTTCTTAAGTAGTCCGGCAAACTTTAGAATGTGCCAAGCTGCCAAAATTGGCTGGCTCTAAGGGGGGCGAATTGAGAAGCAGACGATATCCAAGTTATCCAAGTATTGTCACCACGCACACCAGTGCCAAGCAGAATTCTCTCCGTCCCCATGTGCAATGGGCCTGTCAAACCTCCTGGTGTAGTTGGGGACGGGAGGGAATTGATTTTTTTGCGGGCATATAATCGATTCCGTTCTCTGAGTAAGGGCGGTCGAACCTGTTACATGTTTGAGGGGCCTTCCGTAGAACAGACACGGATGTAATTGTTTGCTTGTTCGTTTGGCTGTTGTAACCACGCTGGGTTCACGTGGTATACCGAACACAAAGATAGAAATTAGTACTTGGAATGTTACTTATTGCCCATACCCTCCGGCATGTCTTGGGCTTACGAGTTTCCGAATCTATCGTTCGGATACTTGGGTCAAGACAGGGTTATGCCCCGTCCTCTAGATCGCAGCAAACACTCTGTTTGTTGCCAAAAAGGTCGCGGAGGCTAGTGCCTCCACAAGCAAAAGCAAGACATTACTTACCTCCCTTTAAGTTTATGGGAATTTACCTGTTTATCGGTGTAACCTTAAAAAGTAAATATATTTTTGACAATTTAGTTTACATCAACGATATCTAGTAGAGTCTTTGCATATAGACCCTGTTGTCTGGCAAGGGCATTGCAATGGTCGTCTTTTTTCTTGCAGAGAGACGGTGGGGAGAAGCGTCCACAGCGGCTGAGTGCCGTAAGTGAACTTCGTCTCTCGGTTGTTTGTTGTAGCATCTGGGTTCCCTGTGGTCTTTAGCAGGTGTCTCGCCTGGGAGCATGTAGTTGTAAGTTTACAGAAACTCACTTTTAGCGGATAGCATTTCGCTTCATCCAGTACTGGATAGGAGCACTTTGGCGGATAAAGAAACTATGTTCAGAGATTTGCAGCTGAACCTAGACTTTGCTGTTCCTCTGACACCAACATTTGAGTGGGCTTTTCTTTTTGTGAGATTTCATGTGCATTGAATGTCGCACTAATGTTACTCTTATTTGTTTCTTTCTCACCATCGTTATTGTGGTCCATACCTCTAGAGCTGTTAGTGACAATATAATTAAATTTTTACCGCACGCAAAAGTTGGCAAACTTTGCAAGGTTGTTTTCTTCTCCCATTGGCCTCCTTGTTTGCAGTTTAAGCAAAGAAAGAGTGCCTTAATATGTATATACGTCCACCTTAGGGCACTGGCACATTGCATCTTGATGCCTTTTTCTCGTTGCTCTGATGCGCATGAAATAGACTTCTGCCTTTATTTATTTATTTATTTGATAATACTGTAGGCTCCGTTAGGGTCCAGGCAGGTGGGGAAATAACACAGATGAAAGGACATGATAGAATAAAAAGGGGCACATCTTTAATTAAAAACATTGACAATAACAAATAAAAGAAAAATTTCGAACGGGCAAGTTTGTAAATCGTAAGCTTTGAGAAAAACATTTGCTGGCAATGGGCTGTCAACATTTTGTTTTGGCAGGCAGTTCTATTCGGCGACGGTTTTTGGAAAAAAACAAAAGAGTTTTTAAAAGTGTTATTGTTGCTGCGTTATGGTTGGAGAAGTGTACTTGGATCACATCGCCTAGTCCAATGTGAAATGGGCGAGTTCTTTGACCTCTGCTAAGGTGGAATTTCGCTTCTTTACCATTTCTTTGTATTTCGCCTGCCATGAACACGTGCCGTCTGCATCAGGTACTGCAAAGAATGACACCACCTTCAGAAGAAGGACACTGAGGCACACTAGATGCGAAGACAGATAAATAAACGTAGCGGGCCGCTGAGTTGCCATCGAAACTCGGCGTTGAGAAGCCGCCCTCGTCCCTTGCTTGCAGGAAGACCTTCCTCCGCCGGACCCCAACTTCCGCTTCTTGGCCGACCGCATGCGGGAAGGAGGGGGAGGAGGTGGGGGAGGGCCCCCAAGGGCACCACTGGGGGCACCTCAGCAGGACGAACGCGGAGGACAGGGCGCTCCCCGGGGCGGCAGCAGGCGCCACCGGCACAACTACGGTGGGCAGGACTTTGAGAATGTCAAGCCCACCATGCGCCACGACAGAGACATGGAAAGGGTCAGTGGCGCCGTCTGCTCGGGCGACTTTTTATTTCTAGCTCCATCTTGTCACTAAGGTTATTACATGGTCTGAAACTTTCAGTGAGCAGATGGGAAATGTTTTGGTACTTTTCAGGTAGCTTAAGGGGGGATGCTAGCAAAGGGGTTGACTTTTGAACCTTTGGCTGCATATGAATGAAATTTGCAGTATATGCTGGCAGTTGGGAAGAAGGATGCAGTGTGAAGTTTATTCCGCGTACATGAAGGGTAAAAGAAATTATGGTCGTTTTTAAAGGAACACACTGACTTTGTTTAGGAAAACTGTTTTTAGAACACTACCATTTTTCCAATCCAAGATTTTTCTTCACTAGATCGGCTGCAGAATGCCTGTAAAGAGGAACTGGGTAAACAAAATTTCCATAAAGTAATTTATTTTATGCTAACATCGCGGTGAAAAATCAAGTAAATATTTTGCCTTTTATGTCGTCGACAAAATCTTGACATCTTTATAAAAGACATCCAGGTATTCAGAAAAACAATTCCACAGTACATTGCCCATAAAATTTCAGTTAGGAAAAACAATGAGTGAGTCTTTCCTTTTGTCCCATCAACAAACAATAGTTTTCCTAAAGTGAAATTTATGCCAAAAAGTGGAACGAAGAAAAATGTGTTCGAAGTGCTTCAACCTCCACCTTTTCTTTAGCATCGGGGGACAGAAAATAATTTATAAAATTTTAACTATGCTGTGTAAACAAATGAAACTTTCTGTGAATACTCTCTAGATGTTGGTGGATGTAAAGATAGCATTTTTCAAAATCAACTTTTTTGCAGAAATTGTTTTTTCTGGGTACTATCCTCCCTTAAGTAGTTTAGGAGACATTCACATTAGATTCTAAAGATTTGGTAGACAAGTTTTAAAGTGGAGTTATCCTGGCTGCAAGCTACCCAGAAACAATGGCATCCAAATTGTCCAGTGAAGTGAGAATGACATTCCTAGGAGATCAGCAGAAAAGTTTTTAGCCACTTGATGCTTTTTATTTGACATCATAAATTTAGCAGGTACAGTTTCTTTCACAAAGCTTCTCAAAATCTTCTTTTTTCTTTTTTTTTATCAAAAAGCTACAGATGTTTATCTAGATCTGGGTGATCATACTGGCGTGAATTTGTACATGACTTTTGCCTGATGCACGTTAAAATACCAGACTAACGGTCGTATTGCACTGGCTAAATTCCTTATCAGATGCCTCTTGGAGCACACTTAAGTTGCTGCTATCTAAAACTTCCGGAGGACAAATTACTCTTTACTTTTTTTACATTCTTGTTGTACGGCGACAGCTGTTAGTGGGAACCTCCCCGAGAATTTGAAGGGTCGTCCTTCGCGAAAACTTTGACAAGGTCATCGGCTATGTTATCAATCACACAATCGCTCGCAGCCGCCACTCAGTTTATAAAACTCAAATGTCTGTCCGTCAAGCTGGATTTGAACCAGCAGCCTATAGATGACAGCAGTTGTTTGTTCTACCGTCAGTCGATCCACCAACTGAGCTAACTACAAAACAAATTTCAACAAATCTAATTTTTTTTTTCTTTTTTAACGGCGTTTTGTGAGCTTTGATTGTGCACTTGCATCCAGAACAACACGGAAGGCAACAAGCACGTGCTGGTTGCCAGGAATTCCAAAAGGTGCCTTGCGGTTCTCATCCTTTCGGTGACTATAGGATGGTTTGATTGTAGCCTACACTCTGTCGTGCTGGCAGATTTGCACGACCATCTGAGCAGACGAACCGGTACGCCATTTGGCTAAACTTCGAAAAGTTCTCGGCGGGCCCGAAGAACGCATATTTCAGTTGCAGCGCACCAAAGAGGCTCGTCGTAGACAGAGTACAAAGCAGGCACAAGAGTGGAATCGAGAGCGAAAGCGAAAAAAATGCGAAAAACCTCGCAATTGTGCTCACGAGGCGGCACAGAAGCAATGGCGATGCCACAAGGATGACGAATTACTCTAGCGCAGAGCCGCCGTTGCTGCGAGAGATGTTAAGGCTGGCTCACACAACCCCATTTTCTCACATTATGTTACGTGACGAAAGCTTACGTCTGCTTCCGCACAAGTAACCGGGACATCTGTGCTTCGTAATAAGCGTGGCTACCAGTTCAGGAATGTAGCCTGGCACGCGACATTCAAGACACTAATGTTTTGGTAACTTATATGTTACACAATAAAACAACGCCATATTAACCACCCTCTACGCGGTGGCGTAAATGCACTCGGATTTTTCGGTAGTTTTAATCGAGTCCCTGACGCGCATTTTGTTTTCAAGCTCGCCTTCCAAACCTCGCAGCATATCAAATGCTCAAAGAGCGGCTTTCCTCCTCAATCTATTCTCAATGACTGCGGCGCATTGACGCGTCCCGCCTTGCGTTTCAGGAATTTCCCGAGTCCCCGCCGCGCAACCCGTGCATGCGCATGACGGGACGGCAGCGCCGGGAGTACGACCAGTGGAAGATGGACCGGGAGCAGATTGACCAGGAGCGCCTGCAGCGCCACGTCAACGCCGCCGGCGAGTTTCGCCGCGAGTGGGACCACCACAAGGACGTCCAGGAGTAAGTTGGAGGCAGCTCACTGGGCCGTCCGTCAATCCCCGCCTTCTGGGCGTAACTCCTTGCGACGTGGGTGCAGACGTGACGACACGGTTATCCGCAGACACGCCTCGAGCATTTTCTAAGCTTCATATATATGTATGCTTCGAACGTGTCTGCACAGTCTTTGTATGGCCGATGTGACGGGGCTGTGATACAAGGAAGCAACAGACCTTGGACGGTGTCTGTGGACCGTCTTTTGTATTAGGTATTAGCAGTGTGACCGCAGCTTTATGAGGGGGGTGCAACGCCTAAAGGCCCGTTAGCGCACTTGCGTTTGAGTACGACCGACTGGGACACGACCGGTTTTCAAGCCTTTCGTTACGACTTACGACCGGCACAGCAGCGCAGTCGCTCGTAGTCAAACGCTGGTGTGTGAGCGGGCCTTTACGACGTGGGCATAACGTCTTACAATAGGGGCAAAACACCCTATGCTGTACCGCAGTGGACACTACGAGCTACCTTAGCCAATTCGTTGCTCCACGCATGCTATGTAACTTCATGCTGTGTGTGTCAATTCACCCAACTGGAAGGTCATGGGACGATGTGGCTGTACATTGGCTTTGGTGGCTCGTAGCGTCAGCTCTGGTACATCGTTAGGTGGAAGGAAGTGTAGGGGGTGTGGCTACCACCGTACAGCACGGAGGAAACAATCTACGAAAAAAAAAATGCCTTTGCTATCCGAGCATTTTATTAAAGTATGAACTCCCTGTAGTGTTCTGTACTGAAGCAAAGCTGAGGCATGCTTATCATACTTTTTCCAGAGTTTTTTTTACTGCTGCTACTGTTGAGACCAGTTATAACGAAGTCGGTTATAACGAAATAGCGGCTACAGCGAAGCGATGACGATTTCCCATTCCCTTTAACACTCCGTTATAACGAAATAGCGGATATAGCGAAGTGATTTACGACTCCCGTTGACTTTGTTATAACCGGTCTCAACAGTACTTGATAATTTTACCACAGTTGAAACTATCTGTGATGTATTAGCGAAGGAAACTTGAGGTATGCTTATCGTATTGGTATAGGCATTTGAGGCACAGAACTAGTAAAAATACCAGTGTAGTGAAGATGTTTTTCTTTGAAAACTGAATTTACTGTAAAGTGGAATTACTGTTGTGTGCTTGAACTGGCATTACAGGTTTGCCACGAGTTTTACTATATTGAGAAAGAAAAGTACTGGTAAGCTTGAAATGCTGACACAGACATCTAACTGTTCATGGACTAACCAGATTACAACACATATCTAATAAAGCTTTTTTTCTTTTTTTAAAAGGTTAACATTGTTGAGAGAGGCTCTGCCATAATACTAAATACTCGACGAGAAGTAGTGACCCCAGCTCTTTATTGCCTCGGGGCATTTTAACCGTATCAGTTCGAGGACCTGGTCGGTATACGGCTCATCACTCTGAGGAGAGTGGAGGTGAGGAACTTCTGGGATTTTGCCTCAAGCAAGAAGTCGCTTCTTTCCATCAACACAAACACATATGCACCTACACAATGTGCACCCTCGCAGACATCAACCATCTGTACTTACGAGTGCGTGCATCTACAATATGGGGGAAGAGGTTCCCCTCAGGGGTGCTTTACCTAAACAGTTTCTCGCAGCCCACTGCAAGAGACGGTGGTATTTGTTTAATTTTTTTTTTTTACGTTGTGCATGGCGAGAGTTTGCTGCGAAAATATGGTATTTAAAGGGTGTGCTTGGCCCGGCAGGCCAAACCCAGCTAGTGTGTTTGGCCCACTGGGCCAAACACACTAGTTCATCAAAAGATTGGCTGGGACTGTCCTGTGGGTGTTGCCAGAGGCAGTTATATTGCGGTTTAGGGGTTCTTTCTGTCTCGCTGTTGCTACGGTTGTCTGCAAGCCATATATTTAGTTCCTCTTTTTTCCCCAAACTTTTGTGCGAGGTTGACAGACAAGGTGCATGAAATTCAAGTGCAAGGTGACCAAGCGAACGACGGAGGGCAGGCATTCCAAGAGAGCCGAGACGGAGAGAAAACTGTCCTAAGGTTTGCAAAAGTCGTTCACGGCGTTGTGGCGTCGTCACTTTGCGGCGTGTGAACAACTACGACGGGGTTTCAGGATGAAGGGTTTAAACATGGCCACCTTCAGAACGGTTACTGCAACCTGACGTTCGCTGAGGACTTCTTTTTCCGGTCTCATTATGTTATTCGTGAAGTTGAATGTCCTTTTGTATCAAGCAGTTCGTTCATTGCATTCCAAGAAGACGGCTATACTATGCTCACCCCTAAACTGGCAGTGCTGTGGGAGCTACATACTCGCCGAACTGAGTGATCCAAACAAGCATATAGCTTCTTCTGCACTGTCATCTGGGGTGAGCCAAGTACAGGCAATGAATTTTTTGTGTAGCTTTCTGTTTTGTGCAATTTTGCCTTTTTTAAACCCTTAAGTCAAAGTTGAAAAAAAAAAAAAAAACTATTTCGTTTTGAAAACCAGATTTTCATGCCTGATTTTGACAATGTGCAAGACCGCCCTACTTGCTAGATCTAGTGTCAGTACATTAAAAGGTGCGTTGCAGCAAAAAGTAAGAAAAGTTACCTTTTACTGCACGTAGCCTCCGATTTAAGCTTGACCCAGTTACTGGTACAGGTAGAGCACCACAATACCAGTATCAATGGGTACATCCACAGTTACCAGTAGTGGGCACACCCATGTTTCTTGTCTGTGGCCTTCCTCAAATGTGCTGCCTCTGTGGCAAGCCTCTTCCCTGATTGGCCAGGCCAGCTGTGACACTGGCCTCTCCTACCCAGGGGTCCCTCATCGCCGCCCCCACCTCCTCGCCCTCGTCCCCAGAACGACCAGGGGCAGACGTTCAACAGCCGCGTCTACAGCAGAGGTCAGTGCCCTCTGTCTCGCTCCCTCACTTCGAGCCCCGCTCTATCGCTGAACTACACGATTTGCATTTCTCGTGTTTGCCCCGAAACGATTTGTTTGCACTTGCCTGCTTTTTGTAGTGTCTCTCTGACAAGTCGTCCGCACGAAAGGAAGTTTCGCGGCTTGGACATACGCGTGCCGACGCGTTTGCATGCCCAGAAGGAATGAAGCATGTGTCAACATCTACTCCATTTGAACTCAGGTTTTCACCACTCCATCTCGGGAGTTGCATGCAATACTGTTTCGCTGCAGTTTGAATGGAGTTTGCCTTTTTTCTAACCTCTGCATTTATACACGTCGCTTCCGTACCCGTCGACGATCATCCTTCGTATGGCTTCAACAATGCTACACAAAACTTGCGAGTTGGAGCGCAGCGTTCGTGCGAAGACTCGAGCTGCGAGAAACCTAAAAGGAAGAGTTGTTTGTGTGACCCTGCTTGCTGTGCATCTCTTTTTGAGTCTTGTCCACCGAATTTCCTTCCTGCTTTGGTGTATGGATGATGCGCGGGAAAGCTTCTCTCACCTCGCCAACTTGCTGCTTGCCGCAGTGCTTGTGGAACACTTCAAGACGGAAGAGTGACGTCACGTGCCGAAGCCTGGTGTATGTACCCGTTGCTCGCGTGCTTGCCACCTTGCATGCACACTCTCTCTTTCTCCCTTGGGCTACGCTTAGGGTCCCTAGATTCCTAAGCTTATTAGATGGCATAGCTTGATTAGTCGACATTAGTTTCACATATACTGCCTTCGCCCTTAAGCCAAGACTGCGCTGGGAGCTACGGGCCTGACGGACCAATCAGCTGCCTCCCTCTTATCACCTGACACAACTCTGCACTCGGGTATGGGTGGGAGTGTGATATGACGTGGCGAAACGGGTGTATGACTGGTCTATTGAGGACGTAGCTTCCACTGTAGTCTCAACTTGGCAGTGTACGGAGTGTAGTGTGGATCCGCGCTAATCTCTACCCATTTACCCATTCTTAGCATGCTTCTGAAGGGCATACAGTTTTGTTTTCTTTTCTTCTTTTTTTTTTTTTTTGGGGGGGGGGGTGCAGAGGCAGTGTAATGTGAAGGTTAGCACATTATTGTGTAAGGTGGAGGAAGTGCAGTGCCAGAGAAATTTATTTTACATCTATTTAGTTGCTTCAGTATATCTGATCACATGTATTACTCAGAGAGGCAGGCTCTATCATTGCTGGGATTTATATTTTCAAAGAATGACTGTGAAGAGCCTGCATACAAAGTACCAAAAATAAACTTTAAGTAAATCAGCTTATTGGTGCCTAGATTTTTAGACTGACATTTGCATATTTGATTAGGGGTACATTTAGCTGTTTCCTTTTGGGAAAAGGAGGGTGACATACGAATAGTCAGAAATCCAAGGTTGGACTTGCATAGTGAGCGAGCAAAGCAGCACCCTTCTTGTACTGTCCACTGTCGAGTTTGAAAGGATGGGGAGTAGCATTTGAATGCCCGGCTGCCAGCACGTTTTGGCCCACTGCATGTTAGCCAGTTACGTAATTGGAGCACGTTCACTGCCGTGCAATCACGAGCAGATGACTTGCTTTCATTTGATGCCCGTTGTGGAGAGGGGATTTAATATGCGAGTGCGTTTATTATGCGAGTAAATACGGTACTTGAAGCCAGCGTTTTTGTAGGAGTACAATTATAGCCATGCATGTCGTTTGAAGATGCTGAAAGTTTTGTGGAAGTTTCTGCCATTGGCAAACATAAAGAGAGAAAGGAAAAGATTCTAATCCCTCCCGAAACCAAAGAAGACTTCGCACGTCTTCCCACAAGCCCCTTTTGCATGCGTGTTTGCCGTGTTGCGTGGCTGCATAGACCGAACTGACCCGTTCTGACCTTGTGTGCCCCCTCACGCGTGCAGGCCAAGCAGAAATAGCAAGCTGGTGACGGGATTGCCTGGAAGCTTTCTTATTTATTTTTTGCATGACCGCACGCGGTTCGTGGCTTCGGTTGGGTCCAGTGGTGGGCACTGCCTGGAAAAGTCGCCCCAGACATTGTTAATGTTATAAGTGCTGTTACTAATAAAGTCCCGATTTATTGCTTCCCCGGTATTTTCCTGCTGGTTTGGTTCTCACTTTTGCTGTTTTCGGTTTGACGTGTTTGGGCATTGTTTTTGCACTTTCCTCGCACTTGTTTGCGGAGTGCATGCGCCTGCGGTGTTTGTGCACAAGCTTGCACGCACCCGGGCACGTAGTCCGTCACACGACCAGACTTCCAGTGAGTGTTACCTCGGCCGTTGAGGCACCATCACATACTTGCGACTCTTATGACTGTGTGCCTTAAAAACCTCTAAATCTTTTGTCAACGAGAGAACACACAACACGCTGGCACCATCTATCGAGTAGCTATGGAGCTCTTGGCATTTCCGTACATTTCCTATTTTTTTCGCACATCATTGCTTTTTTTTGTTGTTGTTTTTACTCGAAAAACATTTTGCAAGGTTGTAAACAACCATTCCTCATAGATACTGGTACTTGGATTTAAAATCGCAAATACCGCAAAACCTTCGCTCTAGTACAATGCAGTTCGTGGGCCACCTCATGGATGGTGCCGGCGTGCCAGTGTGTGTTTTCTCGCCGTAAGGGATTGCGAGAACTCGGTTATAAGCAGACGCAAGTGTGTGAACGGCCCTTACGACCGGTAGTGTCATCGTGCCCGGAATGCCTCTTGAACCCCTCTGTTTCCTCAAGCTTTGCCTGTCGACTTCACACCCCCATATAGATTTTATCTTGCGATATCCCACACTGCCTGGTGATAGTTACAAAAAGTGCAGAGAGGAAGCAAATTTCCTTAGGAGGGCGAGGGGAGGAATCATACTTTTTGTGGGTTTCTTTTTGTTTCTAGGCTGGGTGGCGCCAGTTACTGCCCATTATAAAGGGTACGGTCATTATCATCCATCCAGCCATCCATGCAAACACGAGAACATTCAGTATAATTGTACTCAGATGGGAAGTGTTCCCGGCCTACCTGATATCTCGTTGTAAGCAATCGCAGGTGCGTGCAGTGCAGTCGTTCACATAGGCCGTCAATCACCGGTGATCAACGGTTTCCAAGTGCCGTTAAGAAATTAAATTTAGTGCGGAGAATTATGTTCCACAATCTCGTAGATAGTCGAAGAACTCGAGTTTCGGTTTCAACATAGGTTTGAGCTTTATCACAAGCTGGTGTACTGTCCAAAACAATCTTGGGGAACGGTGTTTACACTTGTCTAACATGGCTAACTGCTTGCATCAGTGTTTGTTACAAAGATGGCATTATTTACGTATTTCAGTTGTACTGTGGCATATTTTATTGACATCAAGAGGTCTGGGGACACTTTAAATGATGTTATAGGCGTTGCTTAACAGATTATTGTCGGCAAGCATCACTACTATTTCCACAGCTGTCCTCAGCCGGTGTGCACGTTTTATGCTCCCAGCAAGTCAAACAAAAATGCTGAATATGAAGGAACTGCAATCGAGTCTATCGCAAAACGAAGGAAGAACACAAGGAAAGCATTCTGCTTGGGGTGTGAGGTGTTCTATCCATGTTTCACCAGTATAAGCATTCTTTCGTTGAAAAGCGCACCTGTGACGGAGGCTAACTCTCCGCCGAACCAATAATAGACGTCAGTTAAAGTACGCTAACCTTGAGAAGTAATAGTCATGGGTGTGGGGCACATTTTGTATATTCGGAATTTTCTTTTATTTGTCGTTTAATTTGAATAGCTGTAGAAGTGTCGGCGTTTTTACGCCTTCCTCAAGTATATCGTATTTTTCAGAAATAAAATCTTAAAATCCTTTTTTTCACATTATACCAACCTCCGTTTCCTTTGAAAGAACAACTAATTGATCACATTTTGATCCGTAACATTGCTCCGTACACAAATTAGGAAAATAAAAGCATTTGCACGGATGCTTCGAAAATCGCTTTGTTCCCGTGGTCAGGAAATGGTGAAGACTGCTTGTTGGTGGTTGTGTGTATCCTGGAATATTTGGGAACCGGACTCGGTTTTGAGCTGCGCCGCCGCCGCAAATGCAACTTCGAGAAAGACCTCACAAATGAGCTGAAAATTCCCATTAGATCCAATTGGAATTCTAACTGGTTTTAATTGGAACCAATTGGTTTTAGTGGGTTCCAATTGAAAGCACACTGGCCAATGGGTCTCACCAATTGGAAAAAAAGTTCCAGTTGGAATCTTAATTTTTTCCAATTGGTTCCCATTGCAGTGACCAATTGGTTGTCCCAAAACCTAGCTGGTAGCAATTGGAAATTCCAATTGGAATCTAATGGGAATTTTCAACTGGGTAACGCAACCGCCGAAAGGGAGCGCTGCAGGACGAAGATGCTGGCATCATCCAGACTCTCAAAGATTCGTGAAAACTGCGGTATTTTTTTCCCGAAAGGGTGAACAACAGAACAGCCGCCCTCTTTTACCAAAAAAAAAAAAAAAAACAGTTTATTTTGCTAATTTGGTAAGAAAACTATCCCACATGCATTAATAACAAAAAAATTAAAAAAGTGCTTACCCTGCTGCATTTCGACAAAATGTGAATTTGCGCAAGCATTGCCAAAACGTCATTTCATTTTATTAATGCTAACAATATAATAGTTCACTCGGCCGGATCAGCTTGTCGGAATTTCCGGAGCTTTCAATTACCGCCTCGACTAACGTACCATTTGATCTGATTTTGCATCGGACACTGAGGTAACTCGGAAGTCGCGCAATATTTCTCATGTTTCTGGTCTGTTCTGAGCAGGGTCTAAGATAGACAAGTGGGGAAACGGCCCATAGGCCCATAGGTAGGGAGGCTGTAGTGAGGGTGGGCGCAACTCAAAACCTGGAGAGCGTTTGCAATTTAATGGCGGCGCCTGAGGGAGAGGATTCGAGAAAGGATATGCGTCAGTGTTGCCTGCACGAGAGCAGGCGCCCGCTCTGTTGCAACTCTGTTGCTCCATGCGCCTTTCCTCCTCTCGCCTCCCATTGCAAGCAACGAGCGCCTTGGCGCAGCCTCTCTCGCTTCCTTCTCGCTCCCAGGGTTGCCAGACAAGCAGCAACGTCCAAGATGGCGGAATTTACCATTTTTCCCGTTAAAAAAATACTTAACCTATCGCAACAAAACTGGTGGCTATGGAAAAGTAATCATTTATACCTTGTGTAAATTATTCAAGCACCTTAATGGGCTTTTATCACCCGAATTAGGAAAGAAAACGACCCTTTGCCCCATAGACTCCCAGCAAAATTTAGCAATTAAATGACGTCCATGTCCCCGTGATCGCCGATCTAGCAGTTGCACCCACCCTCACTTGAGCCTCCCTACCAGGCTTTTTTTTTTCATTGGTGCAGTAGTTAAAGTTGGGAACAGAACGCGGCAGATCGTAACCACTGTCATCGGTGGTCCGGAGGGAAAGAGAGTGACAGAAAACCGGAGGAACGACCATTGAAGTTGCTCGAATCATTGTCAACTTTATTTCTACAATGCTAGCAAGAAAAAATTGTACGTCAAATTGCTAGGCAATTGTGTTGCACACGTGAAACGTTCTACCATCTCGTTACGTCAATTTCCCCGCTAAATTTGGCGGGAAAACTGAATTGGTTTGTAGGTCACAGAATGTTACTTTTCCCGCTAAATTTAGCGGGCGACATTGAAGTGGTGAGGAGGTCTCGTGACGTCAATCTCTCTAAATTTAGCGGGAACACTGAATTGGTGCGTATGTCACGTGGCGATATGTCACGTGACGTCAGAGGCCACGGAAATGCGACTTCACGAAATTCGGATTCATAAAATCCAAAGCAACTAGCCAAAAAACATTTCACGTAAAAAAAAAAATCTCACTGGTGGGTTTGCTAAAAAGAAAATTATAATCGTGCAACGCAACGGCAGTACCACGGCGGACAAAGCATCAGTTGCAAGGCACTAGCAGGTTCGTACCGGGGAAACTTTCTGTGATAGAAAATTTCGATACCAAGAAATGTTACCCTATTATACAGGGTGACCAAAATTAAGCTTTGCAAATAAAAAAAGAAAAAGGAAAGGCAGGTAGGTGACCTCTTTTTTGCACCTAGGTTATGCCCCCGGGCGGGCATTTGAGGGGAGGGATAATTGGAGCTGTCAACTTTATAATTAAAATAGTTAACTTTTTTTAGAGCGCAGGTCTTGGGCGCCCGTTTCCGCGTTTCGCGGCGTCGCCGTCGGCGTAACCGCTTCGCTAAATTTAGCGGGAAATTGAATTGGTGTTGAGGTCACGTGACGTCGATTTCCCTGCTAAATCTAGCGGACAAACTGAATTTGTTCACGGGTGACGTGACAACAAGCTATGTGACGTCATTTTCTCGGCTAAACTTAGCAGGGAAACGAAATCGGTGTTGAGGCCACGTGGCGTCAATTTTTCCGCTAAATTTAGCGGGGAAATTGACGTCACGCGACCTTAACACCAATTCAGTTTCCCCGCTAAATTTAGCGGGGAAAATGACGTCATATAGCTCGGTGTCACGTCACCCATGAACAAATTCAGCGGGAGGAAAGGAGTAGGAGGGGCATACCCTCCCCTCCTCCTTTTCTAGAGCTGCGCTCTAATTTCGCATTACGGAAACTTGTAAACGTGTTTCAGCTTTTTTTATTTTTTTTTATTTAGGGTATGCGTTTTTAATGTCAGCCGTATTCCAAGACTGTTTTTAAGGTTTAGAATTCTCTTAACCATGCTCGTGTTCCGAGATGTGCGTCTCCCAAACCTGCCACTTAGCCGCCTCGGTGGCTCCGAAGCAAAGTGCCGGCTTTACGGATCCCCAGGCGGCCGCGGGTTCGAATCCCAGCTGAGGTTCCCGCAATCTGACAACGGCTTATTGCAAAGAAGACGCTGCGTCACCGAACTTTTCGGTTGCGCGCCGAAGGATCCCCAAGTGGTCAAAATCGGTCGTCAGTCCTCCGCCGGGGCGAACCAGATGACATTTGTCGGTTTGGCACGTAAAACAACCCACATTTGACCAATCTGTCAACCAATCCGGCCAATTACGCATTCGAAACCACGAAGATTGGAGCGAGGGCTTTCTTCGGTGTGGTGACGCAGATCGCTGCGTATGACATTCCCATGACGACGGGGCGGAACTGATAATAGTTCCTCTTTCGCTACCCGCTGGCGAAAGAGAATTGCTACCCCGTTGTCGTGGAATTGATAGCAGATTGCGCCAGTGTGTTCTCTCGTAAACGGTTACAAGCGAGCGCAGCCAATACCACCTTTACTTCGTTTCACCGACGCAGTTGGACTCTACGAGCTAACGGGGCCAATCAAACTTCGTCGAAAGCGCATCATCGGGGTGTTCGTCATGTTTCTGTACGTGTTTGTATCATCGCTGGAAGACCCAGTGACTTGCACTTTTGATGCTGCTTGCTTGGTCCCATTAGCTCGCAGCGTAGGCTGCGCCAGACAAGACTGGATGGATGGATGATGGATGAATCCGGCTGAGCCCTTTGGATCGGGCGGTAGCTTACGCCACCTAGCCATGCATTGTCGACAGCACGTCCTACAGTACAAAGACGGGTGCCGGTTTGCGGCAGCCCTCGTCGAGTTTCGGCGTGTTCGGGGTGGGTCCGGGGGTCCACTAACGATGACGTCATGCGGAGGCCTTGTTTCCTACGCGGTGGTATTGGCACAGCGCACTCGATCACACTGAAACGTAACTGTGTGCACCAGCCGCAGTGTTGTGAGGCGTCATAGAAGTAAGTACAAAGCTAGATAGATTTATGAGTTGAAGCGCAACCCCCGCTCTTTAGGAGATTTGGGATATGCTAATAAGCTCAGCCTGGTCCGGCCGGATTACCCCACCCTTGGGTACTTACCCTTAACCATTTACATCTAACCTTTGCGCAAAAACGGCACGAGAATCAACGTCGAAAAACTGTCGAGATCGAACTAATTAGGGCTATCGATCCATACTCCAAATGAATTCAGCAACCGGCACACAGGCACGCACGCACACGCTTGTACGCACACACACACACACACACATAATATTATTTACCTCGTCGTGTGATCTAGCTTCCTCGCAATGCATAGTGTCGTGGCGTAAAGTTCGCTTCTCTGTATGGTGGGTGTCGACGAGGGTAAGCCCGCTTAACCGAGCGCTAGTTTTCGACAGTGTAGAGTGGTCAAAAGATATCTATTTCTCGATCGAATGGAATTCGCTGTTTCCGCTCACACCATGTATTGTTATTTCGTAAGAATCTGCCTTCGTCGAGGTCCTTCTCCACAGATGCGCAAATTATATCACCTTCATACAGTCATCCCTGTCAAGACCGCATTGTTTAGACACACTCTTTTAATGTCATTATTGAATGACTACGCTATGATCTTAATTTATGCAAATTTTGTCCGGTTTTAAGTTTTTAACAAATCGCAGCCACGAAGGTATGCCGTGTACCAGTGTTCAGGCTTCGTGATTGGCTCTTCGGCGTTCTCGTTTGCTAATGCGGCAATCTTATTGGCTGTGGAGCGATCATTTAGATGCACGGGACCCGCCTTGTGTTTTGTGAACTGTTAGTGGCAGTGTTCCGCCGTGCGTCACAAGCACCGCGCGCTTCGCAGGCGGACCACGAGGTCGCGGCGACGGCGGCAACCGCGGCCGAGGCCCCCGCCGCGGCTCGGGGGGCGGCGGCTACCACGAGGGAAACCGGAGCCGCACCGAGTCCTCCGGTAGCGCCCCCTCGGACAGAGACGGCGGAGGAGGAGGCGACGAAGACCAGCGAGACCAACCGCGGGACTACCAGGACCACTGGCAGCACCGGGACCCCCGGGACCACCGCCAGGACCACCGCGGCGGCGACCGTTTCGGAGGAGGAGGAGGAGGCAGGCACGGCCAGGACGGCTACGCGCCTTACCATCGCGGTGAACACCGCGGCGAGGACTCATACCGGAGACCGCAGCGCAGGGGCGGTGGCAGGGGCGGGATGCCTAACAGGAGGGGGGGTTCCTTCGACGGGGACATGAGGGGCGGGAGGGGAGGCCGCGGTGGCCACAGGGGCATGGACAGGGGGAGAGGGGGCCCTCCGCGAAGGGGTCGCGGTGGGGAGCGCAGGGGACGCGACTTCCCGAGGGATGGCGACCGGAGGGAAGACCGCTGGGAGCGTAGGGACAAGGCGGACGCGCAGCAGAACGCCTGTGTGGAGGCGTGGGAAACAGCGGAAGCGGGCGGCGTCGACAAGGGTGGCCAGGACTGGGGTGTTGCGGAGCCGGCCGGTCCGACTCAAGAGGGCACGGGCTGGGACACTGCCGAGGGTGCCACGGACCAGGAGGTGGACGTTGACGGCGGACGAGAGGAGGTCGTCGAAGAGTCGGTGGCCGCGGAGCCTGGGCACGATGTGGGCGACGACCCTGACGGGTTGGCGCCCATAGACGTGGAGGAGGAGTCCGAGGACCATCTTGATCCGTGCAACGACACCTCCAGCTGCCCAGAGTCTTCGTACTTGTCTGGACACAGCGACCTGGAGGAGCACGATGACGTGGACAGGGGAGCTGAGGAGTCCCTGGAGAGTACGTACAGGGAGAGCATGAAGCTTCTGGAGACGATGCACGATCCGGTCGCAGACGCGGACCACGGCGATTCGGGACTGAAAGAAGACGTGGCTGTCTTGTCAGATGGCGATGTAGATCATTATGCTGGTTCATTGGACCCGGACTCGGCGTTCGCTCCTTGCGAATCGGAAGTTAACAGTAATGCTGCGCGGGGTAAGGCTTCGGACGGTGGTTCTGCCGCCGCGTCTCAAGAAAAGGACGTTGAAGACTCTCATTGGGTCACACCTGGCGATTCGGAGAAGGATGGCGATGCGGCGATCCAAGAGACAGCCAACATAATTGTTCGCCTTGATGCCGATGGGCAGGCTAAGAGGAGCGATACCGTAGCCGACAGTTCATGCGTGGATGACTTTACGGATAGCGCTGACGTCTTTTTGTCCCAGGATAGCGAAATTTCGGACTTGAACGAGAACGAGACAGCGAGCTCCGACATTGCGGCTAAGAGACTTGCTCTTGAGACCGCGCATAGCGGCGCTGGTGACGCTTCGCCAACGATGCTGTCTGAAGACGCTGGCCCGTCCTTATCAAACGAGGCTGAAAAAGAAGGGAGAGGCGAGTCTCCGCATCTTAAAAAATGTGCCGAGAACGGCGTCGTCTCGAACTCGGCGCTTGAGAACGGCGAGAAACTAGAACTTCCTCACGTTCAAACCGACGGAGACGTCGGTTCGACAGAGCTTCCAGAAGCAAATCAGTGCGCGGACTATACTGCCGAGGCGGGCGACGTATTGGCAACAGTGAAGGGCAAAGATGCAGGTGTTAAGGCGACTTCGAAGGGCGCGACTGACGACAGTATCGCTACTACAGACAGTCCCGAACCGCAGAAGCAGTGATGTACCATACACGTCCGCTTGCCCGGTGACTTCTGCCGGCAAAACGTTTCTGCTCGTATAAACTCGAACAACTTTCTCTCTCAGAAGCGTAGTGACGCCGAGGCGCTTGCTGGTTGAGTAACACGCCCCGTCTTCTCATCTTAGCTGATTGTCCTGGTACACATAGAGACCACACGTTTGAGCATCTGCGTAACTCATTGGCAGGAACCAAAGACCCGGATGAAGTAGATCATCCGACGAGCTCAGCGCCACGTAGAAGCTTCTGGACTGACTAACCTTCAAGCTGTTTATCTTCGTTTTGTCTCTTTCGGGGATGGGCACATGCAACGTTTGTTTTGTACCGCTCAGTTCAGCCTAAAACCGTGGTCACACTACAAATACAACAAACAAAAAGACTGTCTGCAGAGGCCTTCCTCGTGTGACGGTCACATCGGTTGTACAAAACCTGTCCGCAGACATGATCGAAATTATATTTGTATGCCGCTAACGTGCTTCACTCTCAGAAATAGGGGCTGTAGTACTTACACTCTTTGTCCCATATATCACGCACCAAAACTACATTTTGACGTTCAGTCGGCTCGCGTCGAACTGACAATACAAACTTCTACGAGCGCCTTGGTATCTGTGTAATATAACTTTCTAAAGAACAAATGTAAGTTAAAAAAAAAAGACATGCACTGAGGTTTTTCAGCAAGGCTAACAATACCCTGGGTGTTTTCCTCTAGTCTTTACTGCGTGCATTAAGTTAAAAACAAAACAAAAAAACATGCACTGAGGTTTTTTGGCAAGACTAACAATACCCTGGGTGTTTTTCTTTAGTCTTTAATGCGTACACATTAGCTATTTCAATAAGTTGTATCATTCGGCTATCAAGCCGCTTGTGAAAGTTGGTATCGTCGGTTCGACGTGAGTGGACTGAACGTCGAATTGGAGTATTTGGGGTGTTAAATAATAGGGGACGAGGGGTGTAAGTACTACACCCCATTTTTTTGTTAGAGTGTTCGAACATGCGTGAGGCGTGTTCGCAGAGAATGGACCTTTTCCGAGAAGCGTTCTGCGCACGCGCGAGCGCCCGACGCCAAGCGGTGGAAGTCGGCACAAAAAATCGAGGAAATTCGGAATGAGGCTGTAGATCGACGAGTAGAACACGTAATTGCAGCATATATATAATTGTGTTACATAAAAAAAGAAAGTGGACGAAAACAAAAACACGACGTTTGGGGGGACGCTACAGATTTCCCTCTTTAAAGTCGCGTTGGGCACGCGACGCAGCTCAGAGAGCGAAGCAACTGGTAGCGTAGCTCCCGTTATCGATTGGTAGCGCAGGTAGGTCACTTCCTCGATTTTTAGTTCGTGCAGCCACCGCCTGGTTCCGTCGGTATTTGGAAAAGGTCCATTCTCTCATCGTGTCTGCAGACCACCGTGTCTTTTGTATGTGGAGCGCAAGTTCGTCTGCTTCTTGCACAGTAGTGGCGGTGACGTCAGGAAGACGACGAGCTTTGATTGGCTCTGATCGAAGGATAGTGGGTAGACGTCAAAAAAACCTACCTTGAGGTCTACTCTCTATCCTTGATTCACAGCCAATCAGAGCGCGGCGTTCTGACGACACCACAACCCCTGAAAAAGAAGCAGACAAACTTGCGCTCCGCATAGGCTCGTTCGATTTGCCCGCACCCCCTGCACCGGCGCAGAAAAGTGTGGGGAGGTGTACTTCCGGTATGCGTATCTGAATACGCATACCGGAAGTACACCTTTCCACACTTTTCTGCGCCGGTGCAGGGGTTGCGGGCAAATCGAACGAGCCCGATGTATGAGCAGTAGTGCGACAACAGCTTTATGCATTATACTATTTGCCTCGTCGGTAAAGACGCGTGCTTGATCATAAAACAAGCCTAGCGTCGTACACCGCTTTCTGATTACTATTTTTTACTCTAGGATGCGTATTCGGTGGCTTGTCCGTGGTATATTGGGGCTCGGCAACGCCACGTACCCATGATTTTCGTTGTCGCAGTTAAGGTTCACTTATTTTGATGGTCATACGTTTTTATCGATTAATGCTATCTTTTCCGGAATATATATTATATACAAGAGTGGCGCGGTTTATTTATTGCTCGTTTTTCTTGTTTACGCGGAAAGTTTTTTTTGTGTGTATATTTTGTTTTCGGTCGTGTGTCTCTGTGCGTATTTATGGAACATTGCCGCATGCAATGGTAACTGTGCTTGCCCGCGTGTCCCTGTCCTACGTGCCTGGGCGAGCCTACTCTTAGTATACACTGTGAGCGAGTTGCACTTTATACGGGCCTTTCTTTGCGCGGCGTTGGGTTGAAGTGCCGAGGAAAGATGCTCACCGTTAGCGCTCTCCGGTTGTCTTTCCTACTTCTTTGCAATCAAAACACGGGAACGTACTTATTGATTTTAAGTTGTCCTAAAAAAAAAGTTTGTGTTTTTTTTAGATGTTTACGCTGCTACTTTGGTGCAAAGTGATGGCGTCCTATTTTTTTTTTCTCTTTCTCTTTTTCTTTCCCCTGAAAGTTGGCATTTCGGAGACGTCTTTGTTGAAAACGAGAAATTGACATTATTTTAAAACGAGAACTGGAATATTGTACACTATTTATTGTTACACTGCGTTGTTTTACACGGAAGGTCTCATCTGGTCATCATTTTCTACTGACTTTTTATCATTGAAGATGTCAATAAAGAGCCTCTAGTGAAAAAGCATCTGGGGTCTCGGATCTTCTTTGGTCGCCTGTTTAGAACTACGTATAAATATTTAAAAAAAAACGCAACGTCTATGCATTATTTTGAAACGGCGCCAATGTTACGTGGACGGAGGGAAGAAGTGGTCGCTACAAGCGCCGACTAACAACTGAGGGGTTGTTCTTAATAAACCACAAACATAAAAAAGACGACTTTCTAATAATGATGGAATGGCGCCTGCGCATCAAGGAAGTAGGTGCTGCAAATTCTACAATCCCATGGGCGATCTTTCCCGATCTAAAAATCCTACCTCACTGTACAACAATGCCAAGGAAGCCTGACTCACGCAGGTTGGTCCCTCTTTTTTCGTTCCGTGAGCCTCTACAACCTCGCGAGCCTTTTGCTCTTTATGTTTATACTACACGATGACACTTTCTAGTAAAGGTCTACATGCATATAGTCACGGCAGTGCAATGCCAAATGTGAGCACACTGTTTCTGTCAACGAACTACGGTGTTCCCGTAGGCGAATATTCGGGCATCTCCCCGTTTGCCCGCTGTGGAAAAAGGCGCGAGCACAAAACAGGCGGAGAGAGGATGCGGTATCGATGGTACCGCATTGCATGAGTTCGTACTTTGCACCAAGGGCGATACCAGATACCCTTCTCGTGCGGGAAGGTGAACATCGGGCAAACGGGGAGATGCCTCAACATTCGACTGCGGGAACACCGTAGTTTGTTAACGGAAACCGCGTGCTCATATTTGGCATTGCACTGCAGTGACTATGCATGTACTATACCTTTACTAGAAAGTGCCATCGTGTTGTATGCGGAGCGGAGGTTCATCCCCTTCTTGCGTAAGGGGTTGCGATGATTTTGGAACGTCGAGCTCTTATTGGCCGATTGAAACAAGTCTACCCGCTATTCTTCCAATCAAAGCCAGAGATCGGCGTTGTTCCGACGTTACTCTCGCGGAAGTTGGATGACCTGCTCTCCGCGTAAACACCGGCACCAAAAAAGCACGCGAGATTGTAGAGGCTTACAGAATACCAAAGGAGGGCACAACCCGCGCGAGTCGGGCTTCTTTGGCTTTGATAGACAGTGAGGTCAAATATATAAAGATCGGGAAGATCGCCTATCCAATCGTATTACGATTCTGTAGGCGCCGTATTCAATCAGTCGAATGATTTAATATTTTTTTCGCGGTTTCCCGAGAATAACCTTTCAGTTGTTAGTCAACGCTTCTAGCGTCCACTTTTTTCCTCCGACCGTGTAACGTTCGCGCTGTTTGAAGATGGACGCGTATACCAACAAGCCCAGTTAGCCCTAAGCCACGGAGTCAATCAAGCTGCATCAAAAAGTGCATTGTCACGGTGCTGGGCGTCTTTGCGCATTTGCTACCATCGGCTGAAAAAAAAAAAAAAAATCACTCGCAGTAAATGCGACGTGATCTTGCGCTCTTTTTTTTTTTTCTCTCAAACACTCATTCAGCGAGACCAGACTTCCAGAAAATATTTATTCGTAAACAAATTGCAGCTCAAGAGTAGTACAAAACGTTCGAAATAACGCGTTAGCCTTCGTTATGCATAGAAGAGCGAGTATTCTCGAAGGTATATAATTTCCCGTTGGATTCAAAAGTCGTATATATGTGCTACTCGTGTCGAGGCGACGTCAATCAGTACGAAAGGAAAATGCGAGTATGTTTCGCGGCAGCCACTTCGATGACTCACGGAAAACATTCGGCAGCGTGTTGCGATTAATGTGCAAAACCCGTCGTTTGCGTACAAATATCATCCGAATGTTTCGCAGCGCTACGCTGCGTGCTGACGTATATTATAGGCGAAGGCGCGCAATCGAGGTAGGTATAGTTACGAGTATTCGCTCCTCCGTGTGCACATCCCAAGCAGCACAAATGTCCTGTGAACGTCCACAGGAGATCCCTGGGACGTTAGGACATCCTAAAGACGTTCACAGGACGAAGTGTGCTATTAAAGCAAGGTTTCAAAACGTTCATTGGGTGAGAAATATACAATCATCCTCGGCAATACTTTTTTTTTCATATAATCTCAGCAATTATTTTCACTCCAATACCGTATCAATTGCGCTACTCTCGATCAAATTTCCTTGCCTTTCAAATGACTTATTTGGGGTGCCGTTATGAGGAAATCTAAGGTGAAAAGAAGCACTAACTGAAGCGTGCAACCAATCGACGAATGAATAAATAAATTGTATTATAAATAAGTGCAATAAATATATACATTAAATAGGCTCTCGTTAATCTTATATGAATACAACATACAAAGAAAAAATGTTGATTACATGAAATGATATAGAATCCTAAGCTATGAGCATTTAATGTGAATCAACATGAGATTGTTCGAGGAATGAAAAATAAACTATATAATAAGAAGGAAACGAATTTACACGCTCGCGCGTGCATAGCGCAATTTGAATTCTTTACATATTAGTAAAGTCATTTCTTTTGCGAGGTTTGACATTTATTTTGTGAACAAGTACCACGCCTTCTCGCAAAGGTTTCCCTCTAGTCCTGTTTTTGCGCCCGCAGTATTGTTTGCTCGCGCACTCTCTCCCTTCAAGTTCCCTAAAATGTAGAAATAACTGTCATGTTCGCGTTTCGAAAATGTTATGCTTTCTTAATTTACCCCTTAGCAACTCGAGGTTAGTGCATGGCACTCGACAATCGTCCAGTCTTGTCTAAATGCGCACATCAAGTTCATACTCCGGCATTGCAAAGTGCACCGTCATCACGCCTCTCGAGATCTAAATAATGGACAGTTCGTTGTGCAAAAGCAGTCTCTAGCTTGTTTGTTTTTGTTGTATTTTCGAACAACAAAGACGAGTTAAGGAAAGACATGTGTAGTACCACAATCGCTTCGTTCCTGTGGTCAGCGACGTCTTTTGAACGACGCACAAGGCCTGTTCATCTGTGGCGCCCGCCTAGCGTGTAGCCCTCACCACCCTCTTGAAGGCTGTCCGAAAACCCACCAAAACATCCTGATGGTAGGCCAAACTCTTAGAACCTCCTGCGCGCACCACAAAGCATTTTGAATACCAACCCTTCTTTAATCAGTTTCACGAATGAGAAGAGCGGTTAGTACTATGCTTCCATGGCCACGTGGTTTGCGTGCCAAAAAGGAGTGCACAGTGTTTGCCACCGCAGAACCATGTGATCATCGGAGCATGATACTAATCGCTCTTCTGATTGGTTGAACTGATCAAAGGAAATCCGATGATTGGTTTAGCGAGTGTGTCGCGGTGTAGCGTACATCCGGGGAATTCTGAGAGTGTAGAACGTTCTGATGCTCAGTATAAGGAACTGACTAACAGAAATTTATATCTGCCCATCAGGAGATCAGGACAGACCTCCTAGTAACGCTAATGTTTCACATGGGAACCCAGTCACCTTCTGTGAATATACTGATGCACCAGGAATTCTCCGCGGGTTTTCTGCGGGGACTTCGATGAAGTTCGTTCATAATCGCAAAAACTCCAGTCTCCGGCTCAACGGACATTTTGTCCAACATCAGCGAAAACAGGGCGAAATCATGTCGTCACAATGGAGCAAGACTCAGATTGTCATTCGAGAACTCTAAACTTGCACACTTAGATGGTCAGCGAATGTCACTCGAGGAATCCGCAGGTTAAGAACACTCATTCCTAGAGATATATAAGTTCAGCAGTTGAGACGAGCTTCCTGTAGGCACAGCAGACAAATCAGTGTTTGCTGAGCATCCTCTGAGATTGCACTTTGATGCGAGTCGTTGGAGCGGAGAAACCCTCGAAACTTGTTCTTTGGCAGAGAAACCATTTGAGCACCGCTAGCGTATAGAGCCACAACCATGTTGATCGAGATGCGAAGCACTGAGCACGCGTACTCAAACCCTCGGCGCGTTGCACGTCGAAGAGTTGAGGTCGAACACGAAGTAGTTAGACTGGCTGGAGTCCTCGTCGAGTAGGTCTTCTCTCGATTCGCCGACGGGGCTGATGGGGCCGCTGGTCTGCACCACTTGGTGGCGCATCGGCTCGTGGACTGCGCAGCCCCCCGGGAAGTCTAACCTTGAAGAGGCCTTGATCGAATGCATGTCCAGTCGATGGGCCGCTTTCTCGGGTACACCTGAGGTACAACAGGAACAAACAATCGCCAGGGGATTGTGGTTTTACGATAGTCACGTAAAGCCGCGGATACACTGTTTTCATACACCATACGAAAGACAGGGTGTTCGCAGTAGACATAATGGCAATATCTGCGGACGCGCCTCGAGCTTGCTCGAGTTGCTCTACACATAAGTGTGCTCCGAACATGCAACCGCAGACAGTTTTGGTATGACCAATGTCACAGCCTCACACAAGGAAGGAACACGCCCTGACGGTATCTGCAGGCTGTCTTTTCTGTGATGTATTTGCAGGGGCGGATGCAGGTGTTTCCAGACGGGCTACGAACACCTTTGGGAAATTTCGTGCCCCAATATAAACATGGGCTCACACAGTGACCACATGCCAAATGGTTGGCCATGGTAGCCATATATGTCCCGACATCCCATATGGGACGTCAGGATCAGTTTCGATTTTGGGACAGTGTGCCGGGTCATTCGGCGGGCTACCTCCGAAGTAAGACCCCTGACCGGATATGGATACACTTGCCAGGGAACCAACCCGGGAAGTTCCGTCATTCAAGATGGCGACGGCCACGTCGAAGGTGATATTACTATAGTGCCTGGAACGTGTCTCCGACTGGTGGTGTGTTCATCCTATTCCGCCCATGCATTGAAAGGTCCCGAAGTGACAACAAATGACGTCACAAAAGCCGGAGTTTTATGTTGTCGGATGTCGCGATCCTGGTGGTTGGTCGCAGAAGTCTGACAAAAAGCCCGAGCAAACGCGCGTGTCGCTGTCGTCACGGCGCCTCAACTCCATGGCTGCCGAAGCTTAAGCGGACTCTAAAGTTAGAGAGCGAACAGCAGCAGAACAGGCGTCTGCTACATCCACCACCGCTGCTGTGACGCCGCCAGGGTCGCGACCGGCGACAGCGTGACGCTTCAATGGCGTCATGAGGCGGAAATCGAGGCACCACTCTTTCGAACGCGCGCGGTAATGCGCCAGTCGGAGACGCGATCCGGACACCATAAGGTTAGGGAAAGTGGCCAGTACCTTTCACGCCCCGCGTGGAAACTGTGATGGAGTTGGGTCTTTGGCTGTGTCGTCTGGGTGACCTGCGGAGCTTGCCGACGAGCAGAACGCCGACGCAAGCCACGACGAGCAGACACAGGGCGGCCGCACATCCCGCCACGACCTCGAAGCGGACGCATCCTAAGAAATAAAAGCATATAATGTAAAAAATGAAAGCCGTTTACAACTCTCCGTAATGCCGAATTAGAGCGCAGCTCTTGAGGAGGAGGAGGGAAGGGTACTCAGGGGAGGGTATACCCCTCCTCCATCCTCCTCATCCTGTCCGCTATTAGGGAGTTTTCGTAGACCGCGTTGCCCCCTCCGCTAAGCCCTCCGCAACGAAGAAGCCGCTACTGCGCCGGCGCGCCCATGGCCTTGACTGTAGAGTTCCGGGTATCGTAGCGGGTTGCGGAGGGTGTTGCGGGACGGCGAAAACGATCTACGAAAACTCCCTATTCCTCTGTCCGAGCGGCGTTGCCGTCGCCTCATGAGGGTCGCGGGACCTCATGGGGGTCATGTGAGGTCACCGGGGTCACGTGACCCCTGTGAGGTCACGTAACGATGACGTCATTTTTTACGTCACCAGAGACGTTACGTGTGACGTCATCGTGATGTCATCGTCATCGATGACGTCATCATCACTGGTGACGTCACTGATGACGTCATCAGTGACTATGACGATGCGGATGCCGATGACGTCATCAGTGACATCACTGATGACGTCATCTGTGGCGATGACGATGACGTCATCAGTGACGTCACGCATCCCATAATGCACCGCGCGGTTACGCCGACGGCGTCGGCGACGCCGCTCAGGCTGGAAACGGGCGCCTGCTGCGCTCTAAAAATAAAAAAAAATGCAAGACGTTTACAAAATTTTGTAAGACGAAATTAGAGTACAGCTCTTGAGGAGGAGGAGGTGAGGGTACGGAGAGGAGGGTGTGCCCCTCTTCCTCCTCCGTACAATCCAGATTGGTGTTGAGGTCATGTGACGTCAGTTTTCCCGCTAAATCTAGCGCAGAAACTGAATTTGTTCATGGGTGACGTGACACGAAGTCATCCGACGTCCTTTTCCCCGATTATTTTAGCGGGAAAATTGACGTCACGTGCCCTCAACATCAATTCAATTTCCCGCTAAATTTAGCGGGGCGGGTACGCCGACGCCGCGAAACCCTCTAAGAACGCAGCGTTTTGCCAGAGCTAGTTTTCGAAGTGGCGGCGTTAGACACTACTTCATGTAGTAACACGCACTTTTATGCGTGTCCACTCTGTTTACTCGATCACACACAACAGTCTTGTCACTGAAGAATAGGAAGAGGAGTAAAGACCCTCTCTAGCAAGATGCTGGGGGCTCACTACGTCGTGCACTCAGGGACAGTGGTGACTATACGGAGGGCAAGTTGTCTGCTTCTTGCGCAGGAGTAGCGATGACGTCAGAACGACACCGCGCTCTGATTGGCTTTCATTGAAAGTATAGTAGTGCGTATACCTCAATGCTAGATGCTTCGAGGTCTACCCACTACGTTTTTCAATCAGTCCATAAGAGCTTGGCATTCTGACATCATCGCAACCCCTGCAAAAGAAGCAGACGACCTTCCGCTCTGCATAGATCCCAAGCATCGGGCGTCCAGTCACCGACTCCGGCATCCAACTGTGGGCAAGGCGCTGACCTGGGCATTCCTGCAGGAGTGGTCTGGGCTCCGGCTGCAGCCCGTGGGTGTCGATGACCAGGGCCTGGCTGACGGAGTCGGGCGACTCGGAACTCCCGAAGCGCTGCACCGTCACGGCGTAGGTGGCCTCGGGCCACAGCGTGAGTGTGGCCACGTCGTGGGAGGTGTACTGCCGGCCCGTCACGTCCATCGAGCCGTCCAGAATCTTCCACATCACCTGGACAAACAAAACAAAACGATAAACTTGGACAACAGTTCTTGCGAAAATTAATTTAAAGAAGGGCGATTCTCTCATTACGTCTGCGCAGCGAACGCCTTTTACACAATGTATGAGCAGATGTGACCGTCAGATTCGTACTGAGCTCATATACGCCCGGTCAAGGGCGCAACTGCTTCGAGATTGGCAGGCGCGTATCTCACCTCGAACTTTGCCGGCGTCGCGTCAGACGCCCTGTAGGATGCGCCGTCCCACGTGACCATAGCCTCGACCGAGGACCTCAGCCAGCGAAGGCTGACCAGGCGAGGCGTCCACGTTCGGGGTTCTCCGTGTCCGCGCGCGTCGTCCTGAGTCAGCAGCCCCTGGGACCCCGCGTCTAGGTCCACGGGTGACAGGGTCTGAGCCGCGGGTCCCTCTGGGCCCATGGCCAGAAGCTTGAGCTGGGACGACTGCTTCAGCTGGCTCCGACTCACGCTCGCGTTGAGGTACGAGGTCTGTTCGGGACAGGGGACGCGGAAAAACTGCGCTCAGCACCAGTCGCAAACAGCTTGAGGCCGCGATCAAACTGATCTTACATCTTCCTTGTATGATGAATTAGGAAGCAACAAGCTGAAACATATTGCTGTCAGTTACTATAGCAGACGCACAAAGAACGCCCAAGGCTAGGGTCATGTGATCTCGGCGACCACTGGAACATGATACCGATCTCCCTTTCCATTGGCTGAACTAGTCTGAAGTATAATTGGTGTTCCTTCGACGACCCCCGCGAGCCGTCAATAATACATCCGACCACGTACTCGAAGCATTATCGTCTTAATTACAAACGGTGCCACAGACCTCTGGGTGGCGACAGGGCTACCCCCTTTCTGCGGCATCGCGTCTTTACATAGCCAAACAGAGATTACCATATAGTACGATAACGATTGCGACTGGTGTTCTGTTGCGTGGCGATGCAGTGCAGTCTCTGGCACCTGCCTGAGATTGTGTCATTTATAGCGAACTCGGCTGTTTGAGCGGTCAACCTAAACGTTGGCCATATTTCCAAAACTACTTTTGGCTCCTTGAACCAAGGGGACACCAATGATACAACTGTCTCGAGGATCCTAACCTCGTGCTTTCGGTGGTGGGGAATTAAATATAATACAGTTAAATTAATCCAACGTGAAATTATATTCGCGCTCAGACATATCATGGCGTCAGAATGTAGTAGACTCGGTATCCTAAGAGACAAGGAGAGTATCTACACTCTGTCTGCGGTACTTGGCTCTGCCATGATAGCTCATTGAGTACCGTCAGCAATGCTGTTAGGGAGTTTTCGTAGATCGTTTTCGCCGTCCCGCAAGGCCCTCCGCAATCCGCTACGGTAGCGGGAACTCCACAGTCAATGCTATCGGCGCGCAGGCGCAGTAGCGACTTCTTCGTTGCGGAACGCTTAGCGGAGGGGGTAGCGCGGTCTACGAAAACTCCCTATTTAGACATCACGATGACCGGTACGTTCGCGTGACCTTCCACATGAAGCCACGTACGCCACAGCTTCCGAGTTCGTAATCCCGTCTAAGCGTTGCCTTTCACCACTGAAGACGGCTGTCCAAGCCATCCTCAGCGACATGCTGTCTCCGAGAGTATAGAAGACCATTCATTCTAGTGGGGTGAGAGGAGAGAGGAAAAATAGTCTCCATGTTAGGGCAGTTCCGGCGGTAGAACCCATAAGAACTGCCCAAACGATTAGAAGCAATGGAAACGGTGCATGGCCTTTCCCTCTTTTACCCCGACGATTCCGTTGAAGTGCCCGGATGTACGTTAGGTGGCGTTGCAGGCAAACAAACTGGTGCCGCTCAGAGAGCCCTTAGTGCTTAGTGTAGTGTTTCCCAAACTGATCGCGACCCCAATTGCGGCATAATCAGGGGGGGGGGGTCGCGAATCGATTTAGGAACATGAAAAAATACATACATATTTTTTGCTGTGTCCCCAATAAAAGAAAAGTACGGGTCGCGCAGCTCAACATTGAGCCGGAACTGATAGTTGCGTTTTGGGAAACTGTACTCTAACAAACAAGCTGGCTTTAGACATTACGTTTAACCGTCCTGCCTGCTAACATGCCATGTTTTTTGTTTGTTTATTTCGATGGTTCTTTGCACAGTTGGTTTCACTCTGACTATGTCAACTGGCAAATTAAGGAGTGAATTTTCTGTATTACCGTTCATACACAGCTGAGAAAAAAAAACAAAAAAACTTGTGGCATCGCGAAAAGCAGGGGAACTGGGCCGGGGGGGGGGGGGGGGGGGGGAGGGAGGGAGGGGGGGGGGGGGGCGGACGTGATATTGTATGTTTTTGGTAGGTCGCAAGGTAGCAGAGTGCGGGAAGCGCTGGGTTAGTGGGATGGTCTACAGCACCTGGGCGACCTCCTGCCAGCGGTCCTGGTGCAGCAGTCCCCTGAGCATCACCACATAGACGAGGGCTCCGACCAATGGGCGACCTTTGGCGTCCCGGGGCGGAGACCACGTGACGCGGACGACGTCTTCCACGGGGTCGTGCTCCAACCGAGGCGGCTGAAGGGAAGCCGCCACGTTAACGGCGCCGCCTGCGAACAAGACATCCACACACCTCAACACTTCAGCAGGCTTCGTAGTCACTACCTATACAGAAATGCCATACATGGCCGCCATATCAAGAATTGTGCCAGTAAATGGCGTTTTTCTTTTCGCCTCGAGCATGCACTGTGAACAACGAGCTCAACTATGGCGTCTACGAGCACAGAAATGCCATATACGGACCGAGAGCTGTGCAAAGAAGGCCATATATGCCTATATATAATATGGCCCGTTTCTGTACGGGTAGACGCCATAGTTGAGCTCATTCACAGCGCATGCTAAGGGCAAAGAGAACAACAATATATTTGAGGACACCTGAAGGGCGTGTTGCAGAAGCGGCCGGTGTTGAAGATATACATAAGCATGCATTCAGCCAACACCATCTAGAAGAATCGAAGCTTGTGCACTGGAATTGTGACGTCATCACAGTGAGGTCGAAGAAAGACGCAGATTGTACGCGAGCGTTGCTTTGGCGTTCGGCTGGGCCTCGTATCCAATGAACGCGTGGAAGGACAGTCGGCGTCGGGGGTCGGGTCCAATCGCTCGGTTGGTGGCATTCGACTGGGATGACGTTCTGTGGAGGAGGTCGTTCGCAGGCCTCGGTTATTCTAGCTGGTGTTGGTTCGGCAGAACATGTCCTGGAATGTGGCGGCCTGTGAACGCCATTTATACACGGCTTGCAAGGACGTCAGTAGCCGGTGTGGTGGCCTTGTTGCTGTGCGCCTACCTTCTGCAACACATATTTTGCACCGTCGCTGTTTTCTTTTTCTTTTTTTTTTAATAAGTACAAGTAGAATGACCACCAGCATTATGCTATGACGTCATGCGGACGTCATGCATATTATGTTGCATTTTTATATTATTGAGTTTCTAGGAGTATGATTGCCGGTACACTGTGTGAACTCTACAAGAACCGAAACCTTTAAGAACTGTAAAGAGACCGAAAAATAGGCTACTAATGAATATCTCGATCATACTCTTTTTCGACAGGAATTTCGTAGGGGTGTTTCTTTTTCTCAACGTATTAGACGGAAGAGATAAAAATAGTAATGTGAAAGGTCATGAAGGCAAAACCGGTGTACATAACGTAAAAAAAAGAAGACAATAACCACGAATGCAAGCAAGCACCAAGATAAGTGTAAATAAACTAGTTGCTCTATTAGAGACGGAAGCAAATAACCAAAATGTTAGACATATGCATCGTACGAAAATAACTTATCTTTATCAATATAACCTCTGAATTTGATTCGAAAATTTTCTACACGCGAAAACACATGGTAGACGCCAAAAATCAAGCAGAGAAATAGAGATTTGAATCGCTTACCGTCTGACCCGGTCTTGTGGAAAGAGCAGGCCACTTTGCACCCGGGGAACTGGATTGAGCAGATAGGAATTTTTTTTTTTTTTTTTTTTTTGTCAACACTCTGCAGTCGCGCGAGAACAATTAGAATCAAGCAATATCCAAGATCAATAGCAATGTATTTACTTGGCTACGCGAACGTCGCAAAGGGGTTTGAACAGCCACTAGTGGAAGGCAATGTCCATTGTCATCTAATTTCTGTGACGTATTATAGACCACGAATCGGCAGGCCAGGTGCATGGTCCTTTGTTGTGGAAACTGTCGCTGGCTCGCTCACACGCGTGCAGATCTGAAGCACTCAAGAAAATCTTCGATAGAGTTTATGTGCCGTGTATTGCATAGGCGTAGATTTCGGGAAGGGGGGGGGGGGGCATCAAGGCTCGTGCCCCCCCTCCCCCCCCCCCCCCCCTGGCCTTACCAAGACGCTAGTAAGGCGCCGTCTTGGTAAAGACGGCGCCTTACCAAGACGGCGCCTTGGTAAGGCGCCGTCTTGGTAAGGACAGCGCCTTACCAAGACGCTGTCCTTACCAAGACGCTGTTTACGTGCCATGTAACGAGCTTCTAGTAGCAGCATGTAAACAAAATAACGCTCACGTTGCCTTTATTGACAAAATGCATGGGAAACGGAATCCCAGCGTGCTTTCCTTGGCTTCAATCTCCAGTTCTGGCGAAAAAATAACGCGCAGCCCCCCCCCCCCCCCCCTCCCCAGGAGAAACTTCTCAGCCTGCCTCTCCTCCTCCTCCCCCCCCCCCCCCCCCCCCCCCCCCCCGGGAAAATGGAAAGTCTACGCCGCTTGTGTACTGCATGATCGTAAGGCAATGTACAATCTTTGGAAGCAAGATCCATTTTTTAATAGCGGCACAAACAAAAATATGACAATTTTAGACGACCTAAAGCTGCCGGGCGATCGAGCGCATCACGTACTTAGTACTCATAATTACGCGTGTTAATGTTTAAATAAAAGTATAAATAAAATAAGAACAGTGAATGAATGTTACAAAATATGGACACAAAATTATTCCCGGTACATCTTTTTCAGAGAACTGGATTTCCTCCCTATCGCCAAGCTATTTCAACTTCTCTGACAAACTGTCCGTTGCGTACCTAATTGTTTTATATCAACGGAACACCTCGCCAATAGAGAGGAAACTAACACCACCTTGAAATGAATTAATGAAGAAAACAATACCCGCTTAGCAGAGCGAGAAATCGTAGCGCACCATGCAGTTCTGCAGTATATGTGAATAGCTCTGTATGGGGAAAATCCCGACGACCTTAATAACATATATTTCGCATCATGAAAACATTATCCAAGAATCTCGTGCAAGAGGGGGAAGTTAGGTCTGCTTTTTAATGCAGAAAATAATGCTTGCCTCCCGACCTCACTCAGGCTGCTGCATTACTGCGTACTATAGATCCAAACGAGCAAGTAGTTCACAGGCGATTCGATCCCTAACGCCTGCGCTGCTTTTCGTGCAGTAAAAACTCATAACACTATAAAACCTAAAAATAAAATACTGCTCTTTTTATTTTTCTTCTTCCTTCTTTCTGCCAGTCAACGATTGTGTGTGCAACCTAGTTCGTTAGGCGGACTGCCAGAAACGATGAAAGCCCAAGTGGATGGGGAGCAGATGAAAACTATGCCAGGGTCAGCAGACGACAGCGGCAACGGCCGTCCGGCGAACCGTTGCCATAGCGACTGCGGCGCCGCCCGCCGGCCTGGCGCCGTACCACTTCCGGCGCCGAGAAAGTTTTTTGTGGCTCAATCTGTAGCCGGCGCGATCAATCAGATGCCCCCTTTCTTTCTTTTTTTTTCGTCTTCTCTGCATCCTCCCTCGACGCCGAGCGTCATCGAGCCGGGAAAAGAAAAGGATCTCCTAAAAGCGTCCCGTTAGGGAATTGAGGATACCGCCGCTCGACGTTTTTTTTTTTTTTCCCCGAGTGGGCGATCACATTTCTGGTCGACTCTCATAGCTTCGACAACACATGCTTTGTCCTCTTTATATATATTTTCTTGTTCATTATATTTTTTTAGATATTTTTGGCATGTGCGAGTGCATATTTGCCATATTCACTTTCTGTATTCGGTTCAAAAGAGAAACGACTATGAACATTGACTGGAGGCAAGTAAAAGTATAAAACAAGAAAGCACCGCATTTCATGTTTCTTCTTTTAACATGTTATTGCACTCAGGCCTTTCAATCATTCTTTTACTATCTTTCTCTCTTTGCATACTTTCATTACATTCAAATCTAAAAACTCATTGTTCCGAATTACAAAGACAAACATCCAGTCCTTTGGGAATCCACAGCGCAGTTACAGCGATAGTAGCTGCGACAGCTTATCGGGCCCTAATGAGTCCATTATGTATCAATCTCTCTCTCATCTCTCTCTTTCTTCAGGTATCATACCTGGAGAAAGGTTCATCGCCAATGTCTGCTCGGAGAGTTACAAACTCATCTATCGCTATAAAACAATCTAGACAGATGATGTCAAGTGACATCGTGACGTGACGTCACGATGCCCTTCATAAAGTCGTGACGTCACGATTTCACGTGACAATATCGCTACGGACGCCCTACACCCTACATCATTTTGAGGAGGGGGAGAGCCAGTAACAGTATAGCAGTAAACAAGCAACTAAACAGTTTAGAAGCAACCGTGGCAAACAAACATGACAAAGTGAAAACCCGCATGCACTTGAAGAGTTCTCTTGCTAACAAAAAGCTAAAAAGCAGCCATCATAAAAAAAGGGAAAAAAGAAACAACAAGAGGAAAGCATTTCGTAGTGGCGAAACTCGTTTACTGCTGCGGGCGTGGGGCACAAACGGTCGACGGCGAAGAGCGACAGCGGCGTACGACGCCGAAGAGGTTGCTGGAGTCCCGGCAAGGCTCCCCGAGGCGAAGGACCCGCGCGCCTTCTTTTATCGGGCACCCGGTGATGTTCAGCCCCGCAATAAACAGTTCCGTCCGGCGCAAATATCGCCGGCCCAGGCCGAACCCGGGGACAAAGGAAAGTGCCCCAAGCGCCGGAAGCCCCAACAACTCGCGCGCAGGGGGAAACAATAAGGGCAGACGCTGAGACAAAAGGTGCGCATCTTGTACCTTACGATATTAATTTTGTGCTTCCTCTCCAGGATGATGAGAAACGATGTCCCTTATCTTTTTGCGTCAATCTCTCACGACCCCCTTTAAAAAAAAAAAAAAAAAATATCGGAAAGCGTTTATCGATTTGGCCAAGCTCTTAGAAACGCTCTTCGCTACACGCGGATGATTACGATCATGATCGTAATCGCTGACGAGCGCGCCGATGATTACGATCGTTCGATGCGTGTGAAAGGAAGCGAGAAACAAGCTAAGCTCGTATCCACCCCAAGAACCGCGATGAAAAAAGTCCGACTTCTCGCGGAACGTTACTAATTTCGCCCTTCGTGTATTGAATTAAGTAAGGTATGCGTAGGTTCTTCATAGATTAACTTTGTGTTATCTTATCAAGACGCACACATTTCAAACGCCAACCATTATTTAACCATTATTTTCCAATCATCACTCTCGGAGGGTTTGTTACCAACTGCATGGAAATGTGCTAAAATCATTCCTATACACAAAAGTGGTACTACTTCTGATGTAAGAAATTATCGCCCCATATCTCTTACCAGCACATGCTCCAAACTGCTCGAACATGTCGTATCAAAACATATTCTCAATTATCTAGATAGCAATGATTTCTTTTATCATTCGCAGCACGGGTTCAGAAAGGGCCTTTCTACTACAACCCAGCTGATCGAAACCGTTCACGAGCTAGCCCAAACAATTAATGATCGCGGTCAGACTGATATAGTATTCTTAGACTTCGCCAAGGCTTTTGATAAAGTGTCTCATCAGAAGTTATTACTAAAACTGAACAATTTGTTTAAAAACACAAGCATAACACAATGGTTTCATTCTTATCTATCTTCTCGGGTGCAGTTTGTTGAAACCGGTGGTCGTACATCAAGTTTTGCTCCAGTGCTTTCTGGGGTGCCTCAAGGAAGTGTTTTGGGTCCGCTGTTATTTCTAATCTTTATAAATGACCTCCACAATGTAATTAACGTGCCAATACGATTGTTCGCAGATGACTGCGTGATATATAATGAAATAAGAACACCCGATGATCAGGCCGAATTAAATAGAAATCTACAAAATATTAACAAATGGTGTCAAGATTGGCAAATGGTTTTAAATCCAGGAAAATCAGTCTTTATGACAGTTACGAGGAAAAAACAATTTCTGAGGTACGACTACTGTATCAACGAGCATGAACTCGCAAGGGTAACTAAGCACAAGTACTTAGGCTTAACATTCACTTCAGATTTACGTTGGAATTCTCATATAGACATAGTGTCTGCAAAAGCCAATAGATCGCTATGGTACCTAAGAAGAAACTTGTCGTATGCCTCACCGGAAGTAAAAAACCTCGCTTATAAGACCCTTGTCAGGCCAGTCATAGAGTACGCCAAAATAGCATGGGACCCACATACTGTCACTAACGCATTTAAATTACAAAAGGTCCAGCGCTTAGCTGCTAGGTTCATTTATAACAAATACCGGCGCGATCATTCCCCTACTGAGCTCTGTCAAATGGCTAATCTTCCAACCCTCGAGTCTAGGACGCATTTTGAGAGATTAAAATTTATTTTCTTAATTATTAATGAATGTGTAAAGATAAACAAAGATAATTATTTCCAAGTTCTTAAAGACGAAAAATCAAGGCACCGGCATAGTCTATACATAAGAGAATATTCTGTGAAAAACGATTGCTTTAAATTTAGTTTTTTCCCGCAAGAGCCGTCAGGGAATGGAATAAACTGTCGAATGAAACGGTGACATCATCATCCATTACAACCTTCCTTCACTGCATTGAAAACGTTTTGATATGTGCGAGTAACTGAATGAGTATCGTGTGTATCGTCTTGATTACTTGCCAGCACGGGAAGTTATCTATGAAGTGTCAGCATTTTTTATGAAACCAAGCGAAATGCGAGAACTGTGTGTATTTACATCTTGTATCTTTCTGCTTTTTATCGTTTGTACCTTCCACTCCTGTAATGGCCCTGTGATAGGGCTAACAGTATCAATAAATAAAATAAATAAAAATAAAAAAACGATCGTTTCTTATCTCGACAACCACATCTCGTAAGAACTTCTTCGAGCCGCGCACGAGTAATGCGAAAACTCTCCGAGACGCTGCACGCACATTGGAGCACGCGGTACCATTCCGCCTTTTCACTGGCTGAACTGATTAGAGGAAGACCGGTGATTGGTGATTGAGGCAATGTACGTTGAAAGCGATATCAGGGAATCTTTCTTGACGTCTCTTCATCGTTTAAAACCCGGGCGAAAAACGAAAATGCTGGGTTGCGATGTGGACGCTTGCTCAGCATCCGATCTCGCGTCCAAGAGAGCTATCTGCGCCCGCTCGGGGCACGTTGCACAGCCCAGTGATGGTAACGCGCAAAAAGCGATATATTAAATTCTCCGACTGGTCTATAGACCTTTCCAGGGCTTATCACCTGCGCGAAAAATGCTGAGTCACTGAGCTGTGGACGCATGCGCAGCGTCTGATATGCGCACACCAGAGCAACAGCGCATGCTCAGAAGGCGTTCCACAGCCCAGCAGACAAAGATGGCAGCGCGCAGGAGGTGATCTTGGGAAAGGGTCTATATTATAGCGTGGTATGTGAAAGGGATCGACTCACGCATATGTTTTCGACGCCGCACATGGGGCCCCAGAGGTCGAAGTCCTTGTAGAAGAGGTCGCACACTTGCCAGCACTGCACACGTCACAAGGTGAAAGAAAAGAGGGACAATTATGAGAATCTCGCACTTTCTCCCGTGTCTGTTTTAAATACCAGAATTTGACGAGGGAGAAAAGGGGGGGGGGGGGGGGGGTGGATCCTGTTTTCTACCCCTGCCCGTTTCGATCTGGATGAGCAGTGTACCGGCGTGAGGTCGTGTATATGACTACTGCGTACATCACTGGCTAAATTGCTCAACTATACAGCTGAGAGACAAGTCGCCCATTGAGGCTAACTTCCGAATGTCTAAACATACATACAACGCAATAAATTACAGATTTGGACGAGGTCAAACACGTGATGAAGAACTTCATTTGATATTTCTTCATGCCGGCTTCAAGCAGCGAAGTTCGATATCTCTGAATATCGACACTAAAATTTGTGCATATGATATTATAATTTCCAGATATCAGGAAAATTACTGCGGTTATATTGCTCATAAAAAAAAAAAGCCCGGCTAGGTATTCCTTTTTGTGCAGGCATCTAAAAACACGTTCGTTTTTTTTTTTTTTATTTGTTTTTTTCGGTTGTACCGTTCGAGGAATAAAAAGTACTTTCTGTAACTGACTCAAAAGGAGAGCGACGCTGCAGAAAACGACCTCACCATGTTGCAGTCAGAAACGGCTTGGCATTCGACGTGGCGCAGGCTGCTATCCCAGGGGGCCTTGGTGCCGAACTGAAACATCAACGGGCCCAAGGGTAAGGCGACGGCGACCCCCCTCGGCTACGTCATTGATGACAGCCCGTGCCCGAGCAAACGCACAAATAGCCTTTGGGCAGTAAAATAACGTCACGACGTTGGCCAGACGTCTATAGACCTTTGCAGAAATCCCCCCCTGCGCGCTGCCATCTTTGTCTGGTGGGCTGTGGAACGCCTTCCAAGCATGCGCTGTTGATCTGCTGTGCGGTATATCGGACGCTGCGCATGCGTCCACAGCTCAGTGACTCAGCATTTTTCGCCCGCTCGCTTCGTTCGAGACTGCCGCTGGAAAGGTCTATAGATTGAAGGAGTGGGGGATATCTGAGCGGGGTCTGGCGTTCGAATATCAGACGCTGACCACCGGCGTCCGGCGTTCGAACGCCAGACCCTGCGAGAGGAGCACACGACGCTCTCAGCGTTCGCTTTGATTGGATGGAAACAACCCAAATAGAGATAAAGGCAGGTAGCCTTTGCATCTCCCCACTAATCCTTCCAATCAGAGCTCGACGTTCTGACGTTACCGCACGCTCTCATATCCTCCTCCTCTTCAGTTTTTCTCTGTATAGTGTGACTCCAAAAGAAGCCAGTGTGAGCAAATCTGACAAAATAAAAAAAAGGAAGAAAATCGTAGAACCAAGAGAATTATCATAATCATTCTGAGCATGCGCGAGCGAATGCGTGGGTGTCCGTGTTTCTAGAGCACGCGATGAACCAGTCACTTTGATGATTTACATATGACGTCATGACATCACGGTAGCGGTCATTCCTACTTGTAATTACCGAGACACACAAAATCGATGGTTGGCGCTCTTTTGAGTCACGTAACGTCCTATTCAAAGCAGACACGAACGCAAAAGAAAGAAACGAAAATTATAAGAAAAGTGTAGTGTCCTAGATTGCGAAACAAAAAGCAAATTAAGCTTGATATCACACAAAAAAACCGAGCTGTTGTTTTCGTCTTACTATGGCGGGTTATGCAGAATAAAAAGTTGTTGGTTAAATTGTACTTCAAATGTACAGTAATTCGTTAGTCCACGTTGTTTTCAGTGGTTGGGTGAATTTTTCTAACAATTTAAATAAAATTAATCTTATTTAAATCAAACAAAAACCTAATTGAAATCGAACAAATCTGATTTTTTTTTTATTCGAGTCATCCGATAACTCCGATAACGATGCTCCGTCGACGCCTTTGAGCGTGCCTCTATCGGGTTAAAACTCTTTAATGCGCGAAAGGCGCCGGCATCTTTCGTGTAACTCGGCAGCCAATGAGATTGTAACACTGGACGCCAAAGAACGAATCACCAGGGCGAGAAGCACGAACATAATTTTTTCGGTGCCGTCCTCTTATGGTTCCTGACGTCGCCGATAAACCAACACACTGTTTGCGAACGGTCCCGCTTTGACCACACGCACGCAGTGTTGTCGACAGCAGCGCCACCGCAGTGGACTGGCGTCAGAGAGTCGAGTTGCATCGCCAAAAAGCAGGCGTTCTCGTCTCGGCCGCATATCGGGCAACGTCTCCGGGACGATAATCCGGCCAGTAACGATCCAAGTCACGTTCCACGGGAGCAGAACAGTCTCGATACAATAGGGCTTCTTTTTTATTTCTTTTTTTTTATTTACACCCCGAGGATTTGTAGTATTCCCGTAAGGAATTATAAGGCTGCGGGGGATCTGTTTACACGCGTCGCCGTGTCAACAACGACTCGGTTGTAATCCTGCCTCGGCTTAGAACGATTATCTCCACCGGCTGTAGCTCTGTCTCTAACTCTCGTACTCTTTTTATCTTTAATTTTAATTATCCGCGCCATCGCCTCGCGGCAGCAAGTTCATCGAGTGGCGCCAATGGCGTGACCAGGATGTTCACAAAAGGTACTCACATCAAACGCAAGAGACACGGTGTAATCGCTGCAGGAACGTGCTTCGTACATTCAGGTGTGCTCCGAACGTATGACTGCAGAGCTTATGTTTGGACTTGTGACCGTCATACAAAGGAGAAACCCGCCTCAGAAAGTGTCTGGAGACTGTCTTAGAGTGTTTCGACTCTCCATGCATAGCCTGAGGCTATGCTCCCTATGCTCCATGTCACCACGACATGGCGTGACGCAGTGTCGCTGCTATAAGCACGAAGCAGACGCTTCTTTCAGACACGAATCGGTCTTCTGCGCGTGCGCAACACCCACACACACCTCGGTGTGGGGCAAAAATGGACTCGTAAGAAGCGGCGCGTCGTTGCCCCGGTCTTGACTCCTCGGAAGTGCGTTTTGTTCGAGAGAAGGAATTGACATGAATCGACTCTTTCCAAACTTCGTCGAGCAACACTGGCGGTCGCCATTTCTGGGCGCGAAGCCCATGATTGGGTTCGAATAATCGCCGCCGAGCTGAGACAAGTTCACGGCGAACGCTGACCTAGGCCGTGTTCCAAAATTGACTCGATCTTACTCCACGGTTAGGGTTTTTCAATCTGTGTTGTCACGTGACACGATCCGCAGGAGTAACTCGGATCCATTTGAGTAAGATTCGGAACATAGCCCTAGTCTTGCTCAGGTTGTCTGCTTAAACAATAACGGACACGAAGCAGCTGTGCACCAGCCGATAGATGGCGCGCGCACTTTTGAAAAGGGTCTACTGAGGGAATATTTCGAGCATGCTCTTTTCAGGAAAGATCATCGGAGAGTTTCCATTGTCTCCTCAAGCGCAGAACGGTGTGTTACCCTTTTTGTTCGAGAAAAAAAAAAAAAAAAGCCTTCTAGTAATATTAAAAAGTAACTAACTTTCTAAAAAAAAAGAAAGTTGATTATGAAAGTAGGGGTGTTAATTTTTTGTTCTTAGTCATACGAATGTACTACAGGTTTTGTACGCATTTCGTAACTCAGTTAATGCAGAGTAGTAGAAGCTGGAGGATGCGTGAAATTACGAAGGGTGATAAATTCGAAATTTAATGATAAAAAATAAAAAGAAAAAAAAAATGTAAAAGAGCCGTTAAGCAGTGATTTTCTAACCCTAAACATTGTGGAAAACTCAAAATTACAACCGTATAGGGTAGCGCCAGTTTAGATTGACGCATTCATGAAAGCTAACCGGACACGAGCCCATGGGCTCACTAGAAAAAAGCTCACCTATTTCCTTATGTTTTATCAGTCGTGCGCCGGGATTAATGTTGGTTTCTTATGCATGCTCCGATTTTACGTCTATCTCGACTCAAGAAAATCTTCGATATTGAGGGTGTGGTGCTCGGTTCAGCAAGCGTAGACAGAATTTTTGGTTAACTCTTTTTCTCGCACATGAGGTAGGCTCGAGGTTTGGACTCTCGAATTCCGCATAGTTTTCGTTTGATTTGGTCGTGTTCTGACAGCGTATGAACCTATTTTTTCTTTATTTTCTTTAGTTGTCTAACGTTGAGAAAAATTTGAACACCAACAAAAACTTCATTAGACAGATATAAAGAAGGGACGTTTTCCAGAAACGTCAGTCGAATAAAATATCTTTTACTGTTCAAATTTTTCGCAACGTTCAAAACTTTCTCGGTAAAAAAAAAATATATTCGTAAGTCTAAGTATGATAGGGAAAAGAATAAGAACGCTCTTCAGTATTGGTGTTTGAATATGCATAATATTTATGAATATGCAAGTGATTTGTATGAAACACATAAAGTGTGCGATATGTTTCGTTTCTATATAAACTGTCGGCAACATTAAAAAGAAAATATCGAGCGTCTTACAGCTCCGTTCTAAAAGAATAGGCGCTCACTAAATAAAGGCAGCAACGAAATACGGGATCAATTGTCCTTTTTCGTCAGTCCCTTTTATTTTTTTTTTCCTATGTTTTCAATATATCGTATGCTGCCAACTAATTTACAACGTAAAAAAAAACAGCAAAAAAAAACATACGTTTATATGATTGCAAGCAGTGACTCTCGTTTTCACCCGCTTATGGAATGCTACCACCGAAGCGCAAGCACCAAACATCGCACAAACACCAAACACTGCCCAAACATTATAAAGAAAAAGTAACTGACAGCTTAAAGAAGTTCGCAGTTTTTGCTTCACGATTGTTTTTTTCGGCGTTCGTATCGGCCGAGGAGTGACTCTAAAATGTATGTATGATGTAAGAGCAGAAGTACACTTGCAGCGAGTGGAAGTAACCTTACGGCCCGCAACACGTTACATACTAAGAAAGAAGTTGTCACTCACCTTGGCCAAGCAGGTTGACCGACACTGAGCCAGCTTCATGCGAACCTTACGCCGGTCGTCTTCGGCGTCGCGGTCCATTCGAGCTCCCATCGCCGACGAAGTCCACCACAAAGCGAAAAAAAGCAGGCCACGCATCACGAAAAAAAATTTCCCAAAGACCTCGACGGCACAACTCGAGATAGAGAAATATAGTCACTGCCCGAAAGCACCACTCGTTTTAATAGCAGACGGCCGATCAAGCGACGCACGTTTGCCGGACGATTTCCTCCTCTTCATCCTTTCTTTTTTTCCCCACGCAATTCGGTCCCGGACGCCACCTCGTTTCCCGCGGCACGTTGAGAAAAACCGTTTCCCGTTACGACCAATTGTTTCCACGGGCGGCCGCCAGGGGCGCTACGCCGTGCGCGCGCGCATCTGTGGATAGCGGGCGCCGTGCTGTCGCGTGCACGGCGGCGGCGGCGGCGACTTCGGAGAAGTTTCCTGTGCGAGCGCTCTCTCCAAAAGAACGTTGAACCGCCAAGGCACGCCGGCCCGTAGTCAGAACAGCAGCGGGACGCCACTTCTCGATCGTTTCCTGGGACCCCTCCCACCGCGCGCGCGGGCGCGCGCTCGATCGCAGGTAGTACGCGGAAAGGCCGCTAGGGTCGTCACGCTTCCTCATATTCGGCGCTGTGTCCGCGCTCCTCCCTTCTCCCCCCTCCCACCTTTTTTTTTTTTTCTCTTTCAGTTTCCGCTTTTTCCCCAATTCAATATTGTTAAACTTTTTTTATATTTTTTTTTGCCTGCAATGATTT